CTATATAAATGTTTAGAAATTACCTAGGTACGAGGTCTTTTTTTTCTCTTTCGCCACCATACCAACTATTCCACCCCTCGTCCTCAACTGCCACTTGACCCGATCTCCCGCCTCGCAAACACAGACTGTCTTCTGATCGTCCTCAATTGCATCCAACCACCTATTTTTCAGTCTTCCTCTTTCATTTTACGTTTATTTTCATTAAAATTCTTGCTGTTTCAGATTCCTCTCTCCTCGTAGCATGCCCAAACCATCTCGGTCTCGGTCTCTTATTTTGTCCACTATTGAAACTACGCCTTTGCTACCTATTGTGTACTCATTGCTTATTATAAGTTTTTGTTACACTCGTACTCTGTGCTGTTTTCCTGCCTACCGTCCAACACTCCGAACCACGCAGCTTAGTCAGTATCATCACCACACTCTATAATCTATATACTCTCTTTTACGTATACTTATACTTATCCTCCAGTCCAAGAGTCCCTTTCCTCCGAGTGCTACTCTCCATTCCTTAAGCCTATTGTTAACTTCTCCAAATTGTCTCCCGTCACGGCTGTATCGTCTGCGAACATCGTGTTGGTTACGAAGATGTAACAACACGCCAAAGTCTGGTTTGGACCTGCTCGTAATATCTGACCAAATATCACACCGGCCGTCGACCTGAAGCGACCGCATTTACCGTCTCTTACAACAGGTAAAGGTATCGTGGGAGCATTCTTATCCCCGGCCCCGCACAGGTCGAAACGCAGCGATTCCACGACGATTCATCGGGCATACAATTAATAGCGTACGAGCCTGTACATTATATCGAAATGGCTCGGTACCTAAGTGTATATATTCAATAGTGTTCGTATACGGTGTAAAATAAAAAAAAAAATGTTTCAATTCTGTTTCAGAACTTCAGGGCGACATACCCATCGGAAAGAGCTCGAAGAACAAAGTGGCCAGGTCGTCGGCATGTCCGAAACACATGCACATAGTCACGGTGGCCGCGTTGACAGCGGCGGTCTGGGCCAGAGCAATCGGCTGAACGACGCGCATCGGTCGCCGGTGGACGGAAGAAAATTAAAATATTAATCGGACATTTTTTTTTAAAATCGGTTGAAACAATATTAATTGTATTCTTTTGTCCGTTTATTTGGTTTTTTTTTTTATTTTATTTTTTTTTTCCATGTATAAATTTGAATACCTATATCCATCTATTTGTCGGTTTAGGTATTCGCTCATCAACAGACTGTGCATGTCTACTGTGATCGTATACTCGTTGTATTTGCCAATATTATATTACAATAATAATAATAATAATAATATGTATTATTATTCCTCTGTTCTGTCTCGTATTATTTTTTTTTTATGTTCTATAATTTTTTTTTGTATTATTTCCGTTCTGTACACCAAGACAACCGTATTCCGGAAAAGACGACGATGGATTTTTGTAAAAAAAAAAATAATAATAATAATAATAATAATAACAAACAATTGCCGCTGCCGTCGATCCGTTTCTCTGTTAATACAACGCGTACGTTTATCTATTATTGTGTTACAATTGGATACGATGCATACTGTTGTTATAATACCTTCGACGATACGACGATACTCGTTTTTCATACACGGCACTGTACTTTAAACTCTACAGCAATAACGTATTATTGCCGCGCATAAATATTAAGGGTACCAACCTATACCTAATTACCTACTCTTAATTTATTACTATTTGACAATTATTGTAAATACCTATTATTGAACGACGACGGTTATTATTTATTATTATTCCATGCTTTTGGAAAACTGTAACTATTCGCGTTAAACTTAGATAATATTATATAAGGTAAAATAAATTGAACGAACAATGTTGCGTATTAAGTTTAATACAAATAAAGGTATTTGAAATTTTTTTTGTTACTCCGTTGAAAACGGCGCCTAGTGGTGCACGATGACTACCTATTATTGTATTATTATTGTTTTGTTGTATATTGTATAATATTATATAAATATTGTATATTATTCGATAACGACAGCCGGTTAAAATATGTATAACCAATTAAAGTGTATTTATAATATTAAAAATGAAAAACATACGTGTCTATATGATCATTTTTTTTTATTTTGTAATTATACGCTACCTAAGTACTTATTTATAAAGTATAAACAAGAACTAAAATTACGAAAAAAAAAAAAAAAAAGCAAAACGCACTAAAAGTTTACGCGAAAACAAATAATACTATAAACGACAGTTTATAGTATTTGCTGGAAGATTTAACTTAAGAGTTGACACTGGTCACGGGTGCGGCCACTATTGTAGGTGGGGTACAAAAAGCTATTACCTGTAATCAACGATAAACTATTGCTAACGAAATACGATTCAGACCGAAGTTTGGTCACGCCTGCTTTGAAAGGCCGTATATATTTACGACTTTCGTCAAAATTTGGTCTTAAAACTTATAAAAACTAAAAAATACTAAGAGTACATTACACTCAATTTATTTGTATTTTTTTTTTTTTACCACTAAGTACGACTTATGATGAATCTCCTATCAATTTTTCAAGCATTTCTGTGAAGTGTAACAATTTTATTTACAGATTACCTAACAAATTAAAAATTACGTATAAAACTCGCAAAATTAAAATATCTTATCTCAAAATTGGCTTAAATAATAAGAAAATTTTAGTACGTCTAGAAAAGGCAAACATAAGTTTTCTGTCCGAATTTCAAATCTCTACATACATCTAAAAAAAAAAAAAAAATTAAAATTTCGTTAATTTTCCAGTTTTTCCTAAATATTTTCATATAAAGAAATTTAAAAAAAAAAAAAAAATGAATCATTATAAAACTAATACATTCCTCGTTTCGCTCAGAATCTAATACAAAACGAAAATGTAAAACAGTACCTAGAAACAATTATGAATACAAAATGATAATGATAAGGTAAGACAAGGTAAGGTAATGTGGATAAGATAAGCAATTTACGATTAATGCGATATACTCTTAGGTAACAATTAAGTATATAATATACTTCAGTAACACCGTAGGAGCGATATTTTAACCTAACAGAAGCAAATTAAAAAAAAAACAAAATTTAAAATGAAAAAATAATCATTATCGTGTTGATTTTCTCGTAAATTCTACTTTCGGTTTTGCTCTATTATTTAAAAAACTAAAAAGAAAACAAATTTCTTGATCGCTAGATTATTAATTCAACAAATAATATCTCTTGTTTCGTTTCTATTAGACCGATATTTCTGGTAGAAAACGGAAAGCTTAAATATTTAAAACAATGAAATCGTAACGTTGTAAATTTTCGTCAGTTTTCGTTTTTTTTCCAATTTTCCCTACTTATTAATAAAACTACAAAGAAAATCAAAAAAATATTCAAACTTAAAATCTAAAAATCTATTACAAGAAACTTTTGAGATCTTTTTTCTATTATTAATTAAAACATTAATAATGTCATGAAAAGTATACATACTTTTTTCGGCAATTTGATAGATACCATGAGCAACACAAGTTACATTGACGTACAAGATTCGAATAAAATGATTTAAAATTTTGTGCAACTTTCATTTTGTAAGGGCAGATAACATCAACAAAACTTCGTTACCGTTAGGCAACAATAGTTTAAGGAAATTGTTTACAAATTGTGCTATAGTTGAATTGGTGGTTTTCGTGAACTTTCGATATTAAAAGATACGATTTAGAAGGCGAATAGGTATTCAATTTACCAAAAAAAAAAAATAATCGGAGAGTTATCGAAAATAATCAAAAACGTATATTACACGTCTGTAACACCTGTTGATTACGCTAAAAAAATGCTCTCGTGTTGTCTGTATAATGCAAGTACTTTGGCACAGTGACATTCAAAAAATTTATTCTAGGATAATGGGGGAGGGTGCAGCCACTGTTATAGGTAATTTAATGTGTACCTGTGAGCAACGGTAAACCCCATTGCGAACGAAAACGCGATTCTATACGGAGTTTAGCTGATAGTAATGCTTCATCGACAATATGTCATATTATGGTAAAATAATTAAATGAGGAATTTTATATGTTCATTAATAATATTTGTTTAATGTACCGATTATCCCGTCTTTCCCAGTTTTTCACATTACTCTTGGGAAAATCGAAAAATGACCTCCTTAAAATACCTTCAGTCAAATTTTCTTCCAAAAGAAGTGAAAATCATTGTAAATCGGAGCAAACTACTAGTAGAAAAGTTGTCCACACAAAAAAAAATCCTAAATGTTACTAATATATTTCGTACATTTTCCCGTTTTTTTTTATCTATTTTTTACATATTTTGATGAGAAAAACTTTTGAAAAAACTGAAAAATGACATACCCAAAGTACTAACCCAGTCAGATTTCTTTATAGAATAGGTGCTACACTTAAAAATCGGAGCAAGATTTCTGATAGAAGTTGCGCACAGATAAAAAAAAATTAACAACTTTGTAAAATCATAAACTTCTTTAGCTCCATTTAGAATCTAAAATGGAACCAGGAACCAGCCAATTGATTGCGTATTTGAATTTAAAATCCATAAATTAGTCTTTGCAATTTTAAAAAAATTGTCTACACAAAATACTGTTAACAATGAAACAAATATTTTTTAATTTTTACAATTAATTAGATAGGTATGTAAAAAAAACTCCTAACAAAAAAATATTAACTTAAAAAAAATTAGACTAGACTACAGAGAAAGTGAAAAAAAAAAAATCTAAAATATCAAGAACGAAAGCAATGTGAAAAGCATTCATGGGCTGACCAACACTGTGACAATTGATCTTGAATAACAAATTGCATTCCGAGGAATGTCTGAAACTTCATTTCCCATCAACTTTTTTTTTCTAATACATACGAATTCAATCTTTTTTTTTTATTTGCCTTCTCACTATCAGATTTTCTAATTTCTTCGATTAAATTGTTTCATAAGTTTAGTCAGTAAATTCTAAACAGATATTTAGACATTTTGGAAATAGTTTTTATTTTAAACACTTAAATTAGTATACAGGTACTTCCAGTATTTTAAATTCTATATACACTTTTACCGACAAAATATTCTATAGATTACAGACTAATACTATATTATATCTACTACACGAAATAATTATTTCTTCTATAAATTTTATAAGCTTCATTTCCAAACCAAGTCCTTAAGAATTATTGAAAAAAAAACTGACCTTTGAGTCTTTCTATGTTATTAAAATATATTATGTTTACAATCAAAAGAAAGTGCACAATTGTGGACAATTTAATTGTTATGTATAAACTAAAAAAAAAAAAAGTATCAGATTACCTAATGTAACTTGTATGCTCAGATTAGGTAAAATGTAAATGTTATTTATTAATGATAACCACAGAATATTTCAATTTAAATAAACATCTGGAAACATGACTTAATTTATTTCTTTTAGCGATATTTCAGTGATGTTGTGTCTACAGATAATATACTTAAAAAACCAACACAACTATAGTAAACCAAACAAGAGAAGAGGTGAAATCAGACATTCTACAAATTTTCTGGTTGGTTACTAAATATTACCAAGATTACATTGGCCAATCAAAATATGACAAAACACAAGACACGCATCGCTGGAATACCGCCTTGAAATATCTAAAATTAAGTTAGTTTATTTGCAAGTATTTAGAGTCATCGACACATCGTGCTGAATTAGTTCTTAAAAATACACAATCAGTCTATTACTTATAGTTAATCAACTTGCTTAATACATTATTATGCTGCCTGTTGTTCACATTAAAATTTACAAATATCATTAAAAAAAAAAAAAGGTAACACTAGAAGACCTAAGAATTTAAATATACTTCATTTATATTATCTTTATGTTTTGTACCGTGTGGTCTTATACAAAAACATTTAAGTATCTTTAAATTCCTAAATGTTTTCCACATATCCATATTATATCTCAATATTATTTAAATTATTTTACATGATCTCAATGACTGTTTGCATATAGACAATTATTTATAATATATATTTCAGATAACAAAAAAAACTTCCAAAAGCAACTAACATACATATTCAACAATATTAGTATTTAGTTTCTCAATTAACAATAAATTATTATTTAATAATTAATACGATCAGTTTCTGAAATAGCACAAATAGTCCCATGAATAAATTCCAATAGTACTATTATGCATTAAAACTTAAAATAAAATATTGCACTTAAAAATAAAAATTAACGTTCTAATATTCATAATACAAACCAGGATTCTAATAACACACATGTTTTTATATGTCCCAATTTTTTAATTATATTTATCAATATAATTGTAATAATTTATTTCCTACAAAACAATATGAAAATTATAATACCGTAGTAGTAAAAGATTCTATTTTATGTTATATAAAATAAAATAACAAAATCTAAGTAAAATATAAATCATATTAAAAATTATAGTGACGAGTTACATAATAAGTCAATTTTTTTTTTTTCATGTAATTACAAAATATAGAACAGAAGTGATCAATTAACGGTTAAATAGTAAATTATTGAGAAGAAAAGAATAATCCCAATAAATTTTAATTAAAATTCTTTAACATGAAAAATAGAATATTTAATGTACAAGACTAGGTCACTTTTCTACACTATTTAGTATCAACTTTCTCAGTTTCCATACTAGCAACAACTGTACCATTCACAATATCATCAGCAGCATCAATAGAATCATTTGGTGGCTTGTTCTGACTATTGTCTTCTTTTTTATCTTTTTTCTTATTTTCACCAACTTTAAAATAGAAGCAATGAAAATTATTTATATATATACGACACAAAGTTGGTTTGTATGGAGAATAATGTACATATAGATTAAAATTACAATTAACAATTATTTAACTCATGGAATTAACAATAATTGATAACAAAAATGAAATAATAACAGTAACTGAGTTTTCTGACTTCTTGAGCTCACTAACCTTGAAATTTTGTTTAAAATATATAATTAGATTAAAAATGGAATCTATAAATTTAAAAAAAAAAATGATTTCCATATTTTATCTAAATTAGTATTCCAAGTAAATTTGTTTTTTAACTAATCACTAGATTTAAATTTAGTACATAACATAGTAAAAATTTTTTTAAATTATAACGAATTATTTTGAAATCATATTTACACTAAAATTATAATTAAAAACTCTCAAGAAAAGATTAAATGTATTGATAATAATAACTTTCTAAAAAATTCTAAAAAAACAAAAAATGTTTAGGTTAGAGTTATAATTTTCACGAACTTTGTATTAAATAAAAGTATAATGTTCTTGAGTTTAAGGAATTATCCCTAATTATATATAAATAAAAGTTGAAGAACTCATACTTAAAATAAAAGAAATTTATGTTTCTTCAGTTTAAGAAAATTCAAGTCAAACCCATCATTAGTAATAAAACAAATAACAACTTTATACATACTATCTTCAGTTTCATTTCCTTCGCCGGTAGAACCTTCACGACGCCGTTTGCGTGTAAAACGCTGTGGTTGTTTGATAGCCAATAATTCCATACCCAATACTTTATTCACTTGTCTGAAGGTTAACAAACGCAATGCATTCTATAAAATTGTCATCAATATTTAATTTAATTATTTTATATATTAACAAACATAAAATTTGTACAAAACAAAATTTCTTATTAACATATTATAACCTAGACACTTTTAAAATTTATGAAATCAATCAAAAAATATGGGTTCAATATAATCTATAGATAAATCAATTTTAAAATAATTAAAAATACCAATTTCAAATATTAAATTGACATAAAAAATGTACTAGGAAAATTTGTAAAATAGTGTAGTGTTGCTTAAAAAATAAAATAATAAGACACGATAAAAACATTATTTTCAAAAAAACTGTAAAACCAAAATTTCACTAAAATAAAACTTATGATTAAAACAGATAAGCAACTATGTAGTGATCAGTCATAAAAAAAAAATAAAATACAAATTATATTTAATCTAATATTAAAAACAAAAATGTTTATCATGGGCTGACCAATGATAAGTGATAATTATACAATATTTATTTTAATAAAGTTAACTTATGGCAAAATTAAAATTAAATATTTTCAGTGTTGTGGAATTATTTTCTACCACTTTGTCGAATGCCCTAATGAGTGTCATGCAAATAATATTTTTATTTAATTTACAGTAATCAAATTTATATATGTTATGATGGCAACTATTGGGTAAACTTGCACTGGATATGCCTTTGCTATCGCTCACTTTTTATGAACCAGATTATAATAGTTATAGTTAAAAGAGGACTTATAACCTTAATATATTTACAAAAATAATTTGATCAGTTACAAAATATTTAAGCTCAGATATGTCATGAAGCATCAAATTAAATATCAGAGTGAGCTAGGTTTAATAAAATAAGACATTCATCATAGCAAAAATGTATTTATAGGGTAAGAAATGTGTATAAAAAAAAAAATAAATACATAGTTATTAGTTTATCAGATATTAAAATTTAAAATTTTTAATTTAAAAAAAAAATGTATACAATTGAGTTATCATTGCAAAAGGATATAATAAATAACTAAATAAATAAATAATAATAACTGAAGTAATGACTTTAAGAAAAAAAAAACAATATCCAAAACCATTATTGAATAACAGTTAAAATGATTTCATCAACCATTTTTGAAAAATCGCTATTTAATCAAATATATTTTGTATAAATTTTTCATGATGAGTCAGATAAATTTAATTCTACATCAGAATGACTAAGTCAATCAGAGTGAGCTAGGTTAAGTATATCATCAGGTTTATCCAAATTAATTAAATTCAATATTATTGTCTTAATTTATCATTCAAAATCAGATAGTAATATTAATAAACATCAGAATGACTAAAGTCAATCAGAGTGAGCTAGGTTTAATCATTATCATCATATCATTGATTTAATTTTACTATAGAAATAATTACCTGAGCAGACAATGTAATATCCTCTCGTTGTTGTAATGTAAGGGAAGCCAAAGCATCCACAGGATCTTTTTCACATGGATCAATTAAATGAATACCAGTGGCACCTGGTAATAAGGCACCACTAGCAATGGCTTCAAAAAAGCGCCTTAACGATTCAGCAGGACTCAAACCTGCAGCAGCATTAGGTGAATTAGGTGGGAAAGCACTTGTTAAAACGCGTTCCACAAATAATTCCAACATCTAAAAAAAAATTTAACAAAATTATAGGTATATGATAAATAAATAAAATGAAAATTGTAACATTATCTCTTACCCATGGAGTAAAAGGGTGCCATTTAGGTTCTCTCATAATGAAATCTTTAAGAATACGAATGATTAATGGACCATTAGAAATTACAGCTAATCTAACCTAAAAATTATAAAAATACATAAATTTAATTGGATAAATATCCTTTAAAAATTGAAATGAGCCATTTTCACAAATCAAAAATTTAAAAAAAAACTTAATTTATTAATTTATTTAAATAAACAAAAAAAAAACTTTTTAAGTTCAATGTCCTCAAATTGCTTGTATGTTGGCTCATCCCATATATTAATATTTGATTTTAAAATATTTATTATAATAAATTTAAATTGATCTCATTTTTAAAATGGAATCGAATTGGGAATTTTCTAACACACATGTATCGTCAGCATATGCATATTTTTTGTACTTTCCAGCCTTACACATTTGGTTATTAATAAATTTCATTCCAAATTCAAAAAAATAACAGTTTATACCAAATTACCAAGGATGTGTGCTTACTTTGAACCTCAACACTACCAATAAAATATAAACTATCAGAGCATAATGCTTTGGATACATTTTAGAGAAAATAGGAATTAAATGGAAAATGAAAAAAAAAAGAAGGGATGACAAGGAGATTAAATTAAGCAATATGTTCATGCAACTCATTCCACCAAAATAAAATTTATTGGTCCCTTTCAATTCTTTACGTGTAACATTTCATTCAAATACATACACATACAAACGCACACATCCATCTCATTTGTACACTCGTGTATTGTAGGGACACCGCCCTGTTAACTATCAGTGATAAAATAGGTGCCCCGCAAAGCACACGATTATACATTTGTGAACTTTTCAAGTATAAACAATCAATATATAATATATACATAAATATATGTAGTAAAACATACAACATAAATACTATTATCTACAAAAAATATAATTTAAAAAAAAAATCTTTAGTTTAATTTAATTTTAAAAAGTCATATTTGCTTATGGCAAATATGACAAAATTCGCTAAGCTGGAAAGTAATAAATAAATAGGCAAACCTGAAACCATTTGGCATGCCTGATGGCAGCCAATGCTTCCAAACATTTTGTCTTGTCCAAAACATGTTCGCCAGGCACAATGGCCACTGGTTCCGTCTGTTGGCTTTCTACAATAAAAACCCCAAACAAAAAAATGTGCTCAGTATGTTATTTCCCAAGAGTGTTTGACCATTAACATAATTAAATATTAATAAATTTTTTAAATCTAACATGTTTTTCCGATTATTTGAAAATTGAACTTAATTTTAAATAGTATTTAACCAACTGTCAAGATAGGTATTTTTTTGTCAAACTACCTTTGACTGCAAAATTGGAAGGATACTTATAATTCTATAAGAATAATAAAATTATAAATACCCAATCAGGTTAACCTCGATAGTTAATACCCAATAAAATTGTATACATATGAAAAAAATGTGAAAAAATCCAAAACCTTATCAGCTAAGTTCTTAATACATTCTTAATTCTTAATACTTTTATTTAAAATAAAAAAATAGTAATGATTGCAATAGAAAATGTAAATAACAAAAGAACTGAATACCAAAGAGCATTGGATGTATATGCTTACTATATCTTTGAAGTACTAAAAACAAAAATAAGAAACTTCATTTTGATAAGACCTTAGGTAAGAGTAGTTATATACTCTCAACTTGATTCAAGTCTCGTTCGTTTTCACTTTTAGATTTTTTAATTGAATACACCAGTATTTTAGAAATGTCACTTTTTTACTCGTTATAATAAAATAGTCTGATCCTATGATCAAAAAACCTCTAACTCTAAGTTCCACTAAATACAATCATATAAAAGGAAAGATAAGAGATGCTATCTAGTAAAAGTAACTAATTGGACTTCTTCCCCATGGCTTTATTAGGTGATGTGAGCTGAGAATAATTAAATATTTAACTGAGAATTTTTATTTTTGAAGATCAAGGAAGCTGGAAATAGATATGGAAATATATTCCTGACAGACAAGATATTTTTAGTTACATATTATTACATTTAAAATTTCATTAAAATAAAATGTGTACTTTTATAATAAGGTTTTAATGTCTGTATTTCATTTTGTAATAAAAATAATACTACTATTAATATAACAATCCAAAATTAGTTACTAAAATTAAAACCCAACTTATTTTAACTTTTTCCTACTTTCTTTTAAAATATTTCTTTAACACAATTTGGACATAACTTTTAAATAAACACTTAAAATAATATAAGTTGGGTGTTTATCGAATTTCAAATATACAACAATATTTGGTAAATTTATTTAAGTATATTTGAAATTAAATAAATTTACTAAACATTGTATCAATAATGCGTAAAATATAGTTTATCACGTCCATTGCTAACAATGACACAATCCAATATAACAGCTATTATTATAAAATTGAATCTATTATCAAAAGGTGAAGTGTACAGCAAAATTGCATAGGAAAAAAATATAATTATATTATTGCTTATAACCAATTACACAATTATTTGCCATATTAAAATTACTTGTTTTTGTCAAGTTTCATATATAACAATTTATATAAATGAAGGATGAGATAATAAATAGAAATGAACGTGAAAAAATATATTCTAAATTGTTTGTTTTATTAAATGTTTATTATGTATTATTTGTCTCTAATGCAACACCTTGAACATAAAACTATTAAATTTGAAATACATACCGTATTTTAAAGTACAATATTGATCAACATATCGATTAGCTTCTAGGAATTAATGTAGGTATGTAAACTTAATCTATACAAATTTTAACAAAAATACTCATTATAACCACATGGTCAAAAACCCTTCTCATTAAAAATTAATTAAAATTTAGGTAAACCCTTGATCAAAACCCAATATTTTTTATACTTCCTGTCCCTAAATAGCTGGCCATATTAGTAGTACTCAATTTTTGTTAAGTATGACTGTGATTTATGAAATTTTAAATTAAATTTTTTCCTACAAAAAGATATAAGTCAATTCATTTTACCTCCTTCAGCTGCACTCAAAATGGCCTCTCTAATTGATGGTGAGGTAAGAGTTACATTAACTACAAATTTTTCTTCTTCTAAAATGGTCTCAACAGTCAGTTTTGCATCTGCTTCATATTTATTCACTACATATGTGTCATCTTTAGCAACTATCTACAATTAAAACAAATTGTAATATTATACAAAATGTAATATTATTTTATATTTACCTTTAACTTGTCTGGCAGAATTGTAACTAATGAGTTTAACAATGCTACAGATGGTGGTACAGAGCATATAATAACCAAATCAACCTCATTTTCATTAACTAATAATAATCCCTTAGAAAGTGCTCCAACACGCATTGAACCAGTCATCTTTTTAATAATTTTGGTATCATCCTTTTCAGTTGTAAAAGTAAACCTAAACCAATAATAATTGTAAATATTTAAAGTTAAAATAAAACTATTATCTCACATTGATCCATCACGTCCATCTTCTTTAGCTGCAGTTGTCTTTTTTGCTTGATCTTTTTTTGCTTCTGTAGATTCAGTTACTGGTAATTCTGGGATTGGAACCACTACATCTGTAACTATAGAAACATTATTTTATTATATAATTTAGCATGGTTATTACAATTCAACACCCACTATGAAGAAAGATTTAACTCAATTCTGACAACAATTCAACAGTGTAGCTTATAAGTTTTCAAAATTAAATTCTTATTCCGATTGTTTTACAATTTTTTTTTTTTGGTAAAAATTTTAGTTTTTTCTATTTATCTTCTTTTTTATTTATCAAACTTTGAGTTACGTTCTATTATTTTGGAATCTAAAAGACAACTCAAGTTAAGTCTTTTTATCGTGTTTATATTAATATCATTTTTGCCTAGAGTAATGACCATTTCCACAGATAATTTATACTTAAAAATAGACATAATAAAAGATAAGCCCTTGTTCGCTAGTAAACAAAATATTGGCATTTTATATTTGAATTATAACGTCTTTAGCCAAGTTGAGATAATGTTTTTTTTCGAGAATTTAAGAAAAAATCAGATAATCAAATTAAAAAATTGAGTTAGGTCCTTCTTTGTAGATGTCAAATTTCACATATTTCTTCTACCACCTCAGCAAAAACATCCAACAGCCAGAATATTGACAAATAGAGCCAACCTAATTGTAAATCTACTATTTAAAGGTATCATTAAATGAAAAAACGGTTTGAAATACTTTATCAAATATTTAACTTAGCTGTTGTATATTAAACTACTGTGGATTTGATAAACAGAAGTAGTCAAACGTTAGTTAATATAAAACAGCAGGTATCATTGTTGGCCAATAAAAATTATATCAACATTTTATATTATCTAAGTGGTAATTAGTAAAATAAAAAATGTTATAAAAACAAAATTATTAAATCGCTGCTAAATTTATTACAAAACTATACATTACAAATAAGAGGAAGCAATAGGAACACCAGTTCACCTTTCAGCAAATTTTTGTTCAGCAGGGAAATCTGTACGCTGTTAGATTTAATAATATTGTGGAATATGAATTTATTTATTACCTAACTTAAAATAAAAAAACATTCTTTGTATAGCGTTATAATTTTTCTGTTATTTTTATTTTTAAGCAAAATATAAGCATGTGAAATATCATTTGAAAATGCTTCATACATAAAGTGAAAATTACAAGAAAAAAAAATGAAAACTATAAAGATGATTTTATTCTTAATTTGATAACAGGTCAATTAACACAAACATTAAAACAGTACTGTTATCCAAACTGAACGAAAATGGCACATTGTCAAACAGAGACAACACATACAGGTTATGATCTCCTATCAATAAAATTTAACAGCTTTTTTTTAAATAACCTTAAACCATATAAAAACTCACCGGTTTTCACTAATTCTTCAGCGGCAAGTTTCAATGCTTTTTCTGTATCTGAAATAGCTTTTTGTAATGTTTTAAGTGAATTCTGTTTAGGAAACAAACTAGAATGTTTAGCCATTATATGTTTATCATCCACAGTGTCATAACGACGCATAGAATTATGCATTTGAGGCCTCATACCAATTCCAAACTTCATCTATAGTAACATAAGATTATAATAACGCAAGGTATTTTTTGTATTTTCTATTACAATACGTTACACACCAAATGAGGAGGAGGTGCCCGAGCACTTATTATGGCTGGAGGACCAAAGAGAGGCGGAGGTCCCATTGTCATATTTCTTGGGCCCATTGACCTACACCAATCGTAATACTCTACCTCTTCTTGGTAACGTCTACGATCTTCCCATGAATATCTATCTTCCATGTCCATAAAACGATCAGCCCAAAAATTGGATCTAAAAATAATAATTACATTCTGAATTCAAACACAACTAACTTTGGCTATTTAACAATATATGTTTATATCAGTATAATAATGACATCAAATAAACAAATTTTGTCCATGAAAAACAAAAAACATGTATTTCTGGGTTCAAAATTATTTTCAGACTCGTCATCTAATTAAAATCATCATATTAAAAAAAAAGATATATGTATTTACTATAAATTAAACTAATGTTATAATAAAATCAATGTAATTAAACCACTACATACTTTTGATTTTCCATTGGCAACCTGCATTAAAAAATTTCATAAATAGTAGATGGAACATTATTTAAAATAAATGTTGGTGCTAAAATTTATGATTTCCATCAATCGAACGAGATATTCCACTTTAAAATTTGGACCGAGGAAGAATAAAGGTGCAATATCTAACATCTGCTCGCCTAACCCCCACACAAATGATACTCGACTACTCCCACCAACCCAAAATTAAAAGTGGAATATCTCATCAACTGATTGACAAAAATCACAAATTTCTACACCAAAATTTATATTAACTAATACTCTGAATCCCATTTATTAATTTAATTTTTAACATGGGTTGCCATTTAAAAATCATAGTAGGTAATTTTACCCCCAAAAATAAAGATGACAAAAAATAACAAAAATATAAAATTGTAGAACAGCTTGTTCTTACATGTTCTAGAAAACAAATTCTAGAGATAATGAGTGTACCCATTTATTAAATTAATCACCTTGAGGCGCTATAACTCAATATCTAATACTCTGACTAGTTATTTAAATTTAATATGCTTAAAAAAATCAGTACCAATATGACATCATTACAAAGAAATTTTGTCCATAAGAAATAAAAAACATATTTCATCTGGTTCAAAATATCATTTCAGACTCGTCATCTAAATAGCTCATCATAGTATATATAATACATATTTTAAACCTAAATTTAATCGAACTTCATATTGTAATAACACGAAAGACAAAAAATTCAATATAACTAGTTTCAAATTACCCCACAATAGTTACTAAAAGGGTGTCCTGGTGCAGATGGCTGCAATCACCTACTCTTAGAGCTTGTTTCGGCAACAACCATGTGCACATGCATAGTATAACTATAGTCTGTCCCTGGAGAGAACGGTCCACTCTCCGACCAAATCGAAGCGCTACTGCGCATTCCCTCCCAGATCTATCGACAGCGCAGCAACGGCGACCGCAGAAGTGGTGCAGGTTTTGTACACTGCGTTTCAAATAATGCACTGTTGACTGTTGATAGTCCACTGTTTATCGCTATTGCCGTGGTGTACGCACACGTCATTTTTACAGCGTTTACTTTTTGGACCATTTGGTAATTTTTACTTTTTTCTCAGATTTTTAATTATTTTAAAATGAATGACGGCGAGTCAGTGTATTATGTTTTGTCTTATACATACAGTGTTCAATAAGATATAAAATAAATAAATATCCAAACAAAGTCTGGATTATTATAGAAGGTGCTTGTATATATGATAATTTACGATTTGAAAAATTATCAAGGTTATAAAACAGCAAAGGTAAATAAACGTGCGATACGCGATGTCTGATAATAATAATAATTGAATTTCTACAAAATATCTTAGCGGTGTATAGTCAAAAACCGACGACGGAAGAAATGACAATTGGCTGCCTTCGCTGAAATAGTTATGTGGAGGGGGGAAAACATGCGCACAAGCGGACCGTTTTCTCCAGGGATAGACTATAGCATGAAATTGGAAACGTGTTTATATTGCATTATCAAAAAGATGAGATGTGTATCATTGTTTAAAATGTAATAACATACAATGTTATTTATTTAAGATTAAATGTACTAGATTTATCAATTCAGTAAAATATATAATTAATCATTTACCTGTCCTCTCTTGTTCTTAAACCATCATGTTGTTTATCCTTTTGCATTCTACGAGCTTCAAACCAACTTGGCTTTAATTCTACTACTAAACTAGGATCAACTTTTTTCTTATAAGAAAGTCTATGTCTTCTACCTTTCATATGCATTTCCTTAGCATTAGGATCATTGAATTTACACTCGCATAGTTTACAATTGAAACTCACCATTTTTCCTGAAATTAATAAATTTAAATACATAGTACAACCATTATTATGTTTTTAAGTACTATAACATTGATATAATACATAAATATTAAAATTAAACATGAACCATGCCATCATTTCTCATTATAAGTTTTCTCAAACTTCTCCTGTATAGATTTACGGAAGTAAATAAAAAATGTAATAATTAATTAAGTTTAGTTTCTTGTGAACCAAAACACTTAAAATAAAAAAATAATACAGATGTATGTATAAATATATACAGTGTCACAAGATATACCTAATTTATACAATATATGTAATATATATATATAAATGAAAAATATTTAATAGATAGTATGTTGTTTATTTTTAATGTTAATATTATTTTTTTTAAATTTGGTAATTATACAATCTATAATTTTTTAACAATAAGCACAGGGGATGTTTCTGTTGTATTAAATTCCAAAATTATTGAAGGAAAAAGTAAAGGTTATTAATCTACTTCTTCTCAAATCATGCAAATTATTAAAGTTGCATGAAAAACTATAACCACGTTTTTTGGCTTATAAAAAAAAAATTAAAAAAAAAAGTAATTTAAGAAACAACATTTTTAAAGCGATTTTACTCATTCAAATTAAAACACTTAAAAATTATCCAGATTTAAATCAACTATTTATATATTAAATAATAATTTCAACATAAGTACCTGTCTCATCTTTAATTTCTTCTATGTATTCCATACCAACAAGCAAAACATCTGTTTCTACAGTTGTAATAGGAGTTACTGCAGGAGGTAGAGCTTTGGTTTCAGTTTTAACAGTAGCAACAACAGTAGAGGAAACATTAGATTCAGCAGTTTTTGGAACAACGGTTCCCAATTTTCCAGCTAAAAACAGAAAAAGATTATAAAATATTTATATTAAATTCGAATTTAAAATTTTATTTTGAAATAAATTCATTAGAAACAATTGTGCTAGCTATAATACATACCAGCAACAAAGTTCACCTTTGGTGCAGCAGCTTTTGAAATAACTGTAGTTTCAGTATTAGGTGATGGAATTGGTTTGCCAAGTTTTGTATGCAAGTTATAAACCTAAAATTCATATTTCATTAGCCAACAAGATTATAAAAATGTACTAATATAATGTAATTAAATTTAATATTAATATAAAATGAATAGGGTTAATTTACAATTAATCATATCAAATATAATTAAATAAATTTCAAAGTTATATAAAACTTTTAAGAATATATTTTAAAAATTAATACATATAATTTTATAGAAAATAAAATAAGTTATGTAAATAATTTATTTGAACTTTTTTCCTATCCTTGTTAAGTTTGTATTTAAAAAAAAATAACAATAAAATAACCCAACTACAGAGTAGAAAATATGCGAGGATTTTTAATTAAGACACAACAAATCATATTTTATTATTGTAATAAACACAGTATGAACCAATGTACTACATAATATATTTGAATTTCTTAAGAAAATTGAAGTTATTATTGTATTATAAATTAATATTATATAAATATTAAATAAATTACAAATTACTTATAATACAATATTTATATCTTTCAGATATTTATCTCCACATTTTATTTCAGAGAGCTGGGTTAAGAAATATTGTATCATCATTAAGATAAAAGTATAATCCAAAATACCCAAATATATCACTTTTATTAAACACTAACAATTTATTGTATCATACATACAAATTAGCAATAAAAAATAAGATAAAAGATAAACTTATAAATGTATACCAAATAAATATCAACTTTGCTGCAGTGCTGCTTTCCAACAATCGATATAAAAATTATTAATAATAAAAAACAGATAACCTTCAGATATTTATCTCCACATTTAATTTTCAGAGAGCTGGGTTAAGAAAATATTGTATCATCATTAAGTTATAACTACAAATTATTTGGAAAACACCTTCCAAACAATTCAAACATGCCAACTACTCAAAATGTATTTAACTCTAGTGAAACAGTAATATGTATCTTATATTTTCTTATACTATAAAAAAAATTTATAAAATAGCATGCATACATATATATTATACAAATAAGAAATGAACCACTAAATTATTAAATTGCTCAAATTTAAATTAATAATAGCGAAAAAATAAATGTATATAACCTTCAGATAATTATTTCCACATTTAATTTTCAGAGAGCTGGGTTAAGAAAATATTGTATCATCATTAAGTTATAACTACAAATTATTTGGAAAACACCTTTAAATTGTACTCAAATTAGAAATATTAAACCAAATATTAAATTTGAGACTAGTTCCAATATGTAGATTATGACCATTCCAAACAATTTGAATATATCATCTACCCAAAATGTATTTAACTCTAAGTGAAACAGTAATATCCTGTATTTTCTTATACTAAAAAATAAATTGAAAAAATAGCATATATATATATTATACATACGAGAAATTAACCTCACTAAATTATTAAATTGCTCAAATTTAAATTAATAAAAGCAAAAACATAAATGTATATAACCTTCAGATAACTATTTCCACATTTAATTTTCAGAGAGCTGGGTTAAGAAATAGTATCACCATTAAGATTAAAATTTAATATAAAATACTCGAGACATATTCATACATAACAACTTTGATTAAAACACAATATTTATGGCAACATTAATAAAAATTAGCAGTAACAAATAATTTAATTGAAATACATATTAATTGTATTTATATAATATGTAATATTAATGATTGATAATTTAGAAATTAATCTAAGTTACAGAATTTATTAAATTGTTTGTTTATGTGTTCTTTCCTAATCGTTTAAAAAATAATCAAAAGTAACTCAGACAATTTAATTTGACAACGCTTCAGAAAAAGCTAGATAAGTATTTGCACTATAGCCTATAGTGTAAGACTTCAATTGTTTTATAAATGTAGTAGATACATCAATTTTTTTTTTTTATGAAATATGAACATAAATTATTCTTTATCAACAATTAAGCTTATAAAACCCACAGATCTATAAATTTTCAAACCAGCTTGAAAAACATGATGGATTAATTAACTATTTTCTCAAATTATGCCTCATGGAATGAGGGGAAGGGCAAGATATTAAAAAGCAAAAAAAATCTACACATTTAATACCACAATTAGTGAAGGTCTGTACCTTTACCAATTTTAGTCCGAGCTAGTATTTATACGTAAATAATAAGCATGTATGGGTAACAAATTGTGGCCTAAAACGTTTAACTATAAACTAGTGTACATGAATACATCGTATAATTATCATTATTTTGTGTTTAAAGATAGTAATTAAATAAAATCCTTTATTCACATTAATATAAGTATATTTAAAAAAAAAACCTATTAACAAACCTACCCAAACAATTAAATTTAAAATAATTTTATTTAGTCAAGTAAAATATATTGTTTAGAGCAAATACATACTTTCTGGTGCTTAGAACCCCTTAGATGTGCAGCATATGAATCAGCACCAGTACACGAAATATCACAGAGATCACAATGTAACACTTTAGTGGCAGGATTTGTTGAGGGCTTACCAACATTTGTAGTAGTTAATTTAGAATTTGCTTCGCGTTTCTTATGTTTTTGGCCTTCGAGATGTTCTTTGTAGGTCTAAAATCCCAAAAACAAGCAATAACATAAAACCAAATTTCTAAAAAAAATCTAACTAATTACCTGAGTTCCAGCACAACTAATACGACAAACTTCACAATAATGAATTTCTTGAGATCGATTAGCAAAACCCATCCTGCCACCACCTTTAGCTCCTCCAGCAAACCCAGTACTACTTTTTTTGAACCAATTCTGTCTTTTTTGAGAATTATTAGGTCGTCCTTGGTTTTGATTTTGGGTAGGAAAATTTGTATTTGAATACACAGCTTCATACCCTGGAACTGCCGGTGCTAAAATATAATTTAATTCGTTGGGGTAAAACAATTGTGCATTCGTAAACTATTCAATTTAATTTAAAAATTAAATTAAAGTTACAAACCTTTATTTGTAGCTTGATTAGGGGTTACTGCTGTAGACTGAATTGGATATGTAACTTTTTGTTGCATAGCAGAACTGGTTGCATATGCCGCTGCATTAGCTTGGCATTGTTTTTTAGGGACAACTCCTGTAGTATATGTTGTAACTGCCTAAACAATTGAAATAAATAAACATACTTAAAATTATAAACAAAAAAACCACTTTAATCACTATGTACATACAAATATATACACAAACATACATGCATGCATACATGCATGCATACATACATACATACATACATACATAACATACATACATACATACAACAAATAGATATTTTGTCTAATTTATTAATTAGATTTCAGAAAAGATTAAGCCAATAATATTAATCATAATATTCATACTACATTTTTTTCATCATTAAAAAATTAACAAAATATTTAGCAAAAGAAGTCAAAATTGTTTTATAAATGTCTAATACTAACCTTATTGTTAAGAGATATTAGACTAATTTTTACCAAAACTAATAACTTAAAATTATCTTTATTAAAATAGTTCCAATTCTCAGAAAAGATTAAGCCTGTTTTATAAATCATAGATTTCATACTTAAATTTTCTTTCATCATTAAATTTAACCATAATAAACAACTAAACTTTAAAAGTATAGATTTGGACTTTTAAACTTTAATGTTTTTGATATAAACTTATTCATTACCCATAATAAATAATATGCTATTTAAAACAGTTGAACTTCTCAGAAAAGATTAAGTCTGTTTTAAGAATTATAATTTTCTTTTTATCATTAAAATTAACAAATCAAAATATTACACCAGGTCTGTAAATATGAAACCGGAATTTGCCTGTTAGAGTACTCTATATGTCAATTTATTTACAGACAGATTAGATTATTGGTGCCATTTTCTTTCTTTGAAATCTAACAATTATTTTCAACTTACAACAATACAGAATATTTTTTACTAGCGTTAAATATGTCGAGTTTTGTGCCCACTCACGACAATTTGCGGACAGCATTAATTTTCTGTTACCATTTAAAGAAAACTGCTGCAAAATCGCATCGAATGCATGTCAAAGCATACAGTAAACGTGCTCTTGGTAAATCACAATGGTTTGAGTGGTTTAAAAAAATTTTAAACGGCGATTTTGACGTGAGAAATGAAGAACGTAGAAAACCACCGAAAAAGTTTGAAGACAGCGAATTGCAAGCATTTCTGGATGAGGATGACAAACCCAACAAGAACTTGCGGATTAATTAAACGTGACAAGAGAAGCGCTCTCCATACGTTTAAAAGCCATGGGAAAGATCCAGAAAATGGGAAAATGGGTTCCACATGAACTCAATAAAAGACAGCAAGAAAATCAAAAAACCACTTGTGAAATTCTGCTCGCCAGGTACCAAAACAGTCATTTCTCCATTAAATTGTGACAGAGAATGAAAAATGGATATATTTCGAAAATTCTAAGCGAAAAAAGTCATGGGTAACTTCAGGCGAACCAACATCAACTGCAAGGCATCGCTATGGGAAGAAAACAATGCTCTGTTTGGTGGGATCAGATTGGGTGTGATCTATTATGAGCTTTCTAAAGCCTGGTGAAACAATTAATACTGAACACTACAACACAAATTATTCAATTGAATCAGGCGTTAGATATATAACGACCAGAATATCAAAAATGGCAATACAAAGTTATTTTGCTTCACGATAATGCGCCTTCACACACAACAAAACTGGTCAAAGAAAATATTGAGGCATTAAATTGGGAAATAATTGCACATGCGGCTTATTCACCAGACCTTGCTCTATCGGATTATTATTTGTTTGCATCAATGGGACACGCACTTGCTCAGCAACGCTTCACTTCTTACGAAAAAGTAAGAAAATGGCTCGATGATTGATTTGCATCAAAAGAAGAACAGTTTTCTTGGAGTGGCATTCACAAATTGCCAGAGAGATGGGAAAAATGTATAGTTAACAGTGTTCAATATTTCGAATAAAATATTCTTTTATCATATTCATACAATAAACGTGTATTTTCTAATAAAAAATTCCGGTTTCATATTTACACACCTGGTAGACAGTACACTAAAGAATAAGTTTTTAATTACCAAATAGAAAATATCAAAATTAACTATCTTAGATATTGTTAGTAAATATCTAAAGAACATTCTCAGAAACATAAATCTAGAATTTTTAACTACTTATAAGATACCTGAAAGCCACAATCAGTTATCAGCCACAAATTAAGTATAAGAATCAGATTAAAGCTTTAGTTTACTACTATGTTAAGCTGCCCTAAAAAAAACTTAAAAATTCTGATTAAGTTATCATATCAGTTTTTTTTAGATTAAGCATTAAAAAAAAAAAAATTAGAGGACTAAGTAGAACAAATTAAATTGTTTTAAAATTAAGACATACACAAATTAGTTTTAATAATTTGGAAAAGGTCTACATTTTGGTTTACTTCAAATAAATTATCACAAAACTATACAGCATTATATGATTTTAAGCCAATATCATGTTAATCAAAATATTTTAATATTAAATTTGTTTCCGATCATATGTCTATTATCTATATTAATCTAATGTAATGAAAATATACTGCACACACAAAATAAGTAAAATATCCAAATTTCTAATACAATACTCATGATACAGATACATACAGATTAACAAAAATAAACATTATTTGATATAATGAAAATTACCTAGTACCGCTAAATGTAAACTATAAATATTAATTATTTATAATAAAACCTAATGAGCTCATTATAATTTATATTAATAAATTTAGTTACTTGGTATGGTGCATATTGTGGTTGAGTTGGATAGGTTTGTTGGGCATAAGCATTTTGCCTAGTATCATATGCTGCACTATTGTAAGCTGCTTTTGCTAAAACAAAAATAATAATCAATAATTCCAATATTTAAATATAGAAAACAGATATAAATAACAAAAACTAGACTTATCAGATATATAGTAAGTAATAACTAATAAAATTTCAGGGATGGAAAATGTTAGAATTTAGTTGTTTTTTACATTTTTCATTAACATGTATTTATTTTAATTTATTTGTTTTCTTAAATTAAAAACTACAAAATTTTTAAAACTACCAAATAATATAACAAATTCAAAGTGAATATTAATAGCAAACAACAAATAGTTAAAAAATATAAAAAAAAAAACTAGTTATTACAGTTTTTTAAGGATTACCAATTTTTCTCTTTGATTATTTTATTTTGATATTACATTTTTTTCTTAAACTATTTTCTGCTATTTAATATCATTAATTAGAGACATTTTGCATCCCAGATATGTTTATAAATACACTTTTAGTATTTAATTGTTCACCCTAAATACTACAATGTTGTTTAAAAGTAAATAATAAAAACTAACTTGGGCAATAATTTAAATTTTTTTTAAAAAAAGTATGATTTATAAACACTATTTTAACATAATTTTTCTAGTTATATACATATATGTTGATTAAAAACAGATAATAAATTGTATTAATGAAAATTAAAAAAAAATAATCTATAGTTTTACACACCATAAGCGGATTGTGTAGCTGCAGCAGTTTGATATGATGCTACATCGTATGCAGTTGCAGCAGCCCGTGGAGTCGTATAAGTAGCTGGTGGAACAGCATATCCTGCTTGTGGAGCAGGTTGGTAACCAGTGGCAGTACTAAAATAATAAATTGCATGAAAAAATTAAACAACTACAATACATATATATAATATTGTATTACTATTAATATAAAATAGAAAAATTTAAAACACTAATAGCTACTTATGAATTTTTTAGATTCTTCTAAGAGTTCAAAGCAAATAACTACCTTTTTTTTCTTTTATTTCAATGAATTTTAAAGTGATATGTTACAGTAAAAGTTCGAACACAAATGAAACCAAAGTTTTCTGCTATCAATAAATGTCCAAATTTCAGCCAATTTTTACAAACGAGATTAAGATTAACTTATTATGTCCAAAAATTGAATTTGTTTTTACTTATAAATTATGTGATAATTATAATTTTGTTTTTTTTTATGCAGACTTGACTACTGAATCAGGAATTGCATAGCAAAGTGAATACTACTCTTAAAATATTTTCAACAAGTCTAGATATCAAAAATTCATCAAATCAATCAATCTATTAAACCTATTCCATATATCTTAAATTGTGATAAATAATTGTGTGTACCTAACAGTGTTCATAAGTAAAAGAACTCTTATCACATAACGATATTACAGTCAAATTATAAATAAATAAAAACACACGACATACTTCGCATGTGGGTGGGCCATCACTAGCGTAGGTGAGAAGTTGAGCGGTAGGAGAGGGGTAAATCTGTATGCAACGTTTAACCATTACTAACACAAAAACAATTCTGAGCCTAGTTCAGTTAATATTGTTACTTTTTCAATATTATTTATGTCATATTATGGTAAAATGATTACATATGCATTGAATATTTCCTTTAAAAATATTTAGTTTAATTTTTCTTATTTGTCAGAAACTCCTGAGAATCAAAAAAATTACTCCATAAAGTACCCCCCATCTCAGTCAGATTTTCTTTCAGAATAAAAATCAATACATTCCTTACTGTGCTCAGAATATAAAATGTAGAAGTATCACACAATTATTAATACAAAAATAAAATAAATTTTGACTTTTACTAACACTCATAGTTATCCTAAGATTCACCAAATCTCATTTGAAAAATAACAAACTACCAGCAAAAATTATTCAGGGTTTGCAAAATATTTTGTGTATCCGAGATTACCGGAATCAATTGGTAAATGCCCAAAATGCAGACATTAGCAACAGCAGTTCACAAACTAATATTTCCTAGTAAATCTTAGATTTCACTGATATTCAAACTTTTACGGCAACATATACCTACTTAGTTATAAATGAATAAATGTATTAAATAGAATAATATTGTAATTGAAATACAGTCATAAAATATGTCGTTTAATATTGAATTTTAAGGCAATTATAATAAGTAACACATTTTTTTTTTTTTTTTACATAACAACACTATTAATATAAAACCTGTAAAATGATCCCTATAAAAGCAAAACTAATCATTTTAAGATGTTTACAAAAAAAAAAAAAAAAAAAAAAAAAAAAAAAAAAAATAGTCAAAAATAAAAGTAAAACCGGGTTAAGCATTATAATTTTTAACTGAATACTTAGAAAAAGAAAACACGTAATAAATAGTAATACCTACCTATGTAATTGTTTTTACGCGACAAAAATCAAATCAAATTAAATAGGTAAAAGTAGACCTGGATTCCAAAGAACAATTAAAGACAACGCGTGTTTAATTCACTGTTAACGAGGTAAAATAATTAATGGCGACAGAAAGAGAACTATGTATCAGACATAATCACGTATTAAACACCGTAAAATAACAAAAAAAAAACCTAAATGTACACGACATCGCCCTCATGCGGTTTTCATAACCTAGCCTACACGTTTAATGCCTATTACGCATCAAAAAACGGTTGTGTAACAACCGGCGGAACAACGATAGTCTCTAAATTATACTTCCACCGAGAAATAATTAATCGTATCACAATATTACTTACGCATATTGGGTGCCGCCGTGTGTGAAACCGAAATAATTATTGGCGGCCATTACGGTGAATAAATTTTACCGGGAAAAAATTGCCAAACAAACGGCAGGCGGGAACGGCGGCTACGGTGGTTGCAGAAGCAATTTAGCACTTCAGCAGCAACGCATCACCAGCGAACGTGTGAAAAACACGTCGCAAAAACAACGATTTCTGATGACAGAAATTGTCTAAGACCAAACGCTGAAATGACCGTCGGTGAAATGATATTCTTCAGAGGAAAAAAAATCGACAAAAATGTTGACACTAAACAGTCACTCAGCAACCGACATAAAATGGCGTCATATCCGTAATCCGTCCCCGGCACTCCGGCTCCGCCGGTGACCGACCAACGGGAACGCTTATTGTCAAGCCCAAGCGTCAGTCGATCCAACTCCCGGTTAGGTTCTGACAAAATACTAAAGCAGTGCTACCAACAATAACACTAATATCATTTATTTTCAAAAAATTGATATGGATCACGGTCACCGAGATCGATTAAAGATACCTTAAATCGTGATCACGGTTAAAAATAGAAGTGTGATACGAACATAGATTAGAACAGATAACGGCTGTATTTTTATTATCAGTCTCGTAATCTTTTACTTTTATTATTTAAATTTGTTGTATAATATTAATTATTATTTAAAAATATAGATTATGGGGTTCAAAAATTGTTTTACTACTTAATTAGTAGACATGAGTAAATTTTAATTAAATACCGTTTTTTTTTTTTTTTGAATTGTAATTGTAAAATAGTAAATATATATTTTTCAAAATGAGCAGCAGAGTGGTGAACGAAAGTAGCATGTTCTACATGGACTTTTGTCCAAACTGCTCAAATATTCTTCACTTGGATGAATGTATGGGAGAAATAAGACACAAATGTCAAGTCTGTCCATATTTTTCGCCTATCAAAAATATCATGCTGGGATCCCGATCGTTCTACAAACTAAAAGTAAAAACTATTCTCTGAGTAGTCGTACTTCATTTTCTATTTTTCAAAATAATTCCTCGCATTAATATTTACAGGCCAATAGCTTTTATGAAATAATTATAAGTAATAATTATATATTTTATGACTTGTATAGAGCTGAATTTTTCTTTGAAGTCATTTTATTACAATCCTTTATTAGAAAAATATAATTATTTACCTTTCAGTACTCCATATATATATATATATGGAATTTTTAATCTAAGTTGCCATTTTAAAATCTAAAATAGGTAGTGGTTTTATCCCAAAAAATAACATTAATATAAAATCGTAGAGCTGCTTATTTCTAATAAATTTTCTATAAATCAAATAACAAAAAAAAGTTAATACTTTTCAAGATAATAGTGCCCTACGATAGATTGATCACTCTGTATACATAGGAAAATTGGGTTGACCATTTCAAATTTGTTGTGAAATATTAATCAATGGTTTATTTTTGGATATAAATTATAATTTATTGATTTAAATTAATGTTCTTTCAGATATAATGGAATATATTGAAATTCAAAATTATTGCGAGATGCTTTGTTAAATCAAATATTTAATCAATGTTTAATAGTTAAATATTAATATTATTTTATAGTATATTGTTCATATATTTAATAGTATTTTACCATAGTAATGTGTGTTTAGGAAATTGATTCCGTTTTGGGTGGGAAAGCTGCTTGGGAAAATGTAGATTCAATTGATATCATTTGTAATTCATGCAATCACGGAAGAGCATATTTTCTACAAGTTCAAACTAGATCAGCTGACGAGCCTATGACAGTGTTCTATAAATGCTGTAACTGTGGAAACAGATGGAGAGAATAAATATGGATAAATAACATATTATATCAGATTAATTAATTATTTATAGATTTAAATGTATATACTTAAGAAATATAAATTAAAAAATGTATTATAACTAATAACAATGTTTAAAAATTCAATATTTTTAGCAAATTATTTACAAGAAATATGATTTTATAATTTTATTGCTGCGATTCTTTGGAATTTGTAATTACTTTTTCCTAAACTAATATAAGATACATATATTATAAATGTGAAAGTAAGTCTATATGCTACATTTTCACGCTTAAACTGCTGAACCAATTCTGATGAATTTCAGTTTAGAGATATATTAGAAAAATAGGCCACTTAAATGTCACAAAAATAGAACTTAAGAGAATGAAAGATTTTTTTCATATTTTTAGTTCAAAAATTAAATTATTTTTGTTGAATTATGAATTACCTTAATAACACAGATAAAATTAATAAAAATGCCATAACAACTATAAAAATTTAAAATAATCTATCTGACCGTCTGCCGGTCTATTATTAGCTTGGAATAGGATGGACTACCTTGGTAATATGGATTAATAAAAATAAACAAGAAACTAAGTACTGTATGGTTGGGTAAGTAAAAATTAAAAATACATAAAACGTCATCTTTGACTGTATTTTTTAATAAAGTAACAACACTATAGTACTATTCTGCCCTTATTAGCAAAAACACTGCAAGTCATTAAACGTTTTTAAGAAAAAACGGGTTTTTATATTTTGGATTTTCTTATAGTATATTATGAAATATTAAACGCAATGTAAAAAAAATAAATTAATTCTGAAGTGCTTACTTAACATTTTACATTGATCCTTAGTATTGATATTTAGAACTGTACTGAATAGATTCGTAAATAGAATCCATGGGTTAGTGTATAATTGTATAAATAGCTAACAAATAACTGATATTGTATCATTTGTAAAGTTTCTATATTATATTAAATTTTATTTTATTTTGATGATTTATTGGTTACAATATTGCATATTACGATAAGTCAAACCACAATCTGTACTAAGTTTAAACACCCCAAATTATCATTTTTATTATATACTAAGCAAAAGTGGCATAGCTACATTAATATATACGGTGTTTAGCATGGTTATTATACATCGTTTTTACCTAGTAAAAATGTATTTTTCGACTACAACATTTTGTCAAAACTAATATTGCTAATATTCATTTAATAGAATAATATTTCAGACCCAGCATATTGATCTAAAACGTCTAAATTTTACAATTTTTTTGATGTCTCATTTTTTTATTTTTTGGCTTGCAGCATTTTTGCTTAGGAAGGCATTATTATGTTCACATAATTTTAGCATTATTAGAGTGGATATATAGTTTAATCCCTGTGCTATATAGGTATCTATAGTAACATTGATGAAAAAATGTATCACACTAGCACTTTTAGTCAGTTATTTAGACGGAGTATCCAATTTCCACATTTTATCGTTTAATATACTGATCCTGGCAATACAAAACAGAAATAAAGGTATAAAGAATAAAAAAATTGGCATACATAATACTGGGTGTTGAACAATTGGAATTGTATAAATTTATTAAAAATTATAATTATCTATATATTAATTTAAATTGATTAATTGCTTGTGATTTACCACCCTATTATTTAGTTAGCATGAAACTAGCTCTTAATATGCCTAACATTGTTTTAATAGTTATCATTTAATTAAGAACAGGTATTTAGTGTATCCAGTAAATTATATCTATAAATTCAGTATAATTTTCTATAAGCAACTAACATGGAAGTATCAGCAAGAACAATCAGCTTAGATGTAAAATTTTGATAGGTTGAAGAAAATAACAGACTACTCAAAGAACAGTTTTTACTTTAAGTACCTATATAGAACGACTTGGTACTAAGAATAATTTTTTGATAGCTAAGTATTTACGTATAATTATATTATATGTATATCGTATGGAAAGACAACATTTGTGTCTTTTATTTTAACAATTGCAAAGCTACATTCGACCCATTATCATTTTTATCAGTTTACAGTTACGCATGTACTGTGTAGCCACCTTAAATCTTGGTCTTATGACTTGGTTTCATTAGAACAGTGATATATTTTTAATTTTGTTTTTTTTTTCAAAGAATTAATTTGAATACTTTGCTATAAAATAAAAAATAATTTTAAATAAATACAAAAAATACCACTAATTACCAATAGTTTTTAAATCACCAAATGTGTGTAAATGATGCGAGGGACCAAGTCAAGTGAAGAACTAGGACCAAAATTTACTAGAGACCAACTAGTTTGTTCTTATTATTTTAATAATAGTTCTTCCATCACTTAATTATTGATTTTCCTTATTACTTATAATATATATTATAAATTACAGAAATTACAAGGCAAATAATAATGTATATAAAAAAAATGTTTTTATTTAATTATATTTACCTTAGATTCTATAATAACTTTTCAATTCCAAGTGCAAAATAAGGATATAAAAATAGTACTATTAAAATTAAAAAAAAAAAAAACTTAAAACAGTTCTATGATTTATGGGTCTAATTAATAATTAATCATGTATAAATTGGGTATTAAGAAATCAGTCTCAACATCATACTATAAAAGTGTAAACCTTAAGTTTAGTCAAAATACCAGAAATACCGACAACATAGCAATTTCAAATTTAGAGTTTATATTTTAATATAAAATAAAGCTTTTAAAATTTGAATTAATTAAATAAAACTGATGCTGATTACAATATACGACTAGAATGGTTTCATACTAAAGTTATATTTACAACTGGAACAAATAAATGAATCGATTGCATCAATTAAACTTATTATTTTTTATTTAACAAATTGCCATGAACTAGCACTATAACTTATAAGTACACCTGCATAGTCGCACATATTGCATCCTTACAAACTGGACATTCCCACATTTCACCCGAACACTTTGCACAAGCATATATATGCCTACAAGGCATAAAAACAGCATCCATTTCTTCTTTGCCACAAACTTTGCATAGCATTTGATCTGAAGATTCGTCAGGACATTGTGATGAACTACACGGTAACTGGTCATCGTGTTCTTGTTCTGGATCCACATATATGCTTACGTTCATAGCACGGTTGAATGGCATTCTACATACAGCACACTGATCTATAGTCATAGCACATTGAATACAAGCAATTACATGTCCACACGGGATAAAAGCTATTTTCATTTCTTCTTTGTAACAAATCTTGCAAAGCATAGAATCGGATATTTTACTCGAAGATTGGAATTGACCCGAGTTGTTCCTAGATAGCAGTGGCAATATGATTTGTTTGCCTATAGTTTCTGAAGAATTTAATTTTCTAAAATTAAAAAAAATTAAAAAAACAAATTATATATAATATTATAACCAGTAAGTACATTAACATATATTAAATGTATTTAAACAAAATGTGCACAATAAAATCAAAACAATATAAAAGAAGCTTTTACGATCTATTGAAAATATAATAATTTGAGACGTGCAAAAATAAAATGCATAAAAAATCATACATAAAATTGTTGAAAATATTTTACTAGGTATTATGGTAAAATGTGTCTAAAAAAAAATCAAGGTAATATACCTCGGTGTATGATGTTGATAGACGATGTGTAACCTGATTAAAACAAATAAAAAAAAGAGCTAATAATAAATTGAATGAATTCTCTAAAAAAATTAAATCTAGATATGAAATCAAATGAAGATAAGATTATAATTACTATATTTCTAGGTGTCAACAAATATTAAAGAAAATCGATAAAAAGTTAAAAATTAAAATATTCTTCTGTTATTAACTTATTATTATATGTCTATTAATAAAATAAAAAATATACCTTCGTGTCAAATTAACTTTAATATTATTATTCTCAAGAATTGACAAGTCTTCATTATTAGCAATCATCTTGGATAATTCCTATAAATTAATTAGAATGTAAGTTTCTAAATTCCATCACGAAATGTGAATAAACAGAAATCCTTGCCTTTTGGTTGGGGATCAATCCACGCGCCAAATCAACAAAATATTTGCCTTTACTTAGCAATACATAAGTACAAGTAGGTGACCATTTGGCATGTTCTGTCCATGGTTCATCATCATCTTCCCAGTCCTTAAGACCTTGACTACAACAGAAACATATCATCTGATCGTTTTCTCCATCACCTAATATATAATAAAATAACATTAATACAATCACAATATATTAAAGTATATATATAATAAAGTAATATCGAGAAGAGGAGAGGACACAGGAGCCTTCACATTGAATGTAAAACCCATGCCTACTAACCTTCTTGTAATAAAGTAACATTAAAATTATTTTCATAAATTTACCTATATAATAAAATCCAGCTTCACATAGAGTCTGAATATCTTGTTTCATTTGTTTCTTACATTTATCAAATGTTTTCAAGCGAGCTTCAAGAGTAGCGAAGTCTTTATGATTAGGTGTTTTAATTTCTTGTATAACACCAACAGAATCAAAGAGCTGTTGAATTTGTTTCGTCTCTTCAGAGATACACGGAGAATTGGTAGGAGGGAAACCAAAAGGCCCACATACATCATAACCTGTAAAAATAAAATTTTGATTACTCAAATCACTTACAGTACAAACCAATATTAATTTTGAGTTATTCAACCCAAGTAATAAAAAATCTAAAACAACAACCTAAAATATATACTAAAAATAAATTACCTAAAGAACAAATCTATAACAATTGATACAATATAAAAACTTGATAAAATTTTTTTTATAATAAACTAAGAAGTATAATTAACATGAAATGTTATAATATAAAAATTTACCTTCACTTTCTCTAAAAAACGGACATTGTGGAGATTTATTTCTATGTTCAATAATAGGATCATCACCACGTTGCCAGTAATCAAATTCTTTAGAGCAAAACAGACATCGCACACGATCTTGTTTGCCCAAATAATATAATCCAGCTTTAGCCATTTGGTCAGGTGTAATGAAGTCTAGTTTCCATCCTACATTAAAAGTTCTCAGACGATTTTCGTAGATTGTCAAATCCCAGGTAGGTGGTTCAGAAGATTGCTCAGGTGGACTCCCAGTAGCAGATTCAGATAGAGGATATGATGAGTTCAATATAATTGGAGAACCATTAGCCATATGTATTATATTTTTTTCTTGTTTCACAATATTTCTTAAAGGATGCAAGACGGCCTTATGGTTCGGAGATGGTGCCATCTAAAAAAAATTAAATGTTTAAACAAATTAGTTTCTTTATTGATTTAATCAACATAGGTACATTAAATTAAAGTACTTAGATATTAAACATAGATAATGTATTTAATTATGTAATACCTATGTATTACTTAATTAAAAGTCCTAGAAAGATTTAATTAAAAAGTTGTTCTACAATCTAGATATACCTGTTAAAAAATATTACCACAGATATTATTAAAGTATCATGTTGTTAGAAATTTAATCATATGATTGTTATGAAGGAATTGTATTTGTCATTACCTTGAACATTTATATTATATTCACTACCTAGATTATTATTTGGTTTACATATAAGTACCTATACAGGTAGGCACCTAATTTATTACACTAACGATATAAATAAAGACAATTCAAAACTCTGAGGAAAAATATTAAATAAAGAACATTGTTTAATATATATAAAAAAAAATTTGAATTATATAATAAGACATAGCTAATTAACTTCATTGATTACTCAATCAAATGTATAGTAAAAGAAAAGTATAGAAAATACAGATTCCATTTCAATAGTCCAACGAATAAAAATTTGGTGAAAATTGTAACAGCTTAACCTAAATATGAAAAATATAATAGCTATTAATTTTAATCAATCAGACCAGAAGGGCGTATTAATAAAAACCATAACGGATACAGTCAGCGTTACAAAAAGAAAAACCCTATGACGAACAGCTGATAATATTAATCAATACGATATTGTTATTTTCATAAGGCCCCATTGTCGGACAAAAACAAGTTGCGTGGAATCAAATAATCAATTAGGCCTAATGAAGTGCAAACGACGAAACTACGTGGTAAATAATGTCAATATAATGAATCGCATTTCATTGGGTATTAATAACGTTGGTAGTTCCCTAGTAAAGGCCTCATATCGGAGAATCGTGTGCAAGCCAATGAAATATACAATAATCACACACTTTAATGAACGGAAAAAAAATTGGAGGCATTGCGATTATAAACAAAATCATAATAATACTATCAGTGATGCACTGATACAGTCGATCGACTAGAGATAAACATCAATCCATCAATGAACAACGAGTCGTCGTTATCGGACTATGTGGTCGAGAGGAAAAGTTTCCGGTGGGCCGATAACTAAGAGAAAAACCCGTCGGCAAAATGGACGTGCGCGAGGTCGAAAACTATTCACAGAGCATCCAGATGGAACGTATTATACGGCGGCCACGCAATAATAATAATTATAATTTATAACCTTCACAACAACGATCGTTCAGCGAGAGTTGTACCAACCGTCGTTGGGCCGCCCAAACCGAACGCCAACGAGGATTTGACCGTGAATCCAACAAACAAAATACAATGTTCAATAAATTAATATGGAAACGAGGAAAAAAAAAATAAAAAAAAATAGGACAATAATAATACCTTGGTTTTCGTTCGTAGGTACGCGCTTGGTGGCGTTGACGGGGCGCCGTGCACGGGCCGAGCGGGACGAGACGGTGAAAAACACGAACAAAAAGGTTTTTCGCGGAGAATGCCGAAGCGGAGCGGCTTAAAGGTCCATTTTGGGGTTTTTTTCGCGTGATTTTTTTATACGTCTTGTTACGGCACCGTTTTCGTGTCGGTCGCTGTTTGTACGGTTGCACAACAACGGACGGGTGGGAACCAAACACACGGTAGAAACGCTGACAACAACGGATGAATGGAAATCAAAACTCAAAAGACACGAATGGAAATGCGGTTTAGCGGGAGGCCGTCGCGTTCAGCACTGAGGTTCGAGAGACGGCGGTCGTACACCGGCCCCTCTACCGTCTACGCGATACGCGCCGAGCACGCGCGCGCCGTCTCTCGGGAACGGTTCGGCCGCCACCGTTAGCGAGGGTCGTTTCACTAGGAGTGGAGAGAGGAGGATATAATAATAACAATAATATTTTGCTGCCGGAAACCGTAGAATAACACTAGAGCAGATATTACCCACGGAATGTTGTATTTTATGTTATTTGTGTTTTAAAAAAATGACGATGATAATAACAATAATGATAATAATATTATTATGAAATTATACGTGCGAACCACGACCGCCCATGGTCGTGGTTCGCACGAGCGCCCTGCGAGAAAAGGAAACTGAGGAGACGATCACACCTCTCCCCACCCACCCCTTTGAACAAAATATGTGAACTGATAATTTCCATTAACCGAGAAACTTACATGGTATAGTTATTACAAAAATAGATACAAGTTGTTATTGTATGGAAGTATGAAAGGTTTTTATTGATCGCAGATCAACGAGGATATAAAAAAAAAAATAGGATTTTTAAAAAGTCTACAGCATTCTATAAATATTAAAAAGTAAGTACACCGTCATTGATTTCGATGAAAAGCTTGTTAATGACGTATTTAAGGGGGGAGGGTTAGACACACAAACGCGAAAAACATGTGACAACCTATAATCATTCTGTGTGTGGCGTATTAATTGCTTGATTTATTTGGGGGGGAGGTACATAACACAATCTAGACTGTTAAGTCCATCTAAATCATATCGAGTTCTATAATACCGTTATACAAATGTACGCCTTTGGGAAACCGACAATACCCCCCTTCGAAAATAACGACGTCTAACGTATTTTACGTACTTACCTACATTGACTTAAATACTACTACACCTTTGTCTTTATATTTTTGTTTATTTTCCTGGGATTTTGGAAGGAAAATCCCCCAAAAATTAACCTTAACTTTATTTTGTTTGATAAACACACTCAGTAGTTTTCATTTGTCTATTTTCAGAAAAATTGTCGGGGGGTGGGTTAACCTAATGGATATGGTCTTGTAGAATTTCGTATATGTTGAATTGGAACTTAAGAGATGACATAAAAAAGAAATAAGTGAATTAATACTTTTACAAAGTGTCCCATGAAGATGATTTACCCATTGTAATATCTTTGGAGATAATAGAGATGATCAAATTCTGGTTATTTTTTTATATTACTTACTGGGATTAGGACTACAAATATTTATATTGAAATTAATGTTTTTTTTAGGGAAAAATTTAAAAAATTATTTAAAAAAAAAAATTAAAGATAGCCATTTTATAAAGTTTATTTTTCTGAAAATCTTGACGTATATACTTTTTATTTTCATAAATTCATGATTTTTAATATTATGTTTAAGTTCGGAGAAAATAATTTTTTTTTAAATTTTTTACCGAAATGTGAAAAATTAATGCAATATAAATATTTGTAGTTTTTATTCCTGTGATTAGTTTAAAAAAAAAAAAAACAAAATTTGATTATCTTTATAATCTCTGAATATACTACAATGGGTATACCTTTGTAGGACACCCTGTATAGGTTTCAAACTATGAAAACAAATTTTGTCGCGAAATAAACTAAACCCTTTATACCTTTATTTGGCATAAATTTTGATAGTATTTTTATTCTGTCCCTCCCCAGAAATTTCACCTCTAAGCACCCATGAATGCAATTAATTTCCAGCGTTTATTACGAGAGTAATGTTTATCGTATTTCGTGTAGCTTTCCCAAAAAATAAAGAGTTATATTATCCAGTTAGGTCATATCAGTGGTTAGATGAATGCGCCCTGAAATAACAAAAAAATATTGGTCTCTAGTTTTGATATCAATACAGACGTTTTCGTAACTCGGGTAAACAAACGTTGGAAACGTTTCCTTAGGATTACACGTCAGATCTCAAGTAAACAAAAATCATTCTGCCGATCAAATGTCTATTCTATATTATTCGTTGATAATACGATTCCATATACCTATAAAAAAAAACCCCCGACGGAATAGTTTATAAGTGAAATATATTTAATATATGTATTGTTTATATTATTCGACATTCGAATAAACATGGCGTAGACGACAGCGACCTGTTTATTATGACGTAACCTATAGAAGTACTTATTTTATTTAAATTATTAGCGTGTTTGTAAACTAAACATAAACCGTACGGAATATAATTTATACCCGCAATAATGCATACGTATTACGAGTATAACGAATAGGAATAAAACTAAACAAAAGTTAACCTAATATCTAATTTTTTTTCTATGTTACAAAACACTCGTAACAATAACTGATATATTAAACGTGGAGGGACAAGGGATTCATTGGAATCGGATTATTTTTGTAGTTCAGAGCTTAAACCAAATAAAATATAATGCGAAATAATGTGTTTACCTTATATCTCCAACAGATAGTGTTAATCGACTTTTATTTCTATTTCGCAGCGAAATTTTCGTTATTTAGTGTAAAATATATACCTATTAATAATATTTATTGACTTTCAGAATCTCTTTGAAATTTGAAATATAAAATAAAAAGTACAGTTACTACTCGTTAAACTCGTTGCCGGTCGGTGGCTAAAAGATTATGGGCAAAATATATTGTAGTACACTTTATTATAAGTAATTTGTAGTAATGATAACTATAAGTATAATCTGAACTATCTAACTAATAAATGATTTTGGAATGACAGATAAACTGATGACTAAGACTTTGTTTACCTTTACGGCTTTACATTTGCCGAAATAGATATAATTAACCTTGGTCGTGTATGATATCTATATGATAATACAAATCTAAACATACATACCTAGCAGAAAATACTTTGAGATTAAAATCACCTACTTTTTAAATATTTTATAGGTAGATACCTAATTATTGAGATATAATTCTAATTTTCTATATGACCTTTATAGAACTTTTTCAAATCTTATTTCCAATAAAAATAGTTATTGAAATGGCTTAATAATGCTCTTTGTTTTTTGTTCAGTAATCAGTCATTCGTGTGTACCTACTCGTAGTATATTTCTATTCCCATCGAATGTTGGGATTAATATGCTTCTTTTTTTCTTTTTTTTTTTCTGTTGGTTGATTTAGTATTATAAAACTAATAAATAAAAACAGTATTATATTTTAATTATTAAAATAACCATTCTAAATGAAATAAATACAAATATTATCTGAACAAATAGAATTTGATTCAAAGGTTAAACGTTATTAACTTGCATATGACTAATAAATAACAATAATAAACAATCAACAATATCGAATTCGTCATTATTTATTTTATCACGAATAAAAAAATGCGATTGCTACAGTACTGCTATTTTTTTCTCTACTTCTCTTTATAAGGAGTTTTATTGAATACAATTTCAAAATTACTCGTTCCTATATTATTATGAATTTTTTCAAAAAACCACAAGACGTTATATTTTTAAACATCGTCCAATGTTATATGCATTGACAGCTCAAGTTAATATGGCATATCATATAATATGAGGTCACCCACACATTTTTTACATAACTCATTGCGTATACAGAAATATTTCAAATAGATTTTTGTGTTCCAGTAGGTATATCCAACTGCGTGATGAACGAAAACATTTCTCTAATACTATTTCTTAGCTCTTAAAATAAGGTTTGGCAATACGTTTATATGTGAAAAAAGGAAGGGGAAAACATGGGATGATGATTTGTATTAATATTGCACTAATAGAGTTTGAAATATTATGGTCACGACGTCACTATGTATACCCAACCACTGCAGATAACTTGAAAAGCAAAGACGTAGCGTAATAGTTATCTATCATAGCCCTAACAAAGTTGTTTACATACGTATACATATTTGTAGGTGTCGTTGCAACCTTATCTCCCCTTAAAAGCACTAGATTACTTAAAAACGAACGTGTGGGTTTCGGGAATTCACCTCCTCACGAAGTATAAAGTACCTAAGTACTTTATAATATTTGTACTCGTGTAATTAAATACAAGAAAAATAGTATAGCCATCACTATATATAGGTATAATTCATTCACAGCTAAACAAAAATATTTGTTCCGCCACCCGGATTATTTCATTGTAGAAATAACTGATAAGCTGTAACAACTAGGACATTTTGTATTGCCATCTTATCTGTCAGCACGACAGGACAGTGGACGTTTACGCTTTATCGCTGCGAAGACGCATTCCTAAACGCGAATCCAGGCCGGCGGGTTCGTCAAACTGGTCATGAAGGGATCGGGCTCCAGGCTGGTGGATTTCTGAACTGGTTTGTGAAATTTAAGTTAGTTGTTGTGGGGATATTGCGGGACAAATACAGCCCGCGCATCCCGTTCTAAGTTGTACTTATTTGATTGCACTATTCATGTGAGCCTGCTCAGCAAAGGGGAAAACAAGATTTCCAACAAAGTAATTATATTAAATAGATGGCACGAGTGTAGCATTGTGAAAAACAGATGATCCTCCATTGCTATCGGGTCGAACATAAAAAAGAGCCATTTGTCATTATTATCGTGTTGCTATTTTTATTTTATTGTCTTTTATAATTTTGTACATTTTCACCAAAAAAAAATGTAAAGAGAAAACTTTTTTTCTGTATGGTCATTTTTCAGGGTGGCTGCAGGTAATTCTGGAGAGGCTACAAGCCACTCTGCACCATTCTACGCCTATACTGACTAGCGTATTATAATACACAAGTACACAAACAATTAAATTGCATGTCAATTTTCAGTCTAATTGTTGTTTGAGTTAGATCGTAACGATATTGTGCACGAAGATTAATAATCTGTTGTTTTCTAACTTATTGCGTAGTACAATAGGACAATTCGAAAATTGCACGTAAACAGTATTTAATAATAACAATAATTAATATGTTTAGTACAATAATAGGAGACGGCGACGATTCTCTGTGTAAACTCTTTATTAATAATAATTGTCTACGTAAATTTGTAAATATTAATATCATCGACAATTTCCCGATCTTCTAAAGTTTCTCGGTATAGTCGAATGTTGGCTAAAGTGGTTTATCTTTCTCATACGGGAATCTTTGACCGAGATTTCGCAAAATCGGCAAGTAAAACATCGAAAACAGTGCTAAATGTAATTCGTCACGGTTCCAATAACAGCAGAATTGGAATTCGTCCTGGCCTCGCACGGCGCACGCAATCGCGGTGACGGGCGACGGCGACCTACCGCGTAGCGCCGCCGCTGTGTCGGCTCAGCTGGTTGCAGGCAGGACGAAAAAACCATTCAGTAAAATGTATTTTCATTGTGTACTTCGGACGGTACTGCAGTGCAGCCACATTTCGTTTATCAAACTCCGACAACCGTATAGCTTCCCGAACCGTCACGGGCTCGTTGATGAATATTCTAGGATGCATAAGAGCCTTGAACACCGGAAGTCGAACGTGGGAAAACACGGTATGTTTTCCGGCCATTTGTCGTTCGTTAATGTACCCCGAGTTGTTTACGCACTTCTGACAAAAAAAAAAATGCAAATGCCGCTGGGCCCGCGGTATATGCTGTTAACAAAATAAATAAAACGATTGCGTTCATTGTTTTCCGTTTATGTGGCCTACATTAGCAGCTGGTGTATACGATTGTATCCACAATACTATAGCTGCACCGTCTGTACAAAACATTGTAATTAAATCTTCCGTCGAATGTCGTTTAATACATTATACGGCCCGCACGTACCTACCTAGTTTTAATTTAACTACGTACGCCGTACACCTCTACACAAACCTATAAGTTAATTATTTACGAAAAATTTAAAATATTTTTTTAGTGCAATAATAAAAATAATAATAATGTACCTAATAAAATAATAATGTACCTATAGCTATTGCGAGAAAAAACTTAGAACAGTGTCCGTGACAGCGTGCAACGATGTCGTCCGTGACACGATGCCGTCCGGCCCAAATTCTCGCGAAAATAAATTTTAACTCGCCTGGAAGGTCATCAGAAAAAAAAATCCATTTACCGGGTCACCATACATTTATCTCGTGATTAGATACCGAAAAAATAATGCTGTGCAATGTCGCCGAGACGAAGTCGCTCGATTAGCCCATAATAACTACAGCAAAATCAATCGTTCTATGTTTTCGTTGAGACTGTACGACTCAATGACAATAATAGTAATATAATATTATGGAGATTTTTGTATGATTTTCTACGCATAAGGAAATCTGAGACGCCTTAAAATGCTATACAGGTAGGTACGTAAACTGAATAATGCGCACCTATTACCATACCATACGCGATACGGCGTCTCGAACCATACTAAATTCCACGACTGCGCGCTTACGCAAACGTATTCTAATGACCGAAAATCTAAATATATTTTCTGACATAAGCACCTGTCCACGCGAGTTTTTATTCGAGTAACAAGAAAGACGGTTTCGTAAATAAAAAAGAAAAAAAGGTAAAATCCACATTAATATCGGTTTGCACTCTCAAGTCTAAAGTATTGTGACTATACTTGAGTAGTATTTAACCTACACGATTTACTATTCTGGATATTATAGTTCATATTTTACAGACTGGTGACTGCGAGAGTCGACAAAAATAGACATAACAAAATGAAGAGAAAATACTGCAATTCCGTTCTAAATTCGGAAGAAAGCTTCGGTTGGATAACCGGAATCGGTCCTATAGTCATCCTGTCGTTGACCTGCTCCAACCTATAACAAAAAGCGAACTACGCAATTGTAGTTGTACAGTCGCTTAAAAATCTGCTTTGTGGTTTTATACGGAGAGAAAGTGCACGGTAAGCTATACGGGTGAATGCGAACGTACTAAACTCTCTACTAACTAATATTGTAATATATAATAGTCTTCGCAGTGAATGCACGCAAATAACGCCTTACGTATACCGAATTAAGTATCCAAGTGGTTACCAAATTTACCAAACATACAGTGGTAGATTTAGGAGAGGGGGAAGATAAGAAGGTCTGGCAGATACCAATATAATTTCAATAAAATGTCATCCAAAAAAAAGTCATCTATTAATAGATACTTTTAAAAGACATTTCAGGACCCCTTCCAGAAAAATGTTGAAAATCTGCCATTGCATACCATCGATAACGGCAGCAACGTCTCCTGATCAATTTCACAGAGGGGGGAATTAGATATTGAAATTTTTGATACGATTTTTTTTTCGTAAATGCATCTTAAGAACTATAATAATATAGACAACGGATATTTGGTAATGCACATATGGGACGTCAACATAATACGGCACACGAGGAGAACCGATCGCTTCCCCCTTCTCAGGGACGCACCTGGATAATCAATGGTGTATCTGGAGCTAAATCAAGGGAGGTGCGGTTTGAAAATTGTAACACACCACAGAATATCGCGAGGGGTTTCCTCATCATCCCGCCCCAAAAAAAAGCAACAGTTGTAATTTTTTTTTTACAATGCCTCCCCCTGCCAAATAAAAAAAAAAAATGTACAGGTGTAAATAATAATTAATATTTTACGAAAAAAAAAAATATATATACATATACGGTCAAAAGCCGAAATCGGGCAAATCTTAGAAATTCTCAGAAATGTGAAAAATTGAAATTTATAGAGGACGTTACAGTAAGTTTGAAACATGACGTTTCGCCCAAGTATCGTGGAAATCTCGCTTTTTGTCCGGGCATCTCTGAGATTTGCACGATTTTACCGGTAACATATTATACATAATATTATGTATTCATATCAAATAATTATACACACAAATATTTACGAAAATTTCAAATCAATATTACGTAATCTTTTTTTTATTCTCCTACAAACCGACATATGACTACACTGTTCCGCATCGGTGTACCTATGTGTATTACAGACAGAAAATTGCGCCAGTTACATCGTGATCGCTACGTTTCGGCAACGCTGACAAAAATAACCCAAGAAATTAACGCGGTTACAAAATATACCATATCAGCCTATTGCCTATTTATACGGCCCGTGGCCGCGATTGGCAAATCGCAGGCGAAAAATTTCAAGGAGGCGGCGAGATTCGTCCATCACCCCACCCCTACCCCGTGTATTTCAAATACGCCGCTGCGGATAATCGGTACGAAATACTGCGGTTTCGCGGCACCCAGAGTTGAAAATTTTACGCGACAAAATAACACGGTATTCGGTCTCGCGGTGAATACTAAACCAAGCGTTGTTGTGACGGTGCGTAACGCTCCGGCCGAAACGGATCGAGGAGCGCCGCCGCCGCCGTCGTTTCACGCCCGAGCACATCCGGCGACCGGAACAATCGTAATCACGCGCACAGGACGTACTACGCCGCGCGTTATAAACAATACGCATTATTATTATTATTATTATTGTAATATTTTCGAACAGCGCGCGTCTGGGTCTTTGTGTGGAACTGTATAATATTATTGTCATTATAGTGCGGAGAGAGAAAAAAAAATGAAAACCAGATATTCTCATTTTTGTAATCAAGAGCAGCAGCTGTACCGTCGGCGGCGGCGCTTTGTACGCGGGGTGTACTTGCACAACAAAGTGTCTGGGACGAGCAGTTGGTCGCGGGCATAAACCATCTGTCCCCCGGCCGCACGCCCCACGCGGGCGGCAGCAGCCGTCTGGGAACGTGCCGCCACGTTGCCGGCCGGCCGTTAAGAACCGAAACCGGTCGGTCCATTGAAGCACCGCCGAAACGGCAACGTTGCGACAGCGCCGGCCGCATTCCACGAAATTTTCGACGCACCAGATTATCGGCCGTTTGTTTATTTTTTTCGCCTCCTTTTAGTAACGTTCATTTTTACTCCCTATTTATTTATTTTTTCCTCGGTATCGAAGAACACGAGCTCAGCGAGGAATGTATTTTTCATTTCTCCGACGCCGCAACGTTGGCCTTTTTACTCGTCTCGCGCGCACATGACCGTTTTCGGTTATTTGCTTCGCCCAAACACCCCCCTCCCCCCTGTATCCGTTCGCTTGTTTCACTCACTAAAATGTATAATATTATCTATAATGCGTGTACAGTCAACGAACGCGAGCGCAGTGTATGGGTGTGGTTACTATGATAGTATATTGTATTATAATACCGAGGAAAAGATTAATTTCATTTATTCTATGATACGAGTCATATGCGTCGTACACGCGAGAAACGATAAACACGTTAACTATAATGATAACAACAACAATAATAATATTCCGAACCGTACAAACACGACGCTCCTCGGATAACAAGGATAACAAGCATTGTTATTATTATGTATTTTATTTATAATAAAGACCGGACGAGGCGGGAGAACCCCCCCCCCCTGCGTCTTCGATAAAAGACACCCGATCCGAACGAATTCCACATGACTCACGCGCACGTGGATGAGGGTTACTTGTTAATATATAACCCTCTTCTCTCTCGTTCTATATTGTATTAATAACTCATTAACAATAAATTATTGTATTGTCGATAAGACAAGTTTCGACGCTTCTGTTAATTCCGAATAGATTCATACGAGTAGTCGAGTTCAAACTAGCGACAGACACTTCCGAATAGCATATAATATCGATAGTTTTCGATTGTTTAAATGAACTGTCGTCTATCGAATATTTTTTCCACTGCCGAATACTTTTATTCGGAAATTACTCTTTTTCGAATAGTTCGATGGTAACTTTACTATTCGATTGTGCCCACCCAGGGGCACCATGAATGGATGCGGGAGGGGGAAAGGGCTGTAGTCCCAATGAGTTTGACAAACTGAGGTTATAAGGAATATATGGCAAGATCGGGTAAAACTGTACATGAATATCTAAAATAGTGAGCCTCGAATGACATTTTAAAAACCTGGTGCCAATGTGCCCGTCATTAGAGTACAAACACACACACACACACACACACACACACACAGATTAATAATGCAGAATACTTTTTTCTTCTGTCTGTAAACAACTCCAAAGGCGGATTCTGATAGCATATCTTGTCTATTCGGTTTTTTGTAGAGGTTATAATTAGATTTCCCTAATAGTTTTCTTAATAATAGGAAAAAACCGGGAAGGCCGAACCAGACAATTTAAGCTACAGTTTGTTTATTTTTCCTGCGTTATTTAATTGTTTTTTTCTTTTTTAACTATCATAGAATTTTATTTACCAAACGCGTCACCACGATAATAACAACAGCAATATATATTGTTGTAAATTTTTATAACACTCGTTTTAATCGAATAATATTGAATTACTAAATGTCACAATGGTATGCATTTTTATTCAATGACTGTACGAGTCAGTTTATACAAAAGTATAAAGTCGGTAGGTGTTTAATAGATTAATTGTCATCACGCAGTTGCTGAATATTAGGTTTAGTGCATTCCTTTAACACAAAGAAATAAGCTTACTATAATCCACACACAGTAGACAAATAGATAATATTATAACGATAAGTCAATAATAATAATAAAAAACAACTTTGTTAATGTTTTTAAATGGAACTATTATTATTATCTATATAGAGTTATCGAATATCGAAAATTAAGTTTTTTTTAAATTTTTTTTTTTATTATCGTTATTTGCTTTATGTGTTCAGTAAACCGATAAAATATTTTTATGTACACAAGTGATAAAAACCGTGCCTTATACTATGAACACCGACGGAGAACATTTTTCCATGTAGTTTTCACGAATAAAACGTTTCGAAAAATGGTAAAAATAAAAAATATACAATTATAATACGTGTGCCGTCGATATTGGGTATTACGCACTACTATATTAACAACTAGCTATTGACGAATAACGGTTGAAATTTTGTCCGTTTTTGTGTAAGAAAATATTATTGTAAAACCATCGGAATTTTTCTCACGATAAAAAGGCGCGAATCCAATTCATAAGGAGATGTTAAAACCCTTTGAGAATATTTTCGAATACAATATATGAAAATAATATTGTATAATGTACCTACACAAAGACCCAAGACGACGTCTTTGTGTATAATATTATGACGGTGGACCCGCGCGCAGATGAATAGAACTGCATTTTTGTCTTGCTCGGCTGCTGGTCGTGCGTACGTCTGTTACTACATACCTGGGTATATAATATTATATACCTACAAGACCCACCGCTAACTTCGTATAGGTATAATACAAATCTAAAAACTGTTAACCCGGAGGAGGTCACGTTTGTGGTCTGCATTGACTGCATTCCTTTCCACTTATCACAATAATAATGTAATATTGTATACACTGCTATGGGCAAGTACCGGTTCGTAGGCATAATATAATCGTTATTATCGTTTATCACGTACTCGTATTTCATTACCAATGGAATTTCGGCTGGAAAATTCGAACCCCGACGCCACGGCGCGGCGGATCCGTAAGTATACATATTATAGGCTCCTATATTATATTAAATTCTATAGGAAACGTGCGATGTTTAAAATAATTCTCATTTGTCGAGGGTGTTTGTGAATAGTGCGAGAACAATCGTACAAGTACCTGGAGAAACCTGGAAACGTATACATTGTACATTTCAGGTTTTTATATAGCTACATTCCCAATCATGATTTGGAATGCTGTTCAAAAAATGAAATGAACATAACTTAAACATCCTTAAACATCAACTAAAACATCCTTTTTACATTGTGTAAAATATTTTTGTTGGCTACAAGTTGAGATACAAACAGCAATTCGCTATTTTATAAACTGTATGTCTGAACAGGGATTTAAGTATAGGCATGTTTGAAGAGACTACCTATGGATAAAATATTTATTGTTTAGTCTTTCTACTCTCTAGGTATGTCTGTATATGGCACATACAGGATAATTATAATTATTATTAATTTAATTTGTACATCATTATGTTGTTGTTCGAAATTGTATGTGCAATAAATAATAATATCTAATACGTATGCATTGATTTTGTTGTTGGTTAATACAAATTTTCGAAATAACCGTAGGAAAGAAAACCATTAAGCAACATTATAAATAATTTAATATAATTAATTTAATATAATATAAAAAATTAATATAATTTAATATAAGAAAATATTTTAAATAAAATAAAAGATGAAAAATCAGCAAATTTTTATTTACGATGTGAAATAATCAGAGCATTTTACACGCTTAAAAAAGTGTTTTCCAAAAGAAAAAAAATACGTCTTAGTACAACGAATAGTTTTTTCCCTGCACTCGATATCAAAATTAAAAATTATAATAGATATTTTTTTTGCTACGGTTTCACATCGCAATATAATTGTATCGAAATAGTAGTTAATATTAATTTAATAATAATGACTTAGCATTGGAATTTAGAATGGAATATTTCTTGAAAAAATAATAAAATCGTATTGGTATTTATATTTTATACATGAAATACCTGTCGAAATTTTAGGTGTACGTTTTAGAAGTAAAAATTGACGCCTTACAAGATAATGGGGACAGGTGTAACCCCTTTTATGAGTAATTTTATATATTTCTGTTACTATTTCTGCAAGCAACGATTAACCATTGTTGACGAAAAAACGATTCTGAGCGGAGTTTAGTTGATAGCAATGCTTTGTCAAAAATATACATGTCATTTTATGGTAAAATAATTAAATAGGCTTTATATATTATCTTTAATACAATTTTTTTAATCTACCGATTTTCCCGTTTTTCCTATGTTTTTCACATTTGCTGAGAAAACTTTTAAAAAAATCGAAAAATGGCCTCCCTAAAGTACCTCCCCACGCCGATTTCCTTTCAGAAAATATGCTACACGTAAAAACTGGAACAAGTTCTCTGGTAGAAAAATTGTCCGCAGAAAAAAAAATAGACATTTTTGTAAAACCATAAGTTTATTCGCGCCACTCAGAATCTAAAATGTGAATTTAACATTAAATAAAAGCAACATAAAGTTTATGATTTATCTAGAAATGTTTAATGACGTCCTTAGGACTTGAAGACATTTCGAAGACGATGCGTCATCAAATTCGTAGTAGAGGCCCCCCAAAATGAATTATACTGACGCCACGCCATAAATATAAATTTAAAATAATATTTTACTACTTCAACCCAAAACAATAATAACGTTTTCATGTACAACAAAAATAAGTAGCGAACGTTTATTGTTTTTAAAAATAAATTGTTTTATGACGGTTAAAATAATAGTAACCATGTTTTTGCGGTTTAACAGTGGTTAAACCCATATCAGCGTAACTCAGCGATACCCAATAAAATTCAATGTTGCAAGAGTGCAAGTCTATGTTTTAGTATAATATTATACTTATGTGTAAAGAAAATCAAAATATTCTAGCCACCAATCTGTTTTTATATTGGTTTTATAAAGATGTTTATTTTTATTTTTTTGTACGAAAATTCTACCAAAAATCTTACTTCAATGTATACGATATAGACCCTTTTCTGAAAGGAAATTTTGTTTTGGTAGTACTCTAAGGAAGTCATTTTTCTATTTTTCCAGGAATTTTCTCAGCAAATGTAAAAAAACATGAGATAACCGGGAAAAACGTAGAAAAAACAAGAATATAAAGAATATATAAGAATATGAATATATAATAGATAAAAATTATACATTATTCATTTTATTTCTGACAGTGATAGAAAATAAAATATCGATAGTTGAACTGGCCATATAGTTTTGTGAATAATAAAAAATATAAAATAAGTCTTTATTTTAAAGAAAATATTAGATAGAAGGGAGTAGTCGTCAATATTATTATTAAGTACTTAATTTAAATAGAAATCACATCTAGTAAATGGTTCTTCTGTTTTTTAAATAAGATTCAAAATTTAAATGTTTATAAATATCTACATAGCAAGAGTGACGGGGTTTATTTAAAAAGACATTTATTTAAAACAAAACAAAATAAAGACTATTTTGAATTATTTTAAACTTATTCAATTTGATCGCTATGACCGATGGTGTATATGTTTCATTGTTTTCTATATATAATTAAAACATTTTATTTTATTTATTATAATTTCTTTTCAGTACCTACTATAGACTACAATACGTCAATACTTTATATTATTATATATTTTGTATAGTAATACAGGTTCTTATGGAGTATTACATTTTATATTCCATTGAATTTTCACACGTGTCAATGAAAAATCCAACGAAGTCGATACATACATATATATAAATGTACTTATAATATAGTGTAGGTATAATTGGTATAATTACGTTTGAAATATTAGGTGTAGCACTACACCGTTGAACAGCTGACATAAATTAATTAACACTAATCACTAATACTAATAATCGTCATATCAAAGACATATAAACTATTATCAGTTACAATATTATAGAATTACTATTGGACATTTTATTCGTTGCGTATTATTTCATCATATACCGTTGATCAAGGCGGTTTTAAATTTAATACAACACCATACCTCATATCATAAAATATATCATTTCGATGCACTATATCATTTTGCCAATAATAATGGATCGTAATCATACAAAATAATAATTCAAAATGTACATATATTAGAGTATGAGATGTTGTATGTTATGAATTTATGAGAACCTTCATGAAATATGTTTGAAGTTAAGATTTTACGAATAGGTATGAATATATATTGAATATTATTGTTTTGTTTAACTGCATACAATATTTCTATAAGTCTTATCCATAATTACGTATAATTATGTAAGATTAAACGTTTGTCAATATAAAATCGTTTACATAATAATATGAGCGAATAATGATTCAATATATTATTGTCAATAAAATATTTTCGACTTTGTACGAATTCAATATTTATAATACCTATCATTAGAATACCCAAAAGTAATATTATATGTTTTAGTATTACAGTACTTATATATTATATATAAATATATATATTATTCGTTTTAATGTGCTGAATTGTTCTGAATATTATATATTCCAGTTGAATTTTTCACCGTGAGTTTTCAATCGTAAAAAAAAAACGTAAGTGAAAAAAATTGTTAACTACGCTCAAAATAATAGGTATTGTTACGATCCGCAAAATATTATGCCGCACGTCTGCTTAAAATCGATAATTACACGCGCGCACAGAATTGATGATAAGAGTATAGTTCATGGGTTTTGTAAAACGTGACGTGACGCATAAAGGGTTAGAATAAAAGATAACGTAAAAGATAGTGTCGCAAGTGACTCCCCTGAATGGGTGTAACCGTGTAGATAGGTTAACATAATGTCAGCTATACATTGGATTGGCATAATACCCGTGTGATCGGTTGAGAGCCCTTTGTGGCGTGCACACCACGGCTGTAGATTGCGATTAGACGCACGTGACGCAAATCAATACTCGTAACTTTACGATTAGCTATTTAAAATGGGATACATTTTAGTAATTATAATGATTTAATGTAGCCATGCAGGCGTATAGATTAAAACGAAAATTATTTAACTGCATCCGAATTTTCCTGTACGACCGTAATTACGAAGAGGGAAAAGCGTATGTATTAAAATATTATAGCTATTATATCAGAATTAACTAGTTCTAGGAGTTGAAATATTAAATACAAATAATAATAATATTTTGTTAAATACCAAATGATAAAATAAATTGTATTTATTATTAATATAAAATTATATATTATTGACTTACTCACATTTTTTTGGCTAGAAGTACTGGGTATCGGCGTCTTGTCAGCGCACATACTGTAGCAATAAATGCACTCAGTGCAGCGTGCAGAACCAGAATAAATGGATGATATAATAATTATGTATACCTATGCACGTACTCCAAATCATTCCGCAATGACGTCAAGTAAAATCATATTATATTATACAGTTTTAATAGACCTAATGAATTGCATGCTCAAGGTTAAAAAAAATAACCATACACTAATTTGTTTTCATTGAAACTAAACACCTACTTGCAGATTGCATTATTGTTTACAACAGTCGATGTGCATTCTGTCAATTCGGTGCAGTAAACATTATTATTTTTAAAATACCATTTTTTTCGATTGCCCACTTAAACTAAACAGCATAAATTGCGATGTGTTTACACAATATATCTAATATAAACTCACATCAAGGTCAGACTTCAGAACTATATTGGCTATACTCTAGAAGTCTATAGACTGTCAACAGTCAGTGAGACCCTGTCTGTATGAGACCTTTTTTTATATATACTGCTCGATATTTGTATAACATATGTATCTTTTTAATTAATCAAGTGTAAACAAAATGTGTAATGAATCACAAGTATACGATATTATCAATATCAAAGTATGAAGAGGCTTAATATAATGTGAACTTAAGATGGTATACTAAATTGCCCACTGTCGAGTAAAAATTAAAGGAAGCCTTTATATATCATGATCATTATCAGACGGCTTCTGCGTAAGAGTGCATAAAAACTTGGAATACCAAATCTGGAATCTAGATTTATACTTCCAGGTTTTTATGGCTTTCCAAATCTAAACCATACACCCCTGGAAAGCAATGTTTCTATTTAAATGAAATTATAATCATCTGACTACACTTGAGTATCACGTGACTTACCTCAGTTACGTACTTAACGTGATGGTTTTACACAATAATTCAAGGGTTATTTTCGATAAATAAGTTCCAACATAAGTACAAGAAGCGAATGAGTGAACGTGACAAAAGGTTTGCAGACGAAGCTGTAAACATCTTTCAAAATCTTTTTGCCATCCAAATTTGTATGGTTAAAATCGAAATCCTGTAAAAACCTGGAGAGTATAAATTCAAATTCCATATTTGTAAATTTCAGACTTTTACACTCAAGATTTTGATAGATTTAAGCTCTCATTTATTTACAATTTGTAAGTAAATAATAGAAGTAAAATAATAGTGCCTGCAGGATTAGGAAGACGAAAAAATATTTTTGACGATATCTTTACGATTTTACATGTACGTTAAAGGCACTCAATGATAAATACATATAGAAAGAGATTATACATTATTATAACGCTCGTTTAAGCCAATTGAAATGCCAAAAAACCTTTGTAAAACAATACAATATTTCATTCGACATAAATATACCTACAAAATAATATATCCGACAGTTTACTCCTTGGAGAATACATTAAACTGAAGCTATTTCGTTTAAATGTCAATTGCAAGGACGCAAGGCACATTCATTGGTATCAGTTTCGACACTATAAACGCCTTTGACGTTTACGAACGATTAACACTAAGGCACTTTACAAATTTTATTCAACTGACACTCACTGAATAGTAGAGGAGAAGAAGAACCTAACTTGGATAGACGTGTATTACATATTTATGATTTTATTTATTACATTATTATTTCAACTCGTATAGTTCTGCCTTCTACGTTCACCATCATAATTAAGGGTTATGAATTTATGAGTAATGCCACCGGTTATTTAGTTTATGAAATAATATAATACAATAAATATAAACCATACATTCGTACATTTCATACAGGAAATTACAAAAGTAATTGAAAATTTAAATCATTCGAATTTCAAAAGCAAACAAACCGTCCACATTAAAATATTGTTCACGGAATAAATTGACAAATAGTACAATATTACCATTTACTAAAATGTATCATTTGGGTCTTAACGTGTGTAAAACTATAAAAACTAGAATATTTAAAATAATTATGTGATACAATTTTAGCGATACGCATATAAAATGCATAAGGAACTTAGTACCGGTATTCCGTGTGTTCCTAAATTCAGATATTTTGTGGATGATGGAATAATGTTTAACCAGATGGATGTGATAAACATTTTATACGCCAAAATTAAAACTAATTTACTAACATATATTTGAAAAAAAAAATACATATTTTGTTAAAATTTGTTATCTCTAATGTGATAAAGTGTTTTCAAATTCCAATTTCAAAATTCGACACGTATAATAAAATGGAAATACGGTTTTTGTGAGCTGGAAATACTTTTATTTAACATTTAGATGCTGACTCCGATTTGTATATCATTTAATCCTAGTATGCATACCTATATTATATTTTATTGTAACTTTTAATCAAATATTTTATACTTATAGATCTCGATGAAAATAATTTAAAAAAATGATAAAAATAAAATATTGGTGATTATGACCTATAAGTAACCTTCAAAAATGGTTTACCAATATATTTCAACTGAATAACAAAAATAGTGTTTCTAAACTATCAATCTGCTGAACAATCCGCTGGATTAGGAACATATGGAATATAATTATGTAACACTTAGGTAACCATAGGCCTATAGACCTATGGTCAAAACTCACGATATTATCGGATTATATGTATAACGGTTATACTGACTGATGGGCTAAAAATAGGTTACAATACGGTAATCTTGGTTTAAAAATAGCAGAAATCACTAAATAGCATTAATATAATATTAATATAACAATATTAGAATCTTTTTTAATATTATTTATTAGAAGAGGACGCTACATAATAATATATGCATTTGTTATTTCCGTCTTACAAACACACGATATTGGTAAAACATGCTTACGCAGACTACACAAAACTCGCTTAGTTTTGGTTTTAGAGTAAAAGTATCCATTATGAAATTGATAGGGAATAATATTTTGATGGGCAAGAAGTTGCATTTTCCATTTTATAATATAGCAGTCAATTTATCGTTTATAAATAACAACTTTTCCAACATTCTTTAATTCATTAAAACTTTTGAAAAAAAAATCAGTTTTTCAAAAAAATGCAACGTCTTGAACTTCGGAACATTGTCCTCAATCAATTTCATAATAGTCGCTTTTATTCTAAAGCCAAAACTCAGCGAGTTTTGCGTAGTATGCGTAAACATGCTTTTACTGTATCATAAGTTGGTAGGATAGAGACAATAAATGCATGTCTAACGTCCTCTTAATGAAAATTATTATTTTATTTTACTTTATTTCTTTTAAACGACTTAAACGTGAGACAAAATATTTCACTAGAATTTACAATTATAGTTTTAAAATGATGACCGCTTCATGCGGTCTGTTCCCTAAACTCACGTTTTAAACTCTGTGAATTTATGTAATGTACGTCTATCTTATCGCATATTATGTACGAATCAAATTTTATTTTGGATATTTAAAAACATTGTTATCGGGTTGAAAATTTGTGTTATGCAAGACGAAGGCCGCAGTTATAACATCAGCATGCATTGCAGTGCATTAACGTAGGTAGTTTTATGCGCTTTAATTAAATTTTACCGTGTGTTGGTGCGCGTGGTACGTGTACACCTAAATTAAATAGAAGGCGTTGTTATTGAAAATTGCAAAACATGGCCAGGAAATTGGGTAATTTCCGTTAGACATTCCATTATCGACGAATAAATAACATCTTAATAAAATTCTAGTCATTATTAAACAATAATTATTATAAACGGAATACGTATGTGCACGGTAACACAATATGTAACGTCAAAAGCGTATTCACGGGAGAAAGAGTTAAAGGGTTTTTTTTTCTAATGCAAAATAAGAGGTATTGTATTGTTGCATATTTTATTATTTTTTATTTTAATGACATCACGACTAACTGATATTTTAAAGATAATTGTTAAATAATTTTTGATTCGTTATCATTTCATGTATTAACGATCTTTACAGTGATAGAGCGACATGTATAATATTAAATAATTAATAACAAATAGGCCCTTCCAGATTCCGCGCAGCAATATTTTTGGTTTATAGACGCACGGTGTTATTATAAAAATTATCTTATTGAATGCTGATGGGCCAGTGTGATGGTGTTTCCCAACCAGAGGTTATCAAGTTCAAATCCAACCTATACTGTACAATTTTTTTACGTTTTATTCCGTTGTTAGCTTTTTTCTTTTGATTCTGAGTGTAGTGAAGAATGTATTGGATTTTTTTTTTTTTTATGTGTACACTTTCTACCAGAAAGTTTACTCCGAATTATACAATGGAGACTCATTTCTGAAAGGAAATTTTCTTGGGGTGGTATGTTAAGGAGGTCATTTTGTGATTTTCCCGGTAGTTTTCTCAATAAAAGAAAGAAAAACGGAAAAATGTACGAAATATATTAGACATATATTATGATTTTTTTTCTATGGACATCTTTTCTACCAGAAAATTTTTTCTGATTTACAATGATAGCACTTTTTCTGAAAGGAAATCTGACTGGAAAGGTACTTAAAGAACGCCATTTTTTGATTTTCCTAAAAGTTTGCCCAGCAAATGTGAAAAATTGGGAAAAAAATATGGGAAAATCGGTACAATATTAAACAAATATTATTAAAGAAAATATATAATGCCTAATTAATTATTTTACATTAATATGATATATATATATATATTATTGACAAAACATCATTATCAACTGAATTCCGTTCAGAATTGTTATTAGTAATCAATGGTTTATCGTTGCTTACAGATACAAATTAATTTCCGCTATATATCTTACCTTTCAACTTCTCACCAACAACAGTGGCTGCGTCCATCGTGTGAAGTATGTCAGTCTTTTTTTTTCATGTTTGAACCGATAACAGCGGGGGATTGGTCTAGTTGTTTTCACAATACTTTTTCACTGCTTGCCATCGTTTGTTGAAAAAATACAACTAATATTAATTTTATATTCTGTTTTCCCCTTAGCGGGCCAGGCTCACACATTTAGATAACTAACAATACTATACAATGTAAAATAAAAATAAATCATATTATGTTTAACTTACCTAATTTCACACTACTGTAATTACCCACGCACCGAGTCTTCTCGGCCAGGTTCGTGTACCCGACAGCCTGGAGGTTCGTCCTGCCCATTTCAATAAATACACACGAGTTTAGAGATGTCGACTTTATTCAAAAGAAAATCCTATGCAACATAAAATGCCGTATGATTAATTTCGAGTATATTTATGTAGTTGTTCGTAGACTTGTGGTGTTACCGAAAGAAAAAAAGAAACAAAAGAAACCTAAAAAATTAAAAGTTTTTTTGTTTATAATATAATTCGTATGAATTTTGCAGGTGGTTTGAAAATTATTAATTTTAGTAATATACCCATAATAATATTATTTATAATTTTGCTCTAACGCGCGATTATCATTATTCATTAACATTCGATATATAATTATGGTACCATAGCAGGTAAGTGCATTAACACAGTAATAAAATAACAATCATGGATCCCAAAATAAAGTAAATAAATAATAAATATAAATACAAAATAAATAAAATGAGATAAATCGATAAGTTGAATATTTTACCAGAAAACAAAAATGGATTTAGTCAAGTTTAATTAGGTGGTTTGAATTACTGATAGTTAAGATAAACACAAATAGTAATTATTTGATAATAACTAAAGAGAAGGTAGATAACGAAAAATAAAATAACTTTTCAATATAAACATTATATAAGTAGGTACCTATGTCGCGATTATTTTATCATGGTTTTTAAAACTTAAATAATTTACTAGATGCATTTTACGTTATCTTTACCCTGCAGCCAACTTAAAGACTATATGACGAATTAGTTAATAATTTTTTATAATTTTTCACTCGAAATTCAGAATGTATTACCAAATTTAAACTCATTTTGACAAATTTGACAGAATAACAAATTCTGCCATCTCCAATTCGCAAATTCTGAGGTAAGCTTCTCGTGGTACCAGGAATTATGCAAAAGATGGTTTTGGTGAGTTAAAATAGGGTCCTAACAAATTTTCAAGTAACGAATTATGATAAATCATTAATTAATTCGGAATATGATTTTAAAATCAGAATTTCAAAGTCAAGTGCCAATGTAAAGGAGTTATGTTAACATACGGTTTACTCATATATGTTATTATGGTAAGCTATTCAAATTTAGATACCGTGAAAAAAACAAGTTTTTTTTGTTATTCTTAAATTATTTATTTCGAATAATAATTCGTAAACATGTTTCTGAGAGAAATAATTGTACATTATATATTTTTTCAAACGAATAAATTACAAGTTTTTTTAAATTACTTTACAATTATAAAAACTTGATACATAATATTTTATGTAAATTAAACAAATACGAATCGTTAATGCATTATATTACCTGGGCGTCGATCGCTCAACGAGTTATAGTGAGAATATTTCAATTTAATGCCAAAATCGACTTAGGTGACCTCTGCTTGATAATAATATGATTCATAATATTATTGGGCGCATATGTTAAGAAAAAAATCAAACACTGTAGTAATAGTTAGAAATCATATATTTACTACGACATTTGAATAAATAAATATCTATACCTCGTTACATGGTATTATGTAAATACCTACCAGGCTAATGCCTGTATACGTCGAATAATAAAATTATTTTATTATGGACATTTTACAATATTCCCAGGGGAACCAAGAAATCAAAACAAAATTTAAAAAACCTAGCCTAGGAAGTAAACCACTCAAAATGTCGATAATTATTTGAAAAAATCGAGAAGTTTCTCGTGAAGAGAAAAGAAAAAAAAAACGAATAGCATCTTTGTTACACTAACAATCTAAATCTAACACATGTTTATAAGAATATTTACAATCTTCTGTAGTTCTGTACGAATGTCGTAATATCGTCGCCCAGAGCTATGGTAAAATTAAATATTTCAAGTGTAGGCGTAGAGTATACAGCTAATACAGGAAAATACAGGATATTCATTGGAGGGTGTGTATAAAATGATATTTTGTGTTTGAGCGCGTAGGTGTCACTTGCAACAAAATGGTAAATTAGTAACTACATATTTTATACAGGTTGATTCAAATTTATGTCGAAGCCGTTTTATCATGTAAATATTCAAAAAAGAGAAAAATGTATAATAGAAAAATTGTTCGATTAATTAAATCTAAAACAATTTGTACACATTTTTTTTCCCACTATCTTTTGTTCGGTGGTTTTGATGATTGACTTTTAAAATTCAAATGGTACCTATAATCAAAACCCCATACTGAGTTATTAAGTATACTGAGTATTACCCAAAAAAAAAATTTTGAAGTCAACATTTTTTGTTTCCGTTAACCCGTTAATGAGATATTTGCTCTTTTAAGTTCAAGTAGGGGCAGAGTAGTGGAATATCATTTGTGAGGCGCGCGGCGTTTTAATAATGTTCCACTACTCCGCCCCCAAATTAAACTTAATAGACAAATATCTCGTTAACGGGTTTGACAGAAATTAAAAATGTTAACGCCAACAATTATTTAAAGTTTATCTGTTTATGGAATTTTTAACATAGGTTCTCATTTGAAAAACCAAAGTTAGTATTATCACAGGATACTACTTAAATGTTGTGAAAAATGTAAGTATTTGAAAATATCGACTTTAACTACACTCGAGAATTCCTAAAATCAGAATTTGTACGCATGCGAAATTAAACCGAAAAAATGTAGTGAGCACGGTTAATGAATCACTCTGTATATATATTTTTTTTTTTCGACGGCCATTCCGTTCTCCATAATGGGAAACTTCGTCTGGAAACGAGTCGACGGCATATACGACAACATAACACATCAACAAAATGCTATGCGTCCTCAGGCCGGGTGGTATGATAGGCGTTTTCGATTTAACGTTTATTCGGTGTTCCCGTACTGTAGGACCGCTCGGATGCGACGCGACCCATTCACAAGTAGGCAAGTTGGTATCGCACAATACTATACGATATACTGTATAATAATGCAGTTTCCGACGTGAAATACGAAAACGAACAAAACCACATTGTCGATTGTGTGAACCGGGTTTGCGGCGTTTTACCGCGGACGTGTAAAAATCTATTGTCGCGCCCGCCGGGACCTCGGATGTCGCGGAGAAACCGTTTCTCGGGCGACAACTTTAACGGTTCCTTTGGTAACGCTTGGACGGCGATTGTTGCGGCGCGCGCGATCGGCGACGCCCGCGCGGTCGAATCGATTGGCGGAACGCTGCGCCGGTGCATCGAGTCCGGGTCGCTCTCTTTGCGCCCGGTGTAAAATAGTGTGCAACGCGTCGAAACTCGAACACAGCCGTTGGTGTTCCGACTTCGCCGAGCATTGGCCGACGCGCGTGAGCACATACGCGGTGAATCAAATAGAAACTCGGCACTCGCGGTTACCGTGCGGTAACAATCTGAAATCGGGTAATCGGACTTGTCACGGAGATACGTGGGAAGTGGACCGACGTCCTACAATAGCGTTTAGTGGTTTCAACCGCATTGGCAATAAATTCGCGTTTGAATTACGATTCACGGGGGCCGTCCCCGCCGCGTGTTGGTCCATTCGTCTGAAATTCGAAATAATCGTACGTTCAGAGACGACGGTGAGCGTTTCGACACGATAATCGTCATACCATTGTATTGTAGGTAAACATAACCATAGTCGATATGAAATTGGAAAACGCCGCGGACAAGAACAGAATAATTCAAACGCTAAAAGTTTGGGTTTTAGGTCGATTTTCAACAACGTATAATATGTCCACTACATTGCGATGAAACGCGGTGTTTCATACTCGAGTAAGTATGAGTCAGTGGTCGAAAAATGGTTTTGGTATCCGGTAGATGGGACCGATGTTTGTACAATACCAAACAGATTATCATCAAGAACTTAAGATTATTTCGTTTTTTACATTGTCATCATAGATACGTGAGGAAAAAACGCCACCGAGTAATATTGTTCCGTATTACAATCAAATAGTTAACAACAACAATAATATTGTTAGTTGTTTGCGTGATAATATTTAAAATGCTTTTAAGGGACGCGATTAGGCAATCGCCCGAACAATCTCCAGTGGAGAGCCGCGCCGACGGCCGAATGTCGCCGAGCGTCTCGGATTTTCGTATTAACGTAAATCGTATGTTCCCCCACGGCGCTTGAAAAAAATAAACGTATTTCACTTTGAACATTTTACCGATGGGTTTTGAGGCGGCTCTTTTTGTTTTCGAAAATCGCGTTAAAATTGCCTATACGGCGCCCCCTTGAATACGTACTAACGGCGGACATTCCGCCGGACGGCGAAAACCGTGAACCGAAAACCAAAACCGTGCGTGCGTGCGTGCGACGCGAACGGGTCGGTCGTGTACCGTAGCACACACACGCGCGCGCGCACGAAAGATCGGACCGCCACTCCCCTCTCCCCGGCGGATAAAACGGTCGCGTCGTCGTGTGGAGACGACGGCGGTGTCTCGCGGGAGGTCGCAACGGGGCGGCGAGGTGGCGGGGGGGACACGGTCTGACGTCGAGGAATGCGACCTCGGCTGTCCCACGGCGTGGCGAGACGTCGGCGGCGGCGCGTGAGACCGGCCCGACCGTTCGCCGTAGCGCCGCCGCGTAATAATTTTTTATTTTTTTTTTTTCTTCCCTCCACACAATAAACGCGTCTCGGCGTTTTAAGTGTGCCGACCGTTTCTCACGAATACCGCCACGACACCGGGTTTTTCTGTGCGCTCCTCGTGCGAACTCGAAGTGGTATATGTATACGGTGCGATCGCCGTGACCACACAATAACAATACACCGTCTCCTGTTCTCCCCGTCTCTTTCCCTCCTCACGCGCACGAAACTAACCCCCTCCATTCCCCCCCCCTCGGGAATATGTGTCCCGGCTATTGGATTTCTGTCCTGTCCGCTGTCGTTCACGAATGTCGCGGAATTATACACGAACATAATTTATTAGTCGGGAGGCCGGACAAGTATCCAAAAAAAATTTGACATTATATTCACAAGAATCGTTATGTTTCATTACATTTTTGTTCTTCTCGCAGTAAATAACGACTCGAGAACCTTTTTAAAATTTTCGAAAAATCCTGAAGGTGTATAGGCACGGAGTAAACCTTACGGAATCTAAATCCTGAGTAATGACAGCATTTGTTAGTCGATTCGCCCTGTATATACAACCGAAGTAATAAAATACGAAAAGAGAATATTGCGAATAAAAAGAAAAATAATAAGAGAAGGGGCTGGAGATTGTGAAAAAAGTTGATATCTACCTATGTACATATTTCTACACGATTTTACGGCGAAAGTCTGAAGGGGCGTGATGTAGCTAAACACTACACAAGATTACGTTTTACACAATATCCAATAGGTAGGGGGGGGATTTTATATATTATCTTTGTATTGTATTTTAGATAGTCTGGCAGTCAGTTTGATGTGTTGTATAGTAATTGAAAATTAAAACGAGTGAACAGCTGGGTTTCATTATAAATCATTTTTTTTTTTTTTTTTTTTAGATACAATGGCATACAAATATATTATCAAAAATCAAATTATATTTATCTACCTAGGTATTCGTTGCAAGGTATTTGTAGCGAAATCATTTTTTGATGGGGGGAGGGCAACTAAATTAATTTAACCGACAGACTTTATTTTGCTCATAAACCAAACAAACAAGTTGATATAAACAATTTTGATTACATTAAATAGATATAGGATACTTTAGATAGTGTGGGTATTTCGCCCAAATGAAAGGCTCCGGTCTTTCAAAAGGTTATTTTAGCAAACTGTTTAATCATTTAATAAAGATAAACAATTTGTTTTGGCGAGATTATTTGATGTTTAATGCACTTTTTGATAAGGAAACTGTTTATTCAGTAAACATATTCGAATGTGGTGTTGTTCACTCTTTAAACATGTTGTTATCAGCGTTGTCAGAATAGTAGATATTTTCCATTTGTCTTGTCGTTTTGGCGAATAATCAACCAATTAGCAAACAACAGCAGATAATGATGCAAACAGATCATCGAGAAATACATGACAAATATATCCCGCGTCATCGAGACCCCGGTAAATATTCTGATAAGAATTTATAGCTGGTCAGAGACATTCAGATCTCGAGACAATATGGTCCCGAGTCATTAAGATCCACGACATTTGTCGTTCCTAGATCTCGGCCATGTGGAAACATGAATTCATTTATTATTTTACTAACGTAATTATTTGTCATTATCACACATTTAAAGATTGTAATTGGTAGTGCTATGTTAAAAATGGATATAAAGATTAATACTTTACCAGTGGTTCGTACCCCACAGAAATTGTGTTATTTTGAACTCGGAAAGAAAAGTCACGTCATAGATTCAAAAACATAGGTATAAAAATACCTAATACTATTTAATTTAGTTTACCTAATATTAATTTAATGAAATTTGTATGGTGTTGATATAATATTGTTGAAGAAAATTTAAAAATTTAGGTATTCATATGGGTAATTGTTTAATTGTTATTACCTAGGTACTGGATTTTCGAAAATTCTATTTACCTTTAACCATAATCTTCTAACTGCAAGACAATACTGATAATACATTGTGGCACTTAAATGACACTGAGTTCGGGGTTTTGGCAAACGCGAGGTTCATATTGTTAAAATTATCGTGAAAAGATGTATTATTTGATAGTTCAAAAAAATATTTACCTATATATCTACAACATATCAACTATTATGATAATTGTACGTACTGATAAAATTTGGATGTTTGTACTTTTAGATCAAGACACGATAATTTGATCCCGAGACAACTAGATCCACACTGTTATCAAAGGTATGGTTGGGATTTAAATGACCTGGGTCATATTTGTTCATACACCAAATGGACTTGCCAAATAATAGACGATTCGCAGTAGTTTAAACTTTGATAAACGAAAAAATCCTTAATATCAAATGTGCAATGTTAAAAAAAAAACAAATATGTACCTATCGCGGAAAACTATAATCTAAAAACCTATAGGTATTATCGTATACATGGTGGCACCAATAGAGTTCGTATATAAACAAATTAAACGAGATGTTTTCGACAATTTTCTGTGGACGTAGTTCATCTATCTTCGATGGGGCAGCACACAGAGTGGTTAAAATACTTATCAAACACATCCCTTACAATACAACAGGTCACGACAAAATCTTAGATTAAAATCTAGAAAATCTGCGTACTTAACTACAATCGAACTTATTGAAAACTAGTATTTAGGCATGGAAGAATATTAACTAGAGTGGCAATATTCTAGAATAAATAATCGTAGCCAAATTAAGAGGCACGATATCCTGGTCCCTGGACAACACGTATCTCGTCATACGAATGGAATTTTAATTGACTATGCACAGGTCATGGTCGCTCCGGAGAAATGCTCCATAAATAGAAAATTATTGATTGTCTAGGCTGTGACTGTGGCCATTCATTACAACCTCCCACATAATAAGTGACTATCTCCTCAGCGCTTTCAACGAAACTTTAAAAGAATTCCACAAAGCTACCTTGCATATCATATCATATTAAATTAGTACACCATGGTTATGACTGTGTATCTTTATGTTGTACCAAAATTACATAAGAATAGTTATTATTCAAAATATCATGTTTTAACTTTTCTAAATGTTTGCACATATTGATACAGTTAACTTCATTATTATATTTTTAATAACAATAATTTTTATACATTTAAAACAAATCAACAATATTAAACTGAATCCATATATAGGTACTAGTTTAAATGCATTTGAGAAACTTGATTTGTCACAGAAGTATTCCCAATTGTTTTATTTACTGCAATATTTTTTTACAGAAAACTAATTGTTTGAGCCAAGTCCAATGAGTAAAAAGTAGCAATTTTTATTTATTTATCAAAGCTGCTAATGACTAATCCATTCTTGAATATTTTATTCTAAATTATTTTAATTTATTTATAAACAGTATAATTTAAATAAATTAACCATCTTTAGATACATGAAAAATAAACTGATGAATGTTCAAAATTAAAATACAATATATTTAAGGAATGAAATGGCTTTTTCAAAAAAAAAACTTATTCAAGATTATTTAAAATATAGATTATGGATATTTTTGGGTAGAACAACTAAATTACTATGGTGTTTTTTTGTTTAGTAGTAATAAATTATCAATTAGTAAAAATCATACAATGATTCATTTACTATCTAAATGTTTGTAAAGGAGAAATAATTTACTAATATTCATTATCTATAATTTTTTATGATTTACTAAATCCTAAATACAACTTTAATAAAATAACATATGAATACAAATATTAAACTGACTAAGATTATAAACTATAAACTATTTAAGAGTAATGGCCTTAACATATTTGTCTAGGTATTATTTAAAAAGGTTTTTAGTACCGTATTTGTGAATTTATATGATCAAAATTATTATAATATTACTATACTATATCAAACAGTCCGTCACATCTCTAATGTCTATTGTTGATTAATTTAACACAGAAACAACATTTATACGATTATAAAATAAAATAAAATCAACGGAATTAAATTCCTTTAATATTTTAAAGAACTAAAACTAATAAATAACATATTAAACATAAAAGTAATTAGAATTAATTATAATATACCTAATATAATATTTAACCTAGATAAGATTTTAGCAGTTGTTACAATGTCCTAATGAAAATTGTTATAGGTACTATTTTTTATTAGTTAACTAATAAAATAATATAATGACTAGTGATAGTGGTACATTGTAATAATTTGTTTTATATTTGCCACTGAAGTATTCTCCACCTTAACTGATAATAAGCTAAACTTTAGCAGTTCATTGTAACAATGGCTTTAGTGATACAACTTTTACCATAATAAAATATACTGCAAATATAATATGAGTTTTAATTTAATTGTATTATATTTGTAATAGCAGTTAATATTAATATAGTTAATTTTCCTACAGCCACATTCATAAAATGTATACTATTATTTAACATTAGACATTCAAAGTTTTTGATTAAGGTTGATTAAAAATCATTGTATAAATGACATATAATAAAGTAATAATTACTGGTTAAATATAAGAATTCAAAAACAATTGATAAGTATAGAATTATGTTGAATTCCAATTATAATTATCTATAACATATTATTTTATGATATTTCTAGAGATATTTTATGATTACCTAAAATAACAATACAAATAAAAAAAAAAAAGTTACTAAACATTTAAAGAAAACAATTTAAAATAAAATAATTTACAGCCACACTAAACATAAAGATATTGATAGGAATTAATTAATAATATTTCACTTAAGTTGTAGGATTAATGTTTAATATAGAATTATATAAATAGTAACGGGCAATCTATAATATTTTATTCAAAAAATGTTCTAATTATTTATAAAACCAACAAATATGTATTCTGTGAAAATTCAAAATTTATAAGTACATTATTAATTTTAAGAAAGATATGTACGAACAGTAGCCTTGATAGTCTGTCGACATAATGGACAGTCAGGTAAACTTGAAGCACAAGTGATGCATGCAACTAAATGAGCACAAGGTAACATAACAACACCCAACTCTTGATCAAGACAAATTTTACAAAGACGGGCCTCCTTTAAACGACGATTTTCTTCTTCTAATTCTAAATTAAAATGCACAAATAACATTATTTAAAAAACCTAGGTTAAAATACCAGTTATTTCTGAACATAAGAGGCAATACTTTAAAACTGTATACCTGTTATACTTACTCTAGATATAAATACTGTCCTTGCTTTAAATATATATTACTCAAGATAACATATTGTACACACATTTTGTAAATATATTTGAAAAATATAAATTATTATAATTTGAACTATATATATTTGGGTAGTCCAAAAAAACTTAATTATGAAATTTAATATGAATTCCCCCCCCTCAATTTTTTTAAATTGATATAAAATTTTTTGTAAAAATATGGACTCAATAACTCATCTTCTTTCTATGCCGAAATATGACACAAGGGTGTTGTTTTTTTGATAATTTTATATTTTATTTATTTATAAACAAAGTACAGTGAATTAGGTACTATTTCATTACAATATTTAATCTTTAACCAATTTTTTTTGAAAAATAAAATTTGTTTTCATTATCTCATAATGTTTTTAATTTTTACTTTTTTTATATGAAATAAAATGATTTAAATTAGAATTTTTATTAGGGAATTTTTTGAATTCTAGTATTTTTTATAATTGGCTAAAGAATGAATGTTATATATATATATATAAATATTACTCAAAATGCACCTCTTTTCAATACAACGACGTAATCTTTTCAGCTACTGCTCAATACATGTATGGATAATCTCTAAGAAAATGTCTACAACTGCCTTCATAATGCTTCACTTGAGTAACTCTAAATTTGAGTGTCATTTCTTATCAAGTTCTCTCCTCTAAAATGCTCTATAACCCATAATCAAGCAGCTTTAAGTCTGGGCTTCAAGATGGCCAATCAGACCCCTTTATAAAATCAAAATGTCTCTCAACTGTATGGTGTTAATAGTATTTATGTCAAGTCTAAGCATAATATATTAATATCATAAAAGTTTATAAGAATATTATGAACATATCATGTAGGGTTAATGCGCACTCTGGTATTTCATTGAATTTAAAATTTCGATAACATAACAAAGGTAGTTAATATTGTTTTAACCGTAAATTCTATTTTAATTAGATTTAACAGATATTTATAGTAATTTATTTCTTTATAAGTTCAACGATTAAATCATACCATTATTTATAATATTATACTAAATAAGTACTACTATATATAGTCAATACTTATTTTAAAGAAGAAAAAGAGGTTAAACTATTACATAGTTTCTTAAAAAAATAGCCATTATTTTGATGTTATTACTTTGATGTAAAACATAAAACCAACATGATTAAATAATCTAAAATAAATACCTGATTGTGATAATTTAATGTTCTCTGGATTCACAGTTTGTGCATTTGCTTCTTCTAAAATAATAATAAAAAAAAATAGTTTGTTTAAAAATGTAACTAATACATATTATAATTTATTGTTATCTATTTTACCTTCAACATTAATATTATTAGATTCATTGGATTGAACACTAACAGATACATCCATTTCAGTTGTATGATTAGTTTCATTTTCATTTTGACTACTTGTTGTTACATTTTCATTTTGACGGTTTGTTACATTTTCATTTTGACTGTTTGTTACATTTTCATTTTGACTGTTTGTTACATTTTGATTTTGTGATTCAGATGCAAATACATTATCTAAGTTTGTATTCTCCAAGTGTGTATTTCCCATGATTATAATATTTATATCCTCAAAGTTCAAGTGTGTATCAACAATAGAACTAAAAAACAATATTATCAAAAAATATAAATATAAATATAAGCAAAATTTAGATACTAAGTGAATCGAGTATGTATTTTTTTTTATTATTATTTCATTTTTATAAGTGAACAACTTCTCTATAGAATCAAACAAAAATTGAATATATTGTTGTACATACATATATTTTTTAAGGTAAATCAAAAAATAACTTTCTCAAAGAGACAAACAGTTTTAAGAAACTATTACCTTTTGATGATCGGACAAGATTATTGGTAGAAAAGTTGTTTACATACAGAAAACAAAATAACAAAATTATATATCATAGTAAAATAAATAGTCTGTACTCCGCCCCTGCAAATTAGTTTAAGTTCGGAAATTGTAAGGGACAATCATTTTTTTTTTTTTGAAGTCTTATGGTTCCTCTTTTTTTATTTTTCCAATTTAAGCACTGACATCCCAATTTTTTTTTAATGCTTCGGTATCAAATCTTATATAATTATACACTTTAAATTTCTAAATATCAAATATCAAATATTAAATTTAATTTATTTTTAAAATCATTTTCTTTTAATCTATACGATTCGCCAAATTTTTGGAGATTATGTCATAAATTATAAAAATATATTTATTTATTTATTTATTAATACAATGTTGAACCACTCATGCTTTTCCTAATAGATGCAACATTTGCGCAAAGCCAATGCCGCACTTTCTCTAACAACAAGTATAACAATTCGCATATTATAAAAAAATATCAAAAGGATTTGACTGTTTCAAGGAGGCTTTGAACTATGTATTTGTGTCTCTTCAATTCAAATTCTATTAATAATATTTTATAATCAATTCTCAGTTTTATTGACATTTTTAAAATTTAAAATAATAAAAAATATGATTAGTTTTAAATCGTACAATGACAATTAGACAATTAAAGGTAAAGCATTTACTAAAAAAATATCATGATCAAATATAAATTAATGATAATTGTAACATTATATTGATTACACTATTATACGAGGTGTGATCAAAAAATACCTAGACTGTATTGTAATATTTACATCAATAAAAATAACGAAACCCCTATTATGTTATCCGATAAAGTAACTTTTAGCTAAAATTAGAGCATTTGTTTTAAATCAATAACAATATTTATTTTTATGAAACCATGTTTCAGTTATCTGGCTCTAAAAGCTTGCTGCAAAAGTTCAAAAGTTCCACTAAAACTTTTCTCTAGTTTAAAACAAAATGATGAAATTCATTAGTTGACTGAAATATGGTTTGTAAAAATGCCAAAAAATAAAATTAATTATTATTATAGATTTCAAACCAACGCTCTAATCCTAGAAGTTACTTAATTGAATAACATTATTGAGGTTTAGTTATCTTCATTGAAACTCTGTTTCTACCACAGATATATATATAAAAACTAGATAGTCGACTTCATATACAATAATGTATATAATGCCAATATAATGTAAACAATGTATGATACCTAGCGCCATTTGTTAGTTGGGTAATGTTTGTATCATGTTATCATTTTTATGCTATCCTTATCGCAGATAACTTTAATAACCATGAACTATGTTAACATAAAATATTGTCTGGCAACAAAAGAATTTGTAAACATTGCCCAAATGACATATGGCGTTGAGCATCATAATTGTATATGGAGTTGGCTATTTAGTTTTTATATATATTTGTGGTCTTTACCATATCACATCACATAGACACATATTAAGAGATGGAATGTGTTTAGAAAGAGAAAACACATATCAACAACTAGTAAAAGAGACAAAGTGTATATTTTACGGCTTATTGATAACATAATTGATAAAATACAAAAAATGTAAACAAATTTCATCATTTTATAACAGATTTAAATTTTGAGAGGAAATAGTTATTAGTTACTCTCAATGAATTTGTGCTTATTGTCTATCTCTCTCACTATATGATGATAATTAGTTTTATGAAGTGAGGGATATACAGTCCATCTTTTTACATGTCTATGTCACATCGCCAGCTGAGTATTTTAAATTCTGAGTGGAGTGAAAAATGGTATTGGTTTTACAATGATATTTATTTTTATTTTTTTTTTATCTGTAAACAACTTTTCTACAAGAAATTTGATTAGGGTGATATTTTAGGGAGGTTTTTTTTGATTTTCCTAGTTATTTTCATAATAAATAAAAAATAAGAAATATATAAAATTATTATGTTTTCAATTTTTCTTTTGATTCAGTTAAAAATATTTTAGGGAGTTTGGACAGAAAACTTATATTTGCCTTTTCTGGTAAAATGTTCAAAACATTGAAGTAATTTTTTTTTTAAATATAATTTTTTGTTTGGCATATACAAAATAAAAGGTAGGTAATAAAACTGTTAGACTAAACAGAAATTCTAGAAAATTTAACAGGAGGTTCATTATAAGTCTTGCTTTATGATAAAAAAAAATTGGGTGTATGTAGAATTTTTTTTTAATAAGAATTTTAATACCAAAGTTTGAAAGCAACACTATTAACCCAATCCCGCTTAGCTGTATACAGATATACAATAAATTTCTAGTTTCCAAACTTTACACATACAACAGTGGCCCACCCATCATACAAAGTATGTCCATCTGTTTTAATAATAATTTGTATAACTTACTCTTCATCATCACTAGAATCACTAGATGAATATTCATGAGGAAAATATTGTGCTCTCATTCTCGGTCCTTCTCTACGAAGAATGTCTATTATAGCCATTGAATCTCTAAATTAAATATTTACACATATAATTATATATTAGATTTATTTTAAATATAAACTTTTTGTCTTATCATATACCCCTCAGCAGGAAATGAAGATTGACCTTGACTTAAAATTTGTTGTATAAAATTATCTGTTGAACGGAAAGGTCTGCCGATATCTTGTAGATTGTTTCTTATTGCCTGCCTAATTTGAGAGGGCTGCAAGCCTAATTCTAATGCGTTCTAAATAAAGAGTAATAATTATTATCATACTACAAGGTTTTAATTAAACTATGAATAAAAACAGTGTTTTATTTTTACATTATGATTATTATGCAATAAGTGTCAAAATTACACTTACAATTGCTGGAGGTAATAACATAAGTTCGCTTATTTGTTGTTCAGTTGTCCCATTATGTCTAGACACAGTACTTGTTAAATTTTGAAAAAATCCATCTGTTTGGTGAATGCTAACTACTTGTCCCTAAAAAATTTAATTATCAATGTAAATGTATAGTCAAAATATAAATGCATTATGTTTAACATTAAGAAATCATTTCAATTTATTTAAATAAAATGCTACAGATTACAGTAATAATTCAATCCATTTTAGTATAGGGAGCATAAATTTTGTTCATCCACAGACTCACTCAATATAGACAAATCACATTAGTTAATAATAACTACAAATATTATAAATCATTTATAAGTATAGATTAATCTACATTAAGAATTTAAGTAGTTAAGCAAAACATTTCTTATTTATAACATTTTTAAAATTTAGATGGTGCTTTTTAAATATTTATTTTTGAGTTCTTCAAAGTTACAGGCCATAATTATGCTAAGAATTAATAATTTGATCAATAGTTAATACCATGATTTTAATATGTTTAGAAAAATATAACAGAAAATTAAATTACTAATCTTCAAAATAATAACTGTTTTCAATTAATATTCGGAAATTAGATTTAGATGTATAGATTAAAGCACAAATAGATACACAAACTAACTTGTAATAAAATAAATATAAATTTATAAAACAATTAAGAGAAATTTATGAATAAAATTGTTTATATCTAAATCACTCAGATTAGATGACATAATAATAATAATAATTTATAAAATCTAAAACCCACAAAACTGTTAAGATATTAATTATTTTTTATTTAAGTTAACAGTTTTGTGAATTTTGAGTTTTAAATGTTATTCTAATTAAAACATTATAGATAAATTAATATGTATGTTTTTTTATTAGTTAAGAATATAGAGTTTGGACACTTAAATAACCCTTACATTATACAAAAAATAAAGCAATACCTCTTGAGATGAAGATGTGTCATCGGATCTAGGTCTACTTAAAAGTGCTTTGAATCTTTCCACCAAATGTGCATCCAAAAATCTCTCACCTTTGACTAAAGTTAGGAAATCACAATTTGGAAACCACTTAGCGTGCTCAACCCATGGATTATCAGACGCCTCCCAATTTTGAAGACCCCCATCACAATAATAACAGCGAACTTCATCATTACAACCTGCAATATTTTATACAAATTTCATACATTAGTTTATATAATAAACACTTATTGTTAATATTTTGTACCAATTTACATATACTATGTTTAAACGTGTAATTTGATGGTTAAAAAAAAAAAAAATTTTAATTCTAAATTTTTTTTCAAAATCATTTACAGTAAAACTTCCATAGAACGGTCACCAAAAATCCCGGAAATAATAACCGCTATTTAGAGGTAACCATCCTTTAGAAGGTTCCTATAGAATAATAACACTTAACGGGACCAAAAAAAAAAAAAAAAATGACTGTATTATAATATCAAGTTATGTTACTAAACAAAAATTGTTACATCAAATATAATAAACAAGTTATACATATAACAATTAAATAAATAAAAAACATATCAACTGTAGTATAAACTGATAATTGAATGTGTATCATAATTTTTCAAAACTACTAAAACGATTTAAAAAATTTAAGAATTGTAGTGTGTAATTTATTATAATCATACACCTAGTTATAAATGATAGTAATAATATTGAATGTCAAGTTGAGAAATTCTAATAAATACTGAAGCCGTTTTTTATTCAGGCTGAACGTACACTTTAAATAACAGTATGTAGTACATGTACCCAATTATGTATTAATAAAAACTATTACTAGTAAATTGGATTTAAAAATATTTTTATGAATACAGTATGAAATTATTTGTTTAAATTAATATAATTTAGTTCATTAAAAATACTCACCAGTAAAAAAAAATCCAGCTACAGACAATTCTTCAGGTTTCTGTGATTCATTTGTCCATCCTCTAAAGGTTTTTAGCCGAGAATTGTATGAATTATATTTTAAATGAAAAGCCACTCGATGAGTTTTTACACCCAAACCTCGAATATCAATTGGTTCACCTAGTTCATTAAAATGTTATTTGTCAGGAATATAAGCAGATAACAGATAATATCTATAGTATATTATACTATATTTTGTTTATTTCTACATGTATTAAGCATTTAAGACAGAGATATAACTTTATAATAAATAATTGTATTTTAATTTAGCTTTTAATGTCCAACACAAACAATATCTGATGAAATGGGTGTCCATGATACATAGGTGATATTTCAGGGAGGGAGAAAAATTAAATACAAATTTCCTTATAAAATCCTAAAAAATGTTTTTATAATCTATAAGAAAATAATATACTAAAAATGTATTTATTTTTGATAATTTTGATATAAATTATAATTTACTTTACAACAACGAAACTCGTACTGAACGATATAGTCAATTTTCATAAACAAATTATTAAATAGGAAATCTAGTGATTTTTAAAAATAACACTTTAGTTTTGCCTTAGAAGTTTTCTGTTTAACCCTCATTGTTTAGATTTTAACATTATTATTTTTCGGTAATATATTATATTGTATTATACAATTCAATTACCTACTTAATAGTTTGTCATATTTATATAAAATCATGATAGCGTGTACAAATCTTAAAAGAAAATTTAGGATTTAAAAACTCCAAAATTTGTCAAAAAAAAAAAAATGAAAAATTAATTTTCATAATTTTAATCAAAAAAACATGAAAAGAATTTATGACAGTACAAACATTGCACGAGCTTTAGAAAAAAATGCCAAGTACATTGAAATAACAGCTCTAGTGATAACTTGTTGTAAGTGAATAAATAAAAAAAATATTTGACTAGTTGTATAAAACCAATATAAAATATGGTTTTAGTATATGAAATAAACAATATAAAAAAAAAATCTTGAGGTAATACAAACCAACCTGCTTCTCTACGATGTTCAACATATTCACCCCTTAACTGAATTCCTTCGATGAGAGGTATATTTCCACAATTTTGACTAGAGATAAAGCTACAATTGGGATTATGACGTTTATGTTCATCCACAGCATTATCACCAAATTCCCAACGACAAACACAAATATTACAAAATGCGCACTTGACCTAATGTTAATAACAATGCAAATATTATAATTAAAACAATCTGAAATAATATAGGTAGGTAGGTAAATTATTATTATAATTTATAATTACTTTGTCTGTGTGGTTAGTGTAATAGAATCCAGCAGCTGCTAAACTTTTTGGAGTTATAATGAATGATACAGGCCAACCAATAAATGTAGCCAATCTATTACTTTCATTTTTTAAATCAATTTGTGAGTCCATTAGTGTGTATAATGCTGTAAATAATACATACGATTTAATTTGACTAAAAACAAAATATACAATTAACAAATATTTACGTGATACCTCGATTATATAAATTTTAAATAGGCAATGTTTTAGAATAAATGAATTGCGATTTGAGATTATAAGAATGACCTTTCAAGTCAAGATAAAACTTATGTAAACAATTATATTTATATTTTCAATCCATTAAATTGTAATCTTATGTTAATAGTATTATATCTGTTGCATTTCATTTGACTTGTTTATTTATCGCAATTGACTAGGTATATTTAAATGTATATACGTACAAAATTGTAAAAAGTTATATCATGATTTTGGGTTAAAACAAATAATATGCACATATTATGCAAAAATTACTTGTACACTTTACAACTGAACAGCAGTTATGGTACACGGCAGAGGTAGGATTGGATTGTACTGAATACTGATTATAAGAACGAATCAGGACAAAGAGTAAATAATAAGCGAATCAATACACAAAACTGATGTGTAAATGGCATAGACGATAACTGTTTACCGTGTAATACAATGAAGCCAACATGTGTGAGAGAGAGACAGAAAATGTGGGATTTTTCATGGAAGAAAAATTATTTGTACATAATAAAAATACCTGTGTAATGGGATAATCATGAACAGTGAGCACAGACTACGAACTAAGATATACTTTAGTTCGTGGCACAGACATATAAATATATTATACATATATCTTTTTTTCATAGTACCATACATTATATAATTATATGTCTATGAATTGGCATATTGTTATCACGAATTAAGGAACAAATATCATATTATATAAATTATACGATGACATAAATAAATATTAAGAGAACAACTTACTATAGTCGTGCTTGGTATAATAATCCTCTTGTTTTATACTATTACAAATTAATATAAATATATTTAATTATTTGCTTATGTACTGCCATTAACTACTTCATACTTGATATTTAAATTAATGGATTGATCAAATATCAAAATAGTACGAGTTGTTGGTGTGTAAGAAAATTGTTTTACGATTTTCCGTATCGTGTTTGACCGTAAGGAATGGCAACACTGTGATTCTACTTCTCCGAACTGCACCACCCTAGAAAACTTATATATAGGCACTATAACTACCCTACAGTGCCCGGTCGGGTAATTTCTATACCTATAACAGTTATGTAATGTGTACGACTACGTCCAATATGATTTTTCCGATTTTAATAGGTATCTAATAGTTAATTGAAAAAAAAGCTACGATAAAAAGACAAATGTATTTATTTTTTAATACATTTACATTTGGTTTTATGGAGAGCATTGTTTTATAAACAAGTAGAAAATGAAACAACCAAACTGTGTTTTAGGCAAAAATATTTCAACGTATTTAAGCCGAAACTACAAGTTAACTTGCACATTTCTTATCATTGTTTTGGAAGACTGTTAATTCATTTTAATTTTTTAATCAAAAATAATGTTGGGTTATAAAAAACTGTATACTATATTCAGTCTTGAGAAAAGGTACACACCAAGGTGCTTATAATATAATAATCTTACGCGGAAGCGTATTTACAGACCCTATCTGAGTTCGGCCCAAGATGTACATTTAAATATGTAACCTATTGGGGTTTTCCATCGAATAGGTTTATGGTTTAAGGTTTATGCTTACACGACACTAATATCTTTGGGAGATATGGTTGGACTAATAGGTGAGTTATGTCTTTTCCCTTCTAATAACAATTTGTAGACAAATGTTCTTTTTATGAAACTGTATTGATAGGAAAAGTTAAAAAAAATATAAAAATTTTAATTATCCATTGTGGGCCGAAGGCCAAAATTAAGAGACAGGGCTCCCTCTTTATTTTAATTAATTGTAAATGTTTATAAATAAGCGATGCGGATGCAAGAGGAAGGTTGACCTGTAAGGTCAAAGGTCACCTGTAGCGCCATGATTCAACCATAAAGAAAGCCGTAGGTTAACATTTGAAAATCAAAAGTTGACACTAATTTAAGCAGAGGGTAAATATTTGTAAATGATTTTAAAATAAAGCTTGAACAGTCCCACAATGATGGAGAAAAAAAACAGAAATCCCATTTATTTGAAATTCTCTGGATAATGATGATAAAAGAATTAACTTGAATAATATTGTCTCATGTTCGTATATATTGCCGCTGGTACTTGCAGTACTTATATTCGACTTCAATCTTGAACACGTCATGTGTAAACACTGATTTTACCGTTTACAGCAACAAACTAGGAATATATCATATGGAATTCAAAAACAATAAAATATGTATGATTGCATAAAAAAAAATAATAATAAATATACTGAAGGAGAGGCTAGGGATTATTTGGGCACTTTTTTACTTTTTGTTTGTTTACAAATCTTTGAATAATTATTTTAAAATGATTCTATTGAATATATAGGTTTTCTATAATTCAAGTTATTCTAGAATCCAGTCACGCCTTAGGAGCAATGAATATTGCCGTAATTACAGGCAATGTTGAGGGGGGGGGGTGCAAGCCAATATTACGTAACCTAGGTATGAAACATATCAAACTTATAATAATAAATAATATAGTCATTTTAACATATTTTCACAATGTACCTACATAAGTTTATTAAATATTATTTAAAAATAATTTTATTTTCTTACTTTTAAATTACAAAAAAAGGAATATACGCCCTCATCCCTTCTGTTTTCACTGGCCATGGTATTTATGTACTTACAGACAATTTTTGAATTGTTATTATTCAAGTTACCGATACCTAAGGTGCTTATAATACATGGTGAGCCCAGTTCGACTGTTATCACACATATTTTACTTTTTTTTTTTGTGAAATACAAAGAATGATTTATTTTTAAATACAATAAAATGTCAGCCTACTAATTATATTACTACCTTCTTTTTAAAGTTTGAAGGAGATTCGGAGTCATGAATCCAAGAATAGTGACGAGATCAACAGAGAAAAATATAATTAATTTTACTTGCCTAGTGTTGGAACACTACGATGTATACCTATAGATATCCGGTACATGATTATTACCTCAATTATAGAGATAATGAAATAAGAACTGCGAGTTGCTTCAAAATGCTTGGCGGGTCCTCTTTTCTGACCTTTTTGAGGGGAAGATTCCGAAGCTTTTCATTGGAAACAAATTATGGAAAATGATACAAGGGCGCAAAATTGTTGTCCCCCAATAGAAATTTTTTGGTTACATGTCTGAGTACAATATGTATTAATTGTACTTTTTATAAATAGTATGGATAGAATACAAATATTATTTTTGAAAAAATGAATATAATTTATGTGAAATTATAAAATATTTAATCCTATAAATATGAAATAAACATTGTTTTTTTTTTTTTTTTGTTTCTATAATATATAATAATAATAATAAGAATGTAAGATACAATTGAATTACTTCTTGGATTTTTTAATGCGGAATTTTGAAGTTTGATGCAATGCATTAGTAGGAGTAAGAATAGAATCCAATCGGTTATCCTATATAAATAAATTTTAAAATTATTCAAATATTCAAAATGTATAGAACAAAATATCAATACTCACAGTAAAGATTTTACTATTGTCTGATAATGGTGGTTTGTTATCAAATAATTTACGTTTATGAGTACTATTAGGTATATTATTTATGATTTCGTATAAAATCTTATCGCACATTTCAGGAGTATCATCTGGCAAAATTAAAATATTAGTTTTATAAAAAATTTACATAAGGCATAAAATTATATTACCATATTTAATATTTTTCTTTTTCCTGAAACAAATAATTCTGTTTAATTTATAAATAATAATAAATTCAACAAATAATTACAGATTTTATGAAGTGATTTAAACCAAATTTAAGGTACTTAACCTAATTATATTTTAAAAAATACAAATAAAAAATGATATTTTGAAAAAACCCATTTTTGAACTTTAAGGGCTTTGAGATATGAGTTCAACTTAAACAATTGACTTGTAATTATGGGTTTTGGAATTAATTTAGAGAGATTGACCAAAAAAAATTTCAGTAAAGGAATATAAAGACTATCCTAATAATATACAGTGTCCCATGATGATTTGCTACTAAAAATAACTTTTGTTCTATTCAATATTTTTTTTAAACAATTAGTATGTCTCTGTGCTACAGTTAGTTTACACATATTTTTTTTTTTTTAGATAGGGCATGAATATTATTGTGGTTTATAATCCATTATAATATTTAATTAATAGTCAGAGCACATCAAATAACAAGGACTTTCTTTTTATTATAGTAGATTATATATCAAAATAATCACATTTGCCAGAACTTCAAAAAATTGTAGAAAATAAAAGACAATACCTAAACAAATGTTTTAACTACCCAATGTTTTTTAAAAATCTATTTAACAAAATGGCTATTTAAAATTTTTATTTCAAGTTAAGCTACCATTTTTTTTTTTTCAAACAGTAACTATACCGTGTAGAGACAAACTAATTATTTAAAAAAATATTAAATGTAACAAAAGTTATTTCAAGTAGCAAATCATTGTGGAACATGTATATATATATATATATAGTATTTATAAACATTGCAATTTTAAAGCCATTATAATCAAAAATAATTAGGAGTTAATTATTACTAGGACTCAGAACTTGTACTTAAATTCCTCAAAAAAAACTTCTTAAAAATGTCAAAAAAGCTTTAACAAAAGTACTTGAAAAATATTTCCCCCTCTAACGGTTTTAATTTATTAAACACAATTTTCTAATGCTGTGCAAACTAAATGCAAACTATTAACCCAAAGGTATCTTTTTTATAAAACGTCCAATTTTGTTTGAATAAAATAATTTTTTGTCAATAATTTGTGTAAATAAAAATAATTAAGTCATAATTTGTTTAATCTACAGTTAATTTTAATGAGTTTTGTTAACTAGACATTTAACTAATGATTGATAAAATGGCTCTTAAGTACCAGAAAAGTTGTTCACAGGGAAAAAAGGACAAAAAATATTTTTCAATTTCTCATTTCTCATTTTCCCCATTTGTTGAGAAAAATCCTGGAAAAATCAAAAAATTACCTCCCTGAAGTACATATCCCAAGGAATTGTACTCTTAGAAAAATTGATATCATTGTAAATCTAAGCAGTTGCTGGGAAAAGTTGTTAAAAAAAAATAAAAATAAAAAACTTAACGGTATTAGGTCCACTAATACTTACTTTGTAGTTGACATAGGAGTCTTGGTTCTAGATTTTATTGTAGATTTTTTTTCAGTATTCTAAAAACAAACATTTCACGTTTTTTTATAAGTTAAAGAATTTATAAAAGTATGAAATTTATATATTACCTTATTTTCTTCACTATCACAATCTATGATCATTGTCAAAGGCTATAAGTGTGTATATATATAAAAATAAATTAAAACGCTAAAATAATGACAAACATGTTTCACTAATTTAATAACTTACACATTGAACATTATTTATATCTGTTAATACAGTTATATTTTTGGAATCCGGTTTCATTTGTTTTTTCTTCAAGGCAGCTTGCAGTTCTTTATTATATCTCATTTCATTATCTCTGTAATTAAAGTAATAATCAATGCAAATATAAGTATAAATATATTGAAGTCAATTTAAAATTACACCAATGTAGATTCGAATGTGGCTGCATATTCTTTGAGTTCAGTCATCTTTGACTTGATATCTAATACATAACAAAATCTTATAAATTCAATGTTATATAAATTTATTTGTGAATAAAATATTTACAAACCTGCCAATTCTGAAGATAATTCGGTGTTACTTAATGTCAACTGATCAAAAGATTTAGCCTAATTGAATTATTAAAAAAAATTATAGCAATATTAATAAAATAAAACGTTTATAGAAATGGATAATATAAATTATACTTTGATCCGAAATAGTTGTTTTAAAATTTGATACTTTTCAGCGATCTTAGATTTATCCTGCAAACAAATTTTGTACTTCTTTTTTTTTCTTTTTAATTTTTCTTCCATACATTCTAGGGTTTTTTTTTCTGCCTAAAAAGATTATAAAAGAATTTTATTTAAAAAATCATGTTTTTTTATTTAAAATAACAAATAACATTATATAAAAAACTTTTTATTTTTTCACTTAACAAACTTATCAAATCAGCCATTTTGTAAAAGATATTATTCTAAAATTTTAATGTATCACATATTCATTCATATCCAATGAATAGTTTCTTAGTAATAGCAGTTTAAATTTCTAGAAATAAAATGTGAAAACAATTAATATTTAATAATAATCATAATCTCTGCACGGCAATTCCATATCGCAACAGTAGTTTATTGAGTATTAATTGTTTTCACATTTTATTTCTAGAAATTTAAACTGCTATTACTAAGAAACTATTCATTGGATATGAATGTGTGATACATTAAAATTTTAGAATAATATCTTTTACAAAATGGCTATTTTGATAAGTTTGTAAAGTGAATAGTTATTTTTTTTTTATTTGAGAGATGAAAATAAAAATTTATTTTTTTTCTAAATCGATGTCCCCCTCGAGCAACACTAATTTAAAAAAAAAAAAAATGTAATATTAACAGTTCTAAAAAAATTGATCAAACATGGTGTGACATACTGTATAATCACATCTCAAAAACTTCAATTTTCTTATAGGCTAACTCTGTTTGTTTCCAGGTTTCAATTTCATATAGTAATACAGAGAACATGTAACACCTTAACTGCATAATTTTTTATACCTACTCTTTATGATAATTTTCAATTATTTAATATCCTCCAACTTATGATTCTTTGATAATATCATACATTTCGTTTTCTTCATGTTTAGAGCTAAACTATATTTTATACTAACTTCTACAACTCTGTCCATTAAATATTCCATCAATGATATTAGTAAAAAATCACTGTACTATCAGCATACTTGATATTATTTAGACCTTCTCCATTAACTTTGATGCTATCTTCAACTCCTACTCGAACTTCACAAAAGATAAATTCAGAGTATATATTGAATAACAATGGAGACAAAACACAGCACTGCTTTACTCCCTGCTTAATTGATACATCCTTAGAATTCTCCATCAATGTTGTATTATTCTCAAATCATCCTTATCAAATTCCACTATGATTAGGATTTCTAAGTTTATTAAGGTTCACTTAATCAAAACAACATGCAAATATGTTCTGATTAACGTCTTTAACTCTTTAAAATAATACTTATAAGTTGAAAATAGCCTATCTTGTGCTCATAGCATTTCTGAAACCAAACTGTGTGTTCCTCATTTTTTCTTCACATATTCTAAAGATCCTCAGTTAGTTTATACCAAGTGTTTATTGTTTCAAATTAAGTCTAACAAATAAATATTTACGAAATTCTTTAATCTTTAATTTATAAACTTTGTTAAAAAATAAAACTATCTTACATATTTAGATTTTTGTTGATCTTGATAAATTTTCATTTCAATAATAAGATTTTCTTTTGCTTCCAATAATCCAATTAATCTTTCAATTTCCAAATCCTATACAAATTAATCACGTTTTTAAAATCTTTCTTTTTTTATTTTTACAGTGTTAACATGCTACCAAGCACCATATCTAACACATTACTGTTGATGTAGCATATTAGTATTGGTTAAATAGTTTAAACATTAAACTTGAGTTCAGAAAATAATAATTTTCTACGAAAAAAATATTATTCAAATTGAAAATCAAACAACCCCCCTTTCTTTATAGTTGGATTTTAGATTTAATTAGTTAGTAAGAATTTACGATTTGAATTTTTGTTGTAAATCAATAAAAATAAAAGTAATCTGAAATTTGTACAGGATACTTAGATTAGTTTTATCTGTAAGTAGTAAAATGTTCTAAATGGAACCATTTTAGCTAGTTTTATATTAGTTTTTAATTGGTAAGTACTGTGTGGATATTTGAAGATTTTTCACAACATATAAGGTTCAAAGGCAAAGTTTTCTTTTGAAAAACCAAAGTTGTTATCACCACAGGATAGTCGTTAAATGCTGTGAAAAATCAATGTATTTGAAGATATCGACTTTAACTAAACATAAAAATTCCAAAAATAAGAATATAAATATATGCAAAATAACTAAAAAAATGAGGGAGTACGTTTAGTAATTAACCTATATATATATATATCTGTATTTTTCTGGTAGCCATTCCGTTCCCCATAATAGGAAATGTCGTCTGGGAATGAGTCTACGAGATACACAATAATATGCTATGAATTGTTGGGACTGCAGCTGGGTGGTATAATGTTTATTCAGTATACTTGTTCTCTACTATAGAACCACTCAGATGAGACATTTTCATTAACCGTTCCAAATAAAAACGCACCGGGTGGTGTACGATAATCGGTCAAAACTAGCAGCCGACTAATAACAACCAATTGTAGAGTAAAAAGACTCAGTTAAGGGAGCAGGACGTCACTCTGTGATACATTTGAATGTGCTGAGCGGTGGATTCTTATATGGAATGAAGTATAGGTAAGGTATCATCACAATACTATGCTAATAGCTTTTGATGACAAATTCGAAAATTAATAAAATATTAATAATTATGTGAAGTGGTTTTCAGTATTTTATTGTTGATAAGTAAATTTATTGTCGCCTTCTGAACCCTGGATATTGGCATATTTTATTAAGTATTTATGACAAAATGATAAAATTATTCAACATAAATTTACCCTTTCTTCTAAAAATTGACACACTTCATCAAATCTATTATTGATTTTATTTGAATTATCAACCATGTTCTTATATTTTGCATATACCTCAGTAAACATAATCTTGCAATTCTAAAGTAAATAAAAAACAGGAATTAATATAATTATCTACTTATATTTAAATTTCAACAAATTATTATTATTTCAATTTCTTGATTTTTATTATCAAGAATTTGTTATTGCATAGCTAGAATATTTATATTGAATTCTAACAAAATTAAATTATCTATTTCACCACTGTTTTTTTAAAAACTATTTGGGGTTACTTTAGCTTTAAATCTCCACTATACTATTTTCTAGATTATCAATCAATATACATCCCAACATCTTCATAATTCCTCATAGGTACTCCTCATTTAATAAAATTTCAAAATATTCTTTAAAACACTTCTTAAATACTTATACCAAAACCAAATAAACCAAAGACTCTAGCCACCTCATACAGACCAATAAGTTTACTCCCAATTCTAGCTTAACTATTCGAAAAACAATACTCAAAATAATTAGACCTATAATGCAAATTAACAGAATTATCCCAAACTCTTAATTAGGTTTTAGAGCAAAAAATTCCTCCACTGTACACCAAATTCATAGAATGACGGATGAAATAACATCTTCCTTCGAAATGAAACAATTTTGTCCAGGTGTTTTCCTGTGTGACATGAAGGCCTACTTAATAAACTCAAACTTTTTTTACCGGCACCATATTATTTAATTATTCGCTCATATCTCAAAAACCCGCTCCTAATTGGTCTGATATGGAAGCTCATCATACTTCTGCATTGAAGCTGGTGTACCCCAAGGTAGCAACCTCTCTTCTGATTTATTTAATATTTATATGGCCGACATAACTGTTACAGCAAGCACCACCATGACCACTTACGTAGATGACACCACAATACTTTGTGCTAGTAATGACCCTGACAAAACATTCAACCTTCTACAAATCCACTTAGATTCCATTGCCAACTTGACAACTAAGTGACAAATAAAAATAAATACAGATAAATCTGTTTATGTACCATTTACTTTAAAAAAAATTGGACCTACACCTATTTACTTTCAGGGTACTCTAATTCCATCATCTTCTGATGACAAATATCTCGGCATTAAGCTTGATAAAAGAATAACTCGGGGCTCACACCTTAAACTACAAATAAAAACTCTGAACAGACTACATCTACTTAGTCCAATATTAAAAATCAAAACTTCTAATTCATACCAAACTTATTATGTACAAATATCTTTTGCGACCAATATGGGCATATGCAAACCAAATTTGGGACTGCACTAAACTATCCTAAATTCCCACCATACAAGCTTTCCAGTCAATTACTCTCCATATGCTAACATCTGCACCTTGGTTTGTACCTAACTCCGCACTACACGGACCTAAAAATCAAAACAGTTGTTCAATAAGTCACAAAACATTATAGATCTTTTTATTCCGAACTTCATTCCCATACTAGCCCATTAACAGCAAAAATCCAATTCAATACTCAACCCATAAATCCCACCCATCGACTCAAAAGAAAATACTGCAGAGATTTATTAACCTAAAGTAACATATCACGTTGGATTCCAACAATTCACAGTTAAAATGTATATAAATTATTGTATTTAAAATTATTATATTTGCTTATTGTGATGTTATAACACACATTTTAAATATTCTTTTTCAATAATAGTTTAAAAAAAAAAAAAAAAAAAAAAAAAAAAAAAAAAAAAAAAAAAGAACACTTCTTCACATTTGCATTAATACTATTTTATCTTTAACTAGGCACTAAAAAAGAGAAATTTTTTTTTTTTTTAACAAATTCCTCTTCATTAATTTACACTAAATATTTTCAGCTCTCTTATAATTAAAAAATAGTATGCAAATTAAAATTAATATACACATATAATTTGGAAAAAAATTGTTATTACTTTTATCTCTTGATTTTTTTTATCAATTTCTTTTTGATGCGCCGCTTTCAAAACCTAATAAATCATATTTAATTAAAACTATATTACTTATGAAAGGCAGATTTTTTTTTTCTTCATATACCTTTGTTTCTGAATCTTTATGATCAACCTGTACACATAAACAATTGTATAAGAAAATAATTGATAAATATGTATAAAAATATGACATGTTATGTACCCGTATTTTTTTTTCAGAATTTGAACAATCTAAATCTTTATTTTCACAAATTGTATCTAAAATATATAAGTGTTAATATACACCATATTATATTCATATAAAAGTTTAGTTGCAATATCATGTACAAGGTGATCAACATAACATAATAAACTTATGACTTTGGAGTAAATTAGCTGTATAACTGTTACATTGCTATTTTCTTTTTGTCACCATTCTTTTATGGGCTGAATCCACTACAAATTTTTGATTTTCAAATGGCAACTTATACTAAAAATTGCATTAATTAGTGGGAATATTAGTTTAAACGATTTACATGTTGAAATTTTTGATCCGTCAACCTGTTGACGAGATACAAATAATCTAATTACAAATTTCAGCACAAGGGAGTAGTGGTATCATTTGTTTAACGTCATAGAAGCATTTTAACAATGTTTTACTCATTTCCCATGAATATACCCCACCCACTGAAACTTAAAAGTGGAATATCTAATTACCAGGTTGACAAAAATTAAATTATTTCAACACCAAAATTTGATTTAATTAATACTCAATCTATTTATACAATTTTTAGTATATGTTGCTATTTGAAAATTCAAATTAGGTAGTGATTTCACCCCTAAATTATAAAATAAGGACGAGAAAAATTTATTTTAGTGTAACATTTTAGAACTACTTATTTCATAAATGTTCTAAAAATACTTTCAGAGATAATAAGTGCCTTACATAATGTGATTGCCCTGAATAGATGAATATAAATATTTGTTGAATACTTTGTTTAAATTTAGCTTGTGTCAAGTTTTTGTCATTGTTCGCTGCCAATACAACAAAACTAGACTCTGATTTCGAATTGTTTTTTGACTTTAACGTAATAATGGAACGCACAATAGCAAACATAAATAATACTTGCTTTGTCTCTTCGAATAAGCCAGGAGATATATCAACATTAACAGCCATTGATATACAAGTTTGATTACTGCCTATTAAGGCAGTTTGGAACATCTGGGTTAATTTAGATTCTCTAAATGGAACTAAGTGATTATCTCCACGCTTTTGATTATCACTTTAATATATACAAATGATAAATTAATAGATATATTCATAAATATTAAAACTTGAATTAATACATACCGTAGTACAGAAAAACATTTATTTAATACCAATAATGATGTGTTTATTTTTTTAGATTCTGTAAGTCGTTCAGCAATATTCATGGTTTTTTTAAGACGTTCAGAACCGGCCAAGTCACAAAAAGTAAAACTAAAAATATTGTAAATTAATCATTGAAAAATATTAATAACAATAACCACATCAAAAATATCTGAAGAAAACATCAAACTAAACCTGCTAATAACAGCTGTTGTAGGTGATTTAATATTTTCTATTCTCATTAATTTCAATGTGAAAATGCAATGTGAACGGCTTAAAGTATTGCTTGTAATTTTCAAATTATTTCTACCAAAAAACATAGCTTTATATGCTTCTTCTGCAGATCGAACTAACACATGAGTAAGTCCTAAAAATATATATATATATAATAATAATAATTATTATTATAATAATTACCCATAATACATGGGTAATTGCAATATATTCTTTTTTTATAATAACAATAAAAGATGACCCATGAATAGGTCAAAAATTACCAGACTGTTTTGGAAATTGCACCTAAAATTTGCTTATATTTATTGAAAATTTTAGATTTTTATGATTATATTCAATAGAATTGCAACAAAAAAAAAAAATAAAAACCATTAGTGTGCATTTAATTTTGTTGTTATTAGGAAAATCAAAAAACAACCTCACCAATGTACCAAAATAAATAAAGTATGTTACAAAGAAGCTCGTTATTGTTTAATTGAAAGATTTTTGATCGAAAAATTGTAAACAGAAACACACACACAAATAAACCATATAGTAAAACCAAAACATTTTTTGTCATGCTAAAAATGTAAAAGTAACAATAATTATTTTAAAATTTCTCAAAAGAAAAAAATTGAACCATCTGCTCTGTTCTTTAGCCAGAAATCTATTATTTTAATCATCTTATACTATCATTGATTAATTTTAGATTCTGAGTGTAGCAAAGAATATTGGTTCTAATTAACTTACTGTGACAAAAATGTAGACATTTTGCTTTTGTATTAAGTATGGCAACATTACTGAAAGGAAATTTTACCTAGATAATCTATTAAGTAGATAATTTTTTTAATTTCCCAAACAATTTTCATAACATCTGGGGAAAACTGGGATAAAATGCAAGAAAAACGGGACATTTACGAAAATAATGCTATTATTATTTTTAATTTTGTAGTTTAGTTAAAAATATTAGTAAACACTTGAAATTTGGACAGAAAATTTATATTTAAATTTTCTAAACATAGTAAAATTATCAAAACATTTGAGCCATTTATTAAAATTCATTTAAAAATATTTGTATGCACTTAATGGACTTGAAATTTGAACACAAAAATTATGTTTGCCCTTTCTAAAATGTGATAAAATTTTGCTTAGCCATTTTTGAGCTACTTAATGACATTTAAATTTTGGGAGTTTTGTACGTAATTTGTACTCTATGAATAAAATTGTTAAGACTAAATAAAACAGGAGGTTCATTATAAGTTGTACTTTTTGGTCAAAACAAATAAAAATTGAGTTTAATACAGTTTTTAAGAATTTTAATATCAAATTTTAACAAAATAGTCTAGTCCATACAAATTATTTCAATATATAAATATTTTACTATAATGACTAATACTATAATACAGTAAAACTTCCATTAAAGATCATTTCTGTGTAACGGTTATTTTTTTGGCCCTGTTAAGTGTTATTTCTCTGTAGGAAACCTCTAAATAATGGTCATTATTTCTAGTCCATTCAGTGACCGTTATATGGAAGTTTCACTGTATATTTGTATAATATTTAATTTTTCAAGATGTATAAAAAAGCCTCAAATAACAGGGGTATTTTTAGTAAACAATAAATCTAGTCATAACTAGTACATACTCGTATATTTGTAATTATTTTACAGAATATAACTCAAGGAAAAAATCCAAGGAAATTTAAATATTAAAATTAAGAAAAAAAAGAACTAATAAATTTTATCACATACCTTGTACATAGATATTTTTATTTTGATCAAGTGCAAGTTTCAGAGGTATTCGTTTTTGGTTAGCTGAACAATTAATATCAAACAAATCATATATAGATTCATTGTAAATTTCAGAATAAGTAACCCAAACTGTGTAAGAGACATCACCATGGTCTAAAGATACTTTATCATCGTTCTTCAATAAATCAAATATTTTTCCAATATTGTTTGAATTAAGATGATCAATACCATTAATTGTTTGACCTTCATCCAATTGAGGTGAATACTTATCATCACCCTTAAATAAACAGATTAGTAAGTATTTCATTAATTTATAATATAGGTAAAAAATCAAGTAATGTACTTCAATTTTCTCATAAGACAAATTATTAAGAATTTTATTCCGGATATTTTCTTCATGCTCCATTAACTGTTCATCCAAAACCTTTGCTGCCATAACTTTATCAGGTTTATACTTACATTGTTCCATTAATTTGTTGTTTAATGTATTAAATACAAATACCAAAGTTCTAGGAATTAAACCAGGATCATTCAAACTTCCTAAAAAAAATAAAATAAAAATAAAAATTGTTGAATATTATTTTAAAATAAGAAATTGAAGATAAATGAACTACCATGCATTGTATAAGTCTTCTCTGCATTGGTTGTACCATATGCAAACAATAACTCATTGTTTCCATTTAAAAACCTTAATACTTTATCACGTACCCATATGTTGAAAAATTCCTTTTGACCAACATTTGATCCAAATACATTAGAAAAAGTGAACCTATAAAAAAGAAAAAAATTGTCATAAAGCTTGAATCTAATGAGTAAATTTCTTACTCAGTAATGCCTTCACGTATACTTCCATTATAATATGAAACTGAAGTATTATTTAAAACTGTTAGTGTATTGTCATACTATATACATAACAATTTAAAAATATTTTTGAAACATGAAACACAAATAAAATCGATTTTTATTTTATAATGAAATAAGTACTAATAAAGTTCTAATAACTTACTCTATGCGAGTTATCTAATTGTGGTTTTAAGCGAAGACTAACATCAATTTTTGGAATTCCTGAATTTAATTCAAAAGAATAATCCAGAACTTTTTTAGGTTTTCCATTGACTCTTCTTTGTCCAAATCTAGTGGAATCTATTTCTTTTGAATTTTCCATTCTTTTTACATTGAAATCTAGGATTAGAAAATATAAATGTGATAGGGAGTAGTCAGATTTGATCATCCATACATTATAGGTAATTTACACCCACCAATCAACAATTAAAAAATGATAGAGGCGTACTTCGCACAATGGGTGGGCCATTGTTATAGATAAGAAGTTGGGAAAGTAGGATATAGAGGGTAATTTAATGTATATGTGTACGTAATAATTACTCTTTGTTAATGAAAAACAATTTTGAGTGGAGTTCAGTTATACATGTATTGAAGGCTGTAATGTTGACAATTTTAAAATAATACATTTCGTAAATTTTCCCATTTTCCCGTTTTCCCATTTATTATGAAAACGGCTGGAAAAATTAATAAATGACCTCCCTCAAGTATTACCCCAGTCATATATTGTTTCAGAAAAAATCTTATAAAATTGCTGCTAGATATTTTTACCACAGAAAAAAAATAAACATCATTGTGAAACCAACAGATTCCTTGATCCATTCAGAATCTTATGGTTTTACAAAGATGAAAATGTTTTGCTTGTTTTGTGGACAACTTTGCTCCAATTTATAATGATAGCAATGTTTCTAAAAGAAAATTTTCTCAATAAATATGATCAACCAAAAAAAAAAAAAATATGGGAGAACCAGGGAAAAAGTAAGAAAAAATGAAAAAATGGTGTACACTAAAAACATATTATTAAAGAAAATATAATAAATATATTTTAATGCATATGTTATTATTTTACCTTAAGCAACAGATATACATTAAATTATTTATAACAGTGGCTGCACCTGTCCCCATTATCCTAGGAAGTCTTTTTAATTTAAAAATCCTTATTATGGTTATTGCTTTATTAATTTATACAGTGATTTTAATTGTTAAAAAAAATCACAAATGTATGATGGCTATAGAACAAGAAAATACAATTTTAAAATATTAACACTCATTTTTCATTTCTTAATTTTTTCAAGACTTGGGGTTGTAAAATTGAAAGTATCAAATGCCATTTTTTTTTCCGCTCTCTTACTTTTTAACATCCTGTAGTTAGAATTTCAATACACCAATTTTCCGCAAAAATATACGAGTTTAAAATGTTTGGTTCAGCAAAAATATCTAATACTAAGAAAATCCAAGTATTTCAATCACAAGCTCTTGGGGAGGTATGGCAAAAGCTTACATGCAGAACCCAATACTTAGCCAACTATTTCTAACCAATATTAGCACCACCAAAAAGATCTCAAGTCAAATAAGCTCAGTTATGACTGTCATGCACTTATACCAAATATGCAATGAGCTTTTCATACTATTCTGGCTGCACCTCCATACGTGTCCAACGACACACTCTACAAAGACATAGGTCTCCTTACAATTAATGAAGCAGCCAAACATCATTAAAGAAGGTTCCTGAAGTATCTCCATGAACATTCTAATCCTCTTATTGCAAACCTAGATTCTAACAATCTCCCCAAAAATTCACTCATCACATAAAAATAAACTGGTTCAAAAACCTCTTAATTTAGTTATACATTTGAATTTTTTATTTCTTTGACAATTAACATCTCCACACATGTTATCTTCAGTCAATTTCCTATAATCTTATACAATCATATATGCTTATTGTACATGTACAATTTAGAATTTGCAAACACTAAGTTTATAATATTGTTGAATTTTTCAAATTTGAAAAAAAAATTGTAACCTAAAAGCCATGTTGGTGGACTTTTAAGTGGCTTTTAGTTATCTATGAGAAATTTGTTTTTGCGTCGATTGCGTGCTACTAAACCAGTCAGATCTCGGAAAGAAGAAAAATTAAAAATTCAATCGCAAGTCATTGATCGAAAGGGAATACGGTAATCGATATTTTGACATGCTAATTTAACCCAAGAAATGGCCTTCAATTAAAAATCGTTTGTGCAAAGTATTTATTTTAAATTTTTTTTAGTAAGCAAATTAACAAACTATATTATATGCACAATAAGAAAATAAGATAAAATAATTTACAAACACGTGAATGCCAGAGGAAGAAGGCCATTCAGTGATACTTATTTGTATTTTTATGAAAAAAATTCTTATTCTAGGTATTTATGACACAATATACCATTTGAATTCCGAAAACAAATTTTTCCTATATTGTCTGATAGACAGTGATGGCAAATATAGAAGCTATATAAAACTTTTGATGCAAAATATTTAAATTATTTAAGGTTAAAATAAAGCAATATTTCATCAAACGTGTACTTACCTCAGCAATTTTTAGAAACATCGAATGCTAAGCTTTGATAAAAAATAGAATCAAAATCACAAAAACAACCCAAGAACAATAATTACTTGTAGTATACTTGTCTATGATTACAACATTAAAAATCAAAATTTGTAAATATACGAAAAAATAACGGAAAACTAAATGAGATCACGAGAATCGGATATTCCTCCAAACTTACAAGCGTTACATCACAAAACAGTGTAATCCAATAATAAGCCAAGATAGTTATAAACATGCAGTGTGGCCAGGTTAAAATATGTGAATGTTGTAATGATAATTATCGCTAAATATTTATTTTTGTTCATATTGTAGGAAAAATGTCCTTGCTGCTCTCGCTGCTCGGGGGTGAATAATACAAACAATACTAGAAGACATTGTCCATAGACATATGAACTAATTTAAATGTACCCATTTAATTAATCGGTCCACAAAATAGATTTATTTTATTTAAATAAAATAGTCAGCAATCGATTTTTGATAACGAAGTCGCTCTACCATGTATGGGGATCCTCAGATCGCCCAAATATGGATCACGAATTAAGATAATATTCAGAATACGGAGCGGAAATGTCTTATCTTAATGGTTTTCTGATTCCGCCCGCTTCTCGCTGTTTGGCATGACAGCTAGCGCCTTAAAGACAAAATTCGTAGTATGGATGAAACAATTTATAGCATCCCCCGTGCATTATTACCACAGAGTACTCTATGATTTTAACTGCATTACATAAATCCAGTGTTCACGTTCCCACCTGGCAATATGCCATAAAGTTTAAGGTTCGGACGCGCAGAACACGGTCTGCGATATTTTCCCGCGGCGGTAAGTCGGTAAAGTTGTATTACGTAATATCGAATTATTTCTGTCACACAGGAGGCGGTCTGTTGCGGCGGGACAATACAGATCGCGACGACAGGCGACAAAGTTGTACTAAATTTCTAAATTCCGCGCGGGCAGCTGGCGATCTGTTTTTAAATTGTTATATTAAATTTATAATGTGGAGGAAGACAAGGAAATTCTGATCGAACAAGTTAGAAAATATTTGTTCTCATTCGATACATCCCATCAAGATTATAAACACGTAGCGAAAAAATTGTATTTTTATTTTATTTTGAAGGACAAGTAGAAGATAAAGTCGGTCTTCGTCAGGACTTGACATATTGAATAAACAATAAGTTGTATAATTACAAAACAATGAAAAACAATATGTATTTGTAACTATATGACAACAACCAAAGTTGGATTTATCACCGGAACAACTGTGAAAAATATAGTGTTTGTACTAGACCGCTCATGAAACAAACGCGTGGTGTGTGCCGTCACCAGATCGCAGTCGGCCGCAACAGATCGCGTTCTGTATGCCCGAGCCTTTGTTTGCATGTTACGAGTTTTCGGCCGAGACAGTGCTCGACCCAGTGAATAGAAACTCGTTCCAATGACTCCAATTACCGGGCCGAGTACTGGTTCTTTGAGTTCACACGGGACAGTGCTCGGCCGAATTCACTCTCTCGGTATGTTAATGCATCCCATGAATATTAACGGTTGCAAATAACATTAAATGGCTTTTAATGTTTGGATACAAATTCATGAGTGGTATAAATATTGTTTCCAATGCAGTGGATATACTGGTTTTTTTTTTCATATTACATTCCAGGTTATTCAATTCTCCTTTTAGTTCATCGAAAGTACCTGGTAAATCAGTTGTGAATAATAATGCTGGAAACGTCAATATTATTACAATACTTGTGTATGAAGCCTTTTAAATTTAAAATGTTACTATTTTTTGTTTCAAATTTGTATTTAATTTCAGTTACCAATGAATCTAGGTATGGATAATAAACTGAAATTCTATAATAATTCTCAGGTTTGTTTGATTCTGGTGAAATATTTAAGTGGTTACGCTGTTTATTTGCTATTCGTGATATCTTGACTTTAATATTAAATTTATTAGCAAAATCTTAAGATTTTTTAAAAATATCTTTAAAATCATTTCCATTATGTTGATTTGTTAAAATAGAGCAGATTGTATTAAAGATTGTACCTCGGCTATATCAAAAATTGGAGACTGAAGTTTTAAAAAAATGTTTAAAATACGTTGAATGGGGGGGGGGCACGGCCCCTACTTCGGTGAACGAGTGAATTGATGAAAGAAGATAGGATAAGAAACGGGTATATAAGAGGTAGTATAGATGTGTCTTCGATAATAGAAAAATGAGAAAAAATAGAATGAGATGGTTTGGGTATATCATGAAGAGAGAAGAATCAAAAGCAGTAAGAATGGAAATAAAAATAAATGAAGAAGGAAAAAGAATAAGAAGACCGAAAAATAACAGATTAGATGCAAATGTGAATGATATGAAGATACTCAAAGATAACCAGTGTGTTTGAGGTGGGAGATTGCGTCAAGTGAACGTTTAAGACAAAGATGATTGATCCCAAGTAGCTGGGATGAAGGAAAAGAAGAGTATGACGGTTATGTATAATATTAAAGATTATTGACGACACTGTTAAGGAAGAAGTGAGAATTTAAAAATCGCTGTATTTCATATATAATAAATTATAATGATAACACTGTTTAGTTTTTTCGAATTTTAGATTGTGAAGGAAGATGGTTGATAGGGGATTGTCAGTATGATTTATGGACGTATGTAAAAGCACGGAATTTATTTTACCGGAAACCTTACAACCCGGATTGTATTTTTCCGGAAACAAAAAATTTGCGAATTATAGTCAGGGACCGTAAAAACCCGGAATTGAAAAATATGCAAAACGTATTTGTTCGGATTGTCTGTTCTCGGATTGCAAACGCTCGCTTGGTATATTGTCGGAAAATAAATTATTAATCACGAACCGTATAACCTCGGAATCTTGGAAAACGTTTGAATCATTTTTGCATTATCGGGTATACAAAACAGGGCGCGTATAACAAAACCTTAGAATGCCCGTACATCTTTCTAATCTAATCAAGTTTTTAGATTCGTAGCGGAGAGAGGAATGTTTTGGTTTTACAATGATGTTTATTTCTTCCTAGTTATGCCATTCCCCCCCCCCCCTAAACGGGCATAAGCTAGTAGATTGGTGATAAAATGAGAATATTTAGAAAACTAGCTCCAAAGCCTTAATATTTGTTATTAAAAACATTTACGAGATCGTTTAAAAATAAAAAAGATTTATTTCAACCGCGAAAATATTAATAAAGGCAACTAAAATAGTGGTAATGTAACTCCTTATAGCTACTAATTTCTAATTTTTTAAGTTGTTGAAAAAAGTTAATATTTTCTGAGATAATGAGTATTTTGTAGATTTTATAATATAGATACAGTCTGTATAGGGTTTGTTAATAAAAGATCAGGACTAGCAACGGTACACATAACTACCTATATTTTTTCTACAATATCCAGTTCTTAATTATGGATTAGAAAATCCTGTATTCTGGAATTCTACAATCCATGACTATCCTTTTTTTTTTCCAAAAACATACAAACGGGGCTTATAAATTTTCCGGTAAAATACAGTCCAAGTGTTTACAATCCGTAAAATACGTTTTGCAGGTTTTCGATTCCAGGTTTTTACAGTCCCTGACAATATGGTTCACAAATTTTTTTTTCTATAGTTTTACATTCCATAAAAATACACTTTTATTCCGGAATTATATAATTCAAACAAATACATTCTGAGTTTTACGGTATTATATAATTTACCATTATTATATAATTATATGCAGGAACAATCTCATTAAACAATTATTGCTACTATAATAGTTATGTTAGTCAAGTTAATGTTTTAAAATTTAAACAACTTTGTTTTATAAGATAACTAATAATACATTATAAATATTCTTCATCCGAGGATGTATCCGAGGTTGCAGGAATAGCAGCACCACTTATAATCCATTCGTCATTTAAGTATTCCTGTGATGTTGAATTTAGATATCTGATTTTAATATCTGCCAACTAAAAAAATATATTTATAAATTATTATTATTTAAAAAAAAGATGGACATACACCTCACGTAGGTGGACCACTGTTGTAGATGAGTTAGGAAAGTAGAGATGAAATTCAATGTATATCTATATATACGATTAACCAATGCTAACGAAAAAAGGTTCAGAAAGGAGTTCGGCTAATAGTGTTGCTTTTTGATTTTCCTATTTATTGAGAAATCTCCTGAGAAAATGAAAAATTGGCCTCCCTAAAGTACCACTCCAATCAGATTATCTTATAGAAAAAGAATTATTATTTTAAACTCAACAAAATTGAAGGTAGAAAAGTTATTCACCGGAAGAAAAAAGCCTGTAATATTTGTTTACTAATACATACATTTCATACAGTTTCTGTTTTATCCCAACTATTGGCAAAACTCTTGAACAAGTCTAAAAAATGACTACTTTCAATATCCTTTCAGAAAAAGTGCTACAGTTGATACATCGGAGCAAGATTTCTGGTAGACAATTTTGTACAACAAATCTAGGGGTATTTTTCGAATAAAATAGTACGAGCGAGTTTTTATTCTGTATAGGTAAAACGGAAAAAATAAATGCAAAAATTGTTTTTTTCAGAACACGAGTTTAAACTCTATCTCTAGGATGACAATAAGTAGGTAGCACCTATTAGACTAGACTACAATGGACATAATATAAAATTAACAATATAGTTATTTAATATAGAAATGACATATAATATCCGCATAATATCAGAACTTTAAAAATAAAAATTTGGAACTAAGTGAGTCCACTCAATTCTGACTTTATCATCATTCTTAAATAAGCAGAATACATAATGAGATTTGTTCCATATAATATTTTACTCAAATGATTTTTGTCAAAATTTGATATTAAAATTCCTTTATATATATATATATATAAAAAGAAAAATACTTGTATTAAGATTAAAATTTTTTTTTTTTGGTTCACAAAGTAGGACTTAATGAATTTCCTTTTAAATTTTCAAGCATTTCTGTTAATTCTAACAATTTTACAACACAGTGCCTACCTAATAATTTTACGTATACAATTTGCACAATTTAAATGTCTATAAATAGCTCAAACTGGCTTAAATTGTTTTCGTAAGCAATGGTTTATAATTGCTTATAGAAAAAATTATTTTATGTTTCCTATATTCCCAACTTCTTACCTACAACAATGGTCCACCCATCTACGAATTTTCCCGGCTTTTTATATTCAACATTTTAATTTTAAATAAAGAATTAATTAGTATTTTTAGGTTTATTATTACTTTATCATGTTGACCAGTATGTACTACAAAAATTGTACATTTTTTATCTTCAAGTTGGTGTAGTTCTGTTTTATTCATTTTTCCTATGCCATATAATCGACATTCAAATGACTGTGCTGGTAGTTCACTAAATTTTTTATACAATAATCGTATATTTTGAGGTGAAACAATATTAACAGAGCCATCATCTATATTAATCACCTAGAGCATTAAAAACATTATTTGATATTATTACAAAAAATAAATTAAAACAATAATTACGAAATGTTTAATTTTAAGTAATGTGTTAGTTTAATTAATAGTATACATTAATATATGTGAATAGTTAATAAACATTTTACTAGTAATTAAACAATTTCACATTTTTTGTATAACACAAAAGTATTTTTTACACTTACTCTTATATTATTCGAATCAATATCAGTAACAATTCCTCTATGCCACATACCATCCACAGAAAAAGCATATGTTTGTTTGATCATTATTATAGTGGAATTAAATTTGAAGTTAGATTCATGCCTTGAATAGAATTTTCTGCAAATAATAATTGTTCAAATAAATAAGTAAATATTTTTTAAATTTTCTAATGAAATACAAGTAAAACTAATATGCAATGGATATAGTGTAGAAAAAAAACAATATATTTCATGTGTCTAATATTAAAATTTTTTAGTGAAAATTGACAAGTTAGAGCAGATTAAGTTTTTGATTTTATGAGAATAATAGTTTATAATAGTAAACTTCACCAAAAAAATGAGTATCTAGAAAACTTTCAAAACTAAATTACATACATTTATTTTTTTAATGTATGCTATCAAACTGGAATTTTTTTATAAATTACTGCTGAAAAAACTGTATTTAGATTTATTGATTTTCAACGAAGATAATCAGGGTGGCACGGGACTTTTGGGACATATAGTATATATATAATTTCACTGTTTTCTCAAACATACTATTAACAAACAATTAAAATAAAATAAAATAAATATTATGAATTAATATTTACTTCATATTAACTAATAAATTTTTAAACTCAACAGATTCATCAATAATTTGGCATATTATAGTTGGTACAAAATCCGAATCTATTCTAGTAACATAAACATTTAATAACTCGTTCATATTCAACTCAAAAGGTTCAATTTCTGAATCCAAAAAACAGTCATTTAATGATGCTTCAAGAAATGTATCATTTTCCTACAACAATATTATACAAATTTTGTATATTTCATTCATTAATATTATTGTAAGTGAAAGTATACATTAAATAGGAACACTTACTAAATATTTTTGTAATATTTCATTTTTTCTATTAAATTCTTTTGGACGTAAAATATGTTTGGGTTGATTAGAAGTATTTTGAATCTCTAAATATCAAATTATATATAAAAGAAATATTATATTATATCGTCTTTAAATTAATAATATACAAAGTGCAATACCATTTTTTGTTTCTTCTATATTTATTTTTGTGGATTTATTAACAATTTTTTTTTTTATAGAAATTATTAATATTTCATAAGTTGAAATTTTAATACTACATAATTCTGGTAGTTTAGCAAACATTTGACTCACTCTATTAAAACCCCAACGTCTAAAATGGTTAAATGTGGATCCAAATTTGGTCTAAAAAATAATATTAATAATTAGTATTTCATAACACATATTAAATTAGTATTATAAGTTACAAGTCTATAACTTATGAATAATTAAATGTTTTCTTACTTTATATAAATCGCATATTTGACTTTCAGGTATCCAACCTGGTTGTTCTTCTAAAAGACTTTCAATATTATTCTTAATTTTTTCTTCTAAAATATCAAAAAGAGCATATTCAAGTCCATTAGCAAGTTTTTCATCAGTAATTGTGCTAAAAATGAATAAGCTCAATATTTTAAACAAAAATTATCATATTATAGGATTGTATATTACACATACCTTTCCAATGAATCCTGATCAATTGCATATATTTCCATGGCTGTAAATTTATCTGAAATTGTGATACCAAAACTTTATACAAATTATTTTGTTTATTATTTTTGATAATGTGTAAAATATTTTAAGCACCTTCAATTATATATCTAAAACCTTAAGAGGATGCTACCCATGTATTTGTTGTTTCTATTTTACAACTACATGATATAGTAAATTTACAATCACACGGAACAACTTTGTCCTGTTAGTTTTAATATTAGTGAATTGTCCTATTATAAAAATTAAAGATAATAATCTTACCTTTAAGTTTTATAATAGATCAATTCACTCTTACATTAAAACTAACAGCACAAAGTTGCAATGCTTTAGACAGGAATTTAGGTAATTAACTGAATTAATTAAAAAAAAAAAATTAAATAAATAAAATATATTAGTTTTATTTTAGATTCTGAGCAGAGCGAAGAATGTATTGGTTTTACAATGATGATTATTTTTTTATCTGTAAACAACTTTTTTACAAGAAATCTTGCTCTGGTTATTTTGATTTTTCCAGTGGTTTATATTTTTTTTTTAAATCATAAATATTACGGCCTTTCAATATATGTATAATTGAACTCTACTCAGAATAGTCTTTTGTTAGCAATATTTAATTAATGTATACAGATATATATTCAATTTCCCCTCAATCTTCCCAACTTCTCACCTATAACAGTACTTCATCCGTCATGTGACGGCCTCATAACTGAACAATAAATAGATCATTTTTTAACTAATTTAATTCATCAAAATATTTTTAGGAAAAAACAACAATAATATATTTTCTAGTTCTAGTCTTTAGAATTAAATTAAAATTACACAATTAACCCATTGTTATTTTGGAATTGTTTAACACTTTAAAAATGAATAATTATAAATTACATTAAAATGATTTTTAGCAAATTTGTAATTTGAATTTAAATAAAATTATTAATATTTTAAACAATACCTTCCTCATTTAATAATTCTACTTTCTCTAATAATGATTGTTGTAAACATATCAGTTTCTCTCCATAATGATTAATTTTTTTAAATATATGAATATTATTATATAATAATAATTCATAGTCTTCAAGAAATAATTTAAATATAGGAAAACACATAATATTAGATACAAAATCATTGATCGGCAAACCCTGAAAACAAAAAAATAAATATTTAGTTGAGTATAACTATTATATACTGTTAAAAATATATAGGTAAATTATCTTACTTCAGGATACAATTCAACAAAAACTCTTATGAATGCACATTGTACTCGGTATGGTAATATTAACTCTTTGTGCGATTTTGTGGATTTATTAGTAGGTGGTCTTATAATGTTATTGGACACTAATATTTCCAAATGTCGGCTTTTTTTTGAACTTACTAAATTAATAATACTATTTTGATTTTCTGGATCATCAAGCTATTATAAAGACAATAGGCATGATTATAAACAGCTCTATTAAATATTATACTATGAGAATATCATATTTATCGCAATTTTTTTTGGTAGGTACTCTGTGGATAAAAAGTTACGACTAAGTTACAACTAACAGTAATGGTTGAAATATGACAGGAGATTCATTAAAAGTTATACTTGGCGGTAAAAAAAAATATATATAGTATTACATTACTTTTTTTTACAGTAGTAATTTTTTTTTTTTTGGGTTCAGGTATATGAGGATGGATTAATTTTACATTTTTGTTTTTTTTTTTATCTGTGTACCATTTTTTAATATTAAATTATGAATATAATGGAACAATATTCTAGTTAAAAAAAACCTTCATGAAATTGAATTTTTTTTTTCCAAAATAGATTTTTCAACAATGAAAATGTTGGTGAAATTAGAATTTAGTGGAAATCTTTAGTTCCATTGAAAAGCAATTTAAAGTTTACAACTCCTCTTGTCAGATCGAGTGCCACTGCTTCCTTCACTCTTTATAATATTAACCTACTGATCTGCAGGTCCAAACCTGATACTGGTGTCCTAAGTGTAAACCTAATGGTCACCTTTATTGGCAAATATTACAAACTATTACTATTTACTATATTTATTTATGAGTATTAACCATTTTGATAATTTTGTTTTTACTTTATTATTTTATTATTTACTATAATTTGTGGTAACTTTGAAATTAAATAAAGTGAAACTTTGATAAGTCGAAATTTTAGAGAAATTTAATTTTTTTTTGATTTACTAAGGTTTTCGAGTTATTAAAGTTCAGGAAAAAAATGTACCATAAACTTACTGCAATTAAGATAAAATATAAAATGTATTAATTTTTGATACACGCATTAAAAATTATATGTATAATATAATTTACTGCAGTTATTTAAAGTTGGGGGGGGGGAATCTTCTACTTTGAGAGGGAAAATCCATAGTCATAAGAATATGTCCATATTTATATTACTCCAGAGAGTATGAAACACTTGTATTCCAGAAAGCTGTAAATTGCTATAGCTGTATGAAAAAATATGTCATTGTATATACACACATTTTAGAATAAATAGGAACATAAACAAGTTAAAAATGTATATTGACTGCATACTGAATTAGGAACATACTTGTAAGGGGTAAAAAATTAGCACCTATTTAAAGTCTACTTAAAATCAAATGCAATGACTTCTTTTTATATATATTACGGTTAATGTCGTTATATTTATACTTTTTGTGTATACAAACCTATTTTGTGCTGTTAGTTTTAATACTAGAGTGTACGGGCCTATTATCAAACTTAAGGTAAGAACATTGTTTGTTTTAGAACGTTGGTTTTTTCTTGGTGTTTTAAATTTTAAGTGAGTTACAAACATATATAATATTACAATTTAAAAATCGTTAAATTTAGATTAAGAATTAAAATATCGAGAAAATACCTATGTACAAATACAAACAACATACTTACCCTTAAATTAGGTAATAGGCCAATACACTCCAATATTAAAACAAACAGCACAAATTAGGTTAAACTATGATTATAACGACATTATCTGTAATAAATATATATATATATATTACTTGAACAACATCTGGTATATGCTGGAGAAGTTGAAAAAATGTATCATAACCAAAATGTTCAAATTGTACATTATGTGGTCCATCAAACATTTGAATAACTTTTGCCAATAGTTCTTCAACTGTCATGGCTTCAAAGGTGGCAACAAGTATACTACGAATTACTGTCTTCAAATCTGTTAAGTCTTTACAACTACTACTCATTGTGTAACTTTAAAAATAAATTATTATAAATTAATAAACCAATAAAGTATCTGAGTGTAATTAGAAATTACTATTGTAGACTGTAGATAATACATAAATGTATTAATGCATATGAACACAGAACCTTAATTTCAATTACATCCGTTGACTTCAAGTTTTCTATTATACTAATAGGTATTAATAATATAAAATTATGATTAACAATTAAAGTCACAAGATAATAATAATAATACAAATTGTAAACTTATTTATACGGCGTACATTTACATAACCAGTTAAAAATACTAAAAGAGTACCTACTATTTATACAAACAAATTTTTTAAAAACCACTGTTTAATGTTCGATGTATAAAGTTCAAATTTCAAATTTTAAAACCGGCAAACCACAGACATAAAAATAATATTTAAATTGATATCATAGCAAACTACAACTGATATCACGAATTAACTATCAACTGTGTGGCACACCGCACACACCCGCCATAGCTATACAAAACATAAAAACAATTTTATGTTTTATATAATCTCTGTGGTGATGACGGATAGTTATAGTCCTTGGATCTTTTAAGTTACAATCTAAACTTTAACTGGGAGTCCTCAACTCACCGTGTCGTTTCGTTTTGAATGAAATACTCTTTTCTGATTGGCTCATATTATCATGGTAGGCACGATAAAAATGTGTCTACCAAGACGGTAACGCGGATACCGCAAAGTTGAACAAAATCAACTTTTGGATGTGTTGGTTATAGCTGATAACATCAATTTAATAATATATTTAGTTAGTATCAAAATTGTCATTTTTTGATAATTTAATTTAAAACTAAAATGAAAATTAAATGTGATTTAATATTAAATTTTAATATTAGTTTAAATTCAATATGAATTTTGTGAAGATAAATTATATCTAATGTTATGTAAACATAAAATGTACATTTTTAGGGACAGATATGCACTTCATGCAAAAAGTTTGTGGTATTAAACACTTCACATAACTGTACTTATGATATAAAATCACAAACTGGTATTAGTAAGTACAATAGCAAGTAGGTAATTTTAATATAGGTAGTACCATTGATTTTAAAATCAATACCTACTAGTAGTCAGCAGAACGTAACTATTAAAAATAGCAATATTATATTATAGACTTAAATTAAGTAAAATAATTTTGGTTTTATAATTATTATTATTATTAGTTAATCGTATAATACAAGTGAACTATATAAAGTGAATACTGTTTAGGTAATAATTCAATGACATTACATTTGTTGACAGAAAATAGTATTAATAATAAAAAAAGAATTAATACTAGGGATGGGTGAGGCCACTGTTGTATGTGAGAACTGAGATGTTGGGAAGGCAGGATACATAAGGTTATTTCATTTATATTTGTAAGCAACGAAAAAACCATTGCTTGACGAAAGACAACTTCGAGTGGAGTACGGTAATACGTAATTAGATGTGTCGTAATTTTTTTTGAGATTTTCGTTTAAATTTGATTTCAAAACGCTTATTTAAAAAAAAAAGTCCGATAATTTTGAAAATTTTATCACATCTAGGTAAGTCTAATGTAAATATTATTACCAAGTTTTAAGTTTTTACGTGCATTTATAACTAAATTACAGCAAAAATCTACCAAAAATTAAAATTCCTTAAAAGCTCAAAAGTTTTGGCGTGAGAAAGTTAATCAAAAAAGCAACAAGAAGGTATCTTGTGATTTTTCGATTAAATCATTTTTTCTGGTAAAATACGTCGCCCGTGTTTTTATAAAATAATGAAATTGTAAAATTGTACGTTTTCCTACGTTTTTTCCCACCTAAATTCTTTTATTTAAAAAAATGGCGTCGTTAATCAAAAAATGAACTGTTTAAAGTACCATCAAGACAACTTGAGTTTTTAGAAAAGGTTATTAGAAAATAATAATAAATATTCACAATTAATGTAATATAATTATGATATTATATTTTAAGAAAAATGTGCGATAATAATTACTGCGCATTTTTGGTGTATGGTTAATTAATAATGATAGTGAGCGATAATGTTGGTTTTTGGTAGGACGACAGGCACAAATTAATTCGTGCAATCAAAAAAGAACGTGTGTTTAAAACACGAAACGACATGGTGAGTTGAAGACTCTCTTAAGACCGTGGTTAGTTTTCGGAAAATTGATAAGAGGCCAGTCATAATATTTCAATGTTGCCAATCTACCTGGTTATCCATTTAAGAAGGTAAACTCATTATCTCGGAAAGTATTTACTTTTTTCGGAATCTATTTTCTAGAACATTTAAGAAACAAGCAGCTCTACCATTTTATGTTTATGTTATTTTTGGAGTAAAACCATTTATTACTACACCTACTTTTGATTTTAAAATATCAAAACTAAAATTAATTTTAACTAATACTCTGTCTATTTATGATCTTTTAATATAGGTTGTTATTTTAAAATCAAAAGTAGGTAGTGGTGATAAAAAATAACACGAATATACAACTGTAGAGTAGCTTTTTTCTAAAATGTTATAGAAAACAATTTTCAAAAAAATTTAATACTCTCCGAGATAATGAGTGTATCCACTTAAATGGATCACCGGGTATAAAAAAATTGTTTTTAAATTGTACGGTTTATTCATAAGGCCGACCGCACACCAAAAGAGCAAAACTGTAGTCAGTTTAACACTTACTAAAAATAGAATATAGGAAATTTACATTGCATACGCTCACTGATAAGACACAGACAAAACAAAATGTTTTTGCTTTACACACAATTAGTCACGACTAGGGTTCGGATTTTTATGCATTTACATGTTGTTTTTAACTGGCCAAAAAGTACCTAGATAAGCTGCAAGTTTGAATTATAGTCAATAGATCCAAAATACAAAGTTTTATTTTGCATATTTTGTCATTTATACTTTCCATTGATGTGCACTGCATATGTCTGTATTTTACTATTTTTCATTGCATATAAATGGTTTTTAAATGCATATTTTGTCATTTTTTTGATGTGTACTGCATATTTCTGTATTCAATCATAATAAAGATTTTGATATTAATACAGACTTAGAGATATTAAATACCCATAATAACATTTACATTAATTCAGTATTAGAAGAATTACATACATACAATGAAATAAAGAAAAACAATTTTAATAATATTTTATATGTACAAATCGATTTTAAAAATAATATCCCATTTCAATACATTTTAGCTAATACATAAAAACCAAATAATTTATATTTCTTAAAATATCTATGTCTAATAATAACCCATTTTAAATAATCTCTCCTGTTAAAATAAATTATTTCTATATAACGACCAATTTGTATAATTTTTTTTTTCTATGTATTCCTTCATTTATTTTTTTTATATTTAGTCGCGTTTTACATTTTGACTGTGATATACTTGATGATTAATTTTTAATTCGAAACCGGTCGTATAATACACTTATTGTAATTATCCAAGTGACGTATTTATTCATTTATTTATTTTTATATGCTGAGTGGAGCGAGTGGAGGTACTTTAGAGTGGTCGTTTATAGATTTTTTCAATAAATGTGAAAAACCGAAAAAAAAAACGGGAAAATATAAGAAATGTTGGTATTAGCTAAAAATATTATGCCCTTCTTTTTCCCTGTAGACAACTTTTCTAACAGTAATTTTGTTCCAACTTTTAATAATAGCAATATTTCTAAAAGTAAATTTCACTGGGGAGGTATAATAAGATTATTTTACTATAATATGGCATATATATTGTTGACAAAGTATCACTATCAACTGAACTCTGCTCAGATTTGTTTTTTCATAAGCAATGGTTACAAGTATACATTAAAATATCTATAACAGTGACTGTACCCGTCCTTATTATCTCAGAACGTCTTTTTATTTTTATATCTAAATTTTTTTTTTATTTATTAACTATATTCAATAAGAAATAGCAATGAAAATAAATGGAACAGAATATGTAGAAAGATCGAAAAATGATGTTTGAGTGGGATTGAATATTATGAGACGAGGGTGCCTAACCTTAATAGTCGGGATGAAGGTTAAGGAAAAGAAGATAATTTTATATAGTTATATTGGTATACTTACCTTAGATATGAAGGGAAAAATCGTAAACGAAAAGATGATACTGATTGGAGTAGTAGTATTTTGGTTGAAAAGCGATGATCAATGATTATAATATTGCTGGAAATAGCAGACATTAATTTGTTTAAACAAAGTAATATAAAATATTTTTTTATTTTTGGCATAAACCGTTGTCACTTTTGATATGACTTCGTGATGCTCATTACTCCCAATCATCAATATAACAATATTATAATATCATTTTGTTAATTATAATAAATAATAAAGGCCATATTAATGTGATACAAAATAATATAATTTTATATAAACCTATAAAATGACCACACTATAATATTGGCCAACCTCTCTCCCTAGATCCGTGTCAGCAGTGAACTAGGTATAAAAGGAAATACAAATATAGCGTAGGATTTTTATATTAGATAATATTATAAAACTGTACAGTGTCCTGTTATGGAATTACTTCACGAACGAAGAGAAATATAAGTAATAAGAAGTCCATCAATAGTAAAAATATGCCGTTCGTATGACAGCGACCATATGTTACTCTGTAAAAGCTGCGCATATTGACACTCGAAGGTCAACTGTCAAAGTTGTACTGTGGTTCTATGCCAGTTGTTAAGTGGTAACAAGTAGGTATACCATACGGTGTCTTATAACAAGTCCGGTCGATATTTCACGAGGATCCTAACCAATAAATGATGATAATATAATGATTATTAGCCATTAGGTAATTAATTCACTTCACTGAAATGGTGTTTATTTCTAATTGAAAACGGATTGTTTAATCTAGGTTACTTATGTAATAGAAGTGAGTTCAACAATGCTTAATAAATGAAAATAAACAAAATACATCAATGTACAAAATATAATCGTAGTACTCGTTCAACTACGTTAGTTTAGTTTTGAAACCGTTATGAATATTATTTTTTTAACCGTGTAATTATCATATTGAGACGATATTGAAAAAAAAAATTGACGAGTAGGTTAAAACGTAGGTAGGTATACAATGTTTTGACAGAGGTAACAAAAGAAATTGAGTTTTTTTTATGCGAAACAATATGTATTTAATCATCGTAATGTAAAATTGTTTCGCTTGTGTGTTATTTAAATATTACACAATAAAACATTTTAGGAAATATATATATTTTTTTAATATTTAGTATTTTTTTAATATTATTTTAATATTTTAATAACACCTTTTTTAAAAGAAAATATCATATTGACTAGATGGTACTTTAGGGAGGTTATTTTTTGATTTTCTAAGCAGCTTCCATAATATTAGGAAAACCCAGAATAAAAGGTCAATTTTGTTTTTTGTTGTAATTCAGTTAAAAATATTAGTAGAGACTTGAAATTTGGACAAACAACTTATATTTGCCTTTTCTTGACGTGAGAAAATTTTTGAGCAGTTTATAGAAATTTTAATTTTGCGAGTTTTGTACGTAATTTTTATTGGGTAAGTACTCTATGGATAAAAATGTTAGACCAATCAGAAATGCTTGAGAATTTAACATGAAATTCATTAAAAGTCGTACTTTGTGGTTAAAAATTAAAATTTGAGCAGAGGTTAACTGGCTTATCACTTTTAAATATTTATTTAAAATGAAAACATTAATATAGCAAATATTGTTGATTAAACCACTTCCAAAATGCTGCTTAAAATAAAAGTATTTTGGACATGGTCATCTAACTTATTAATTATTATTATTATTATTATTTTTTTGTTATTCATATTTTTTTAAATTTCATTATTATTTATTAAACGTGAAAAAAAATTAATTTAACTTTTAAATTGTACCGTTTTCTTTTAAGCTAATATAAGTTGAAATAACATCAAACATAAAGGTTTTAAGTTTTTGTTGACCAAAGCGGTGGTATTCAAGAGTAAAAATTGTTCCCCCCCAATGGAATTGAACCGAATTCGCCCCTGAGCAATACTATAAACCGAGCTCCGATCAGAATTGTTTTTTGTTAGCAATGTTTAAATTTGCTTAGGTATAGTTACATACATTGAATTTGCCTCAATATTCTACTTTCCTAACTTCTCATCTATAACAATGGTCCAGCCATTGTGCAAAATAGGTATATGTTCATCTTTTTTTCTAATATATTTTTTCTAATTCTTTCTAATATTAAATTTACTTATTCCGCCCCCTCCCCCATAGTCAAGGTCTAGAGATGCGTCTGGCAGCTGACTATAATAATATAATGTATTATTTCTGGTCTCAGGAAAAAAGGTATTTTTTTGTTATAATTTTGTTTAAAATTATTTGTAGGGTTGCCAACTTTAAAATTATGTGATGTATGACGATATACATTAGTATATAATTATTTATTATCTTAAATCATACTAAAGTAGGTATATAAGTGATAAACAATAAGTTAATAACTTAATACAATAAAAATATATAATAATGAACTATTAAAGGTATTTTTTTTATAAACCTTAAACTATTTAAGTCTATATATTGACATTTGAAGTGTAGGATTGCTCTATATAATGTTTAAAGCGTTGTTGGATGTAGGACAAATCAAAAAAATGTAGGACAATTCTACCAAATGCATGATGTTGGCAACCCTAGTTATTTGTTTCCCTATATTTTTTGGTCTAAATTGCGGGAAAATGTACGAAATATATTACGAAATTATTACGAATTTGTTTTCCGTGCACAACTTTTCTACCAGCAATATTACTCCGATTTACAATGATAGTAATTTTTCCATTTTCTGAGAAGTTTTCTCATCAAATATGAAAAACCGAAAAAAAACGGGAAAATATAAGAAATGTAGGCACTAGTTGAAAAATAGTCCTTATTTAATTATTTTACTATAATACGACATAATATATAAGTATATAGTTGACAAAGGATCACAATCAACTGAACTCTGCTCAGAATCGTATTTTCGTTAGAAATGGTTTATCGTTGCTTACGGGTATACATTAAATTATCTATAATAATGGCTGCACCCATCTCCATTATCCTAGGTCAGCTTTTTTATTTTATTGATAAAAAATGAAAATAAAAAAATAATATTATAATTATTTGGCTTTATTTAAATATTTAAAATTTCAATTTAAGTTAAATAAATACACGTTCACTGAAATGGTTTATGACATTTAGAAAGATTTAGATATTAATGGATAAAGTTATTAGATATGTAAAGTAAATTGTTTATAATTTTTCTCAATTTGTTTTCTAAAGTTTTTAGTTTTTACATAGTTTATAATGGTCAAGCATACAATATATATTAATATTATGCTATATTCAATTTTATTTCAAAATTATCTTGACTGTATTATATATTATTATATTTTTTACTAGAATGTGACAATAGAACAATATTAAAAAAAAAAAATCGAATCTTAGATGTATTTATTAATATTTACTAGGTGCTTACTTATTATTATTTATTATTAGTTAAAGAATTCAAATTTATGTTTATACTCATACAAAAAAAATTACATTTTTAAAAATAAAATTGTTGAAATGGATCATTTACAAATGATTGTGGATGTGTACAACTTTAAAATATTTCATAGGGTTTTTATATTTTTTTTTTGTAACTGTATTATAGGGACAATATTAAACTATAGATTGGATAATAAGGGTGTTGGGAAAAGTATTATTTTGAATAAAGAGAGATAATTTTTTTTTTTGCTATTTTGGTTGAGTAATTTTTACATACCTATATGGTCGTATAAAAAAGGCGTACATACAATACATCACTGAGTATACTTACGAACAAAAATATTACAAATGACTCAATGGCAGATAGAACTTATAATATACCTGTATGACATAATACTTAATACATGGTGTATTTATGGATATATTAGTATATATTTCAATTAAAAAAAAAAAACTGTCCTCTGATATTGAAGTCTGATACAGCCACTGTTATAAGTAATTTAATGTATACCTGTAAGCAACGATAAACCATTGCTAAACGAAAAAATGATTCTGATCGGAGTTCTGTTGGTAGTGATGCTTTGTTAACAATATATGTGTCATATTATGGTAAAATAATTCAACAGGCATTATATGTTTTCTTTAATAATATTTGTTTAATGTACCAATTTTCGCGGTTACCCCATGTTTTTTCTGGTTTTTCACATTTGCTGGGAAAACTGTTGAGAAATTCGAAAAATTGGCCTCCTTTAAGCACCTCCCAACACTGATTTCATTTCAGAAAAGGTAGTACACTTAAAAATTGGAGCAAGATCTCTGGTAAAAAAATTGTCAACAGAAAAAAAAATAAATAAAACATAAATATAAACATATTTGTAAAACCATAGGTAAGCTTTTTTGCTCCACCCAGAATCTAAAAGTTATAATTTTATTGGCATAATATTAATGACTGAACGAAAACAATATTAATCATAAAACCCATATTATGATGTGTCCTAGTTTCAATATTATATTGTATGTAGGTACTAAGTATTATATGTTTTGCCGTATAATATTATAACATTTATAACCTTCGTAAACGATTAAAAAAATAATAAATCAGCAACGAAACGTTTTTTTAAAACGTGTACATTATAGTTCAAAGAAAATGCATTATCTAGGTACTTATTAAACTTTGTTTCAATAACAAATTTTATTATGAACTATCTATTTATACACCAAGTTTCATTAAAAAGCCTTTCAGCTAACTGTGTGTGATCAAAGACCAATATTATACAAAATTTCGCTCATTTACATATTTTTATCACATTCAAATTGTCAAATTGTTTTAATTTTCCTTTAATTTTAAGTACGATAAAATAAATTGTTGTAAAAAAATATTTAGCGTAAAGTACCTATATTCAAATCTACTGCTGCACAGTAGGTACTATAAACCTGATAAAATACCTACAATTTTCAATAAACTGTTATATTCTAAACTAATTTTCATAATTCTATATTAAACATATTATGCACGTACTATACAAAAATATATTATGCACAACAAATAGTATGAAATTCGTACTTATTCGCAATGGTATTCAATCGTGATTCGTGATTCTATTTGAACAACTGCATTCTCTTTCCAGAAAAAAATTTAAAACGATTTTATCATGAATTCGTGTAGCATATTATTATAATATAATGTTGTAAAAAGAAACCATTTCTTATTGGTATTCATAAATATCAAATGTAAATAAAATATTACTGTAATATTGTAAATCTAACTGATAAAAACTTGAAGTTATATATAAATTAACATTGTATAGTTCTTAGTGTTGCAATTCTAAAATTTAAAAAAAACAATTCCATAATTTGTAGTAATACTTATGTTAATTTAAGGAGATACCTGCCTAATGCCTATTAATTATGTTTTTATAAACATTGTTGTACCAATACTTTTTGATTTTAAACATATTTTCTAAAGTGGATATATCTGTACGATGGAAATATTTAACGTCTTGCACAATTATTACAAAATTATAATCAAAATACTAAAAATTGAGAAGAAATTAATTCCGGTTAGGTTTTTTTTTCATATTTAGCTTCCCTTGATGCAGGATAGTGGTATTGTTTGGTTTATTGTAGTACATATGAACGCAAAAATTATGGCGTTTTCGAGTTAAGATTTAAATTTAAATGTGCATACAAATAATTATTTTTACAATTCTATAAATGTTTTTGAATTGAGGAATTAAAAAGCTGCCCTAGGGTCATGGGGATGGATGCAGCCACTGGTATAGATGAGAAGTTGGGAAGGTAGTGAGGGGAAGTTGAATATACATTTGTACACAACAATTAACCATTATTAACGAAAAAACGATTCTGAGTGATGTTCAGTTCATAGTGTTGCTTGGTCGAAAATATAATATATTGTTATATGCCCTAATATGGTAAAATAATTACATATGCATTATATATTTTCTTTAATAATATTTGTTTAATATTGTACCTAATTTCCAGTTTTTCACATTTATTGGGATAATCAAAAATTACCGCCTTAAAGTTCCTTTCCAGTATGATTTCCTTTCAGAAAAAGTGCTATAATTGTAAATCTGAGGAAAATTGCTAGTAGAAAAGTTTTTCACACGAAAAAAAAAGGCTGTAATATTTTATTATTAATACTTACACTTGTACATTTTTCTGTTTTTCCTTGGTTTTTTTTTCCAATTTATTGAGAAAACTACTAGGTTCTCTTTTCCCTAAAATCTAAAATAATGACTAGTCATCTCATATTATATTATTAATACATTTTTGCAACTATTACAAGTAGATATTTTTTTACACTTTATTTTTTGCTACCTTATTTAAAATACTTCTTTACAATGAATTTAACTGTATAATTTCAAAACAAAATATTTTTTGATCTACAGGTTACAAAGTATACAGATTAAAACACAAGTAATTTAAATAAATAATTTTTTATTCAATGTTAATTTAATAACTTATTATATAATATATAGATCATTCGATTATTAAAAAAAATGTCCTATCGAATGCATAAACCTTACATGGAGAGATATTAAACATAATAAATACTTCAACTATGTACCAAAAAAAAATATAATAAAATAAAAATGAATGTGTTAATAATTTATATAATTTAATAATCATTCAATAAATGCAAACCCCACATCATTATATTAAAAATGGGGAAATTTTTTTTATCTCTAATGAGTTGAAAACCGCAGACACAGAAGAACTTATGCCCAAAAATGAAAACTATGTATAAAAGTAAAACTCAATAGATAAAAATGCACGTAATAATACTGGTATTGTGGAATGTTTTGTTACAGGAATTGTATAATATAATGTTGGAATGTATGTACTAGTTTCATATAAAATCTGGAGGTTTGGCAAATTGGTTTGCATTAGTTGTGTCTAAAAATTTGGGCATGGAACGTGTAAAAGATAGAGAAGTTTTTACATATGTCTAGTGTTTCCAAAGTTGAGACCACTTTGGTTTGCTCCCTTATTGGATCCATATTGCAGACTGATAATGGTTTGGCCAGCTTTAAGCTTGTCTTCGCTGAAGTTACGAATGTTCTTTTCTGCTTCTTTTGGGCCAATACTCGGAGCTCCGAATTGACCAGCCTAACATATGATACATTTTTGTTTCAGCAATACTTTAATACTTATTATTTTTTTTAAGCTTTACCTTTCTGCCTAGTGACTGCAAGCAAATCACCACAGAGTTCAAATTCTGACGTTCCCACAAATCGACAGATTGAAATGTTTCTTGGGAAGGCACACCTATAGATACTGCCACAGCCAAGAAATTATTGATGTTTTCCATACATTTAAAAGCCATTGCGCTGGTGTTCACTTTCTTAACGGATCCAGGAATTAAAGTGTTCACCAATCTAGGCACCGGAAATAATAATGTAATTAAATAAAATAAGTATTAAAAAAAATGTGCGTAGTTAAGTGCTCCAAAGATTAAAATATAATAAAAATAACTAACTTATCTATAAATTAATAAATAGGTACATCATTTATTTTTTAAATTAAAAATACTAGGTATGTTTGTGAAAAAAATGTATTTCAATAAATAAGAAATTAAATTAACGAGGAATTTATAGTCATTTAATTAGATTTTGGAATATTATAAAATAATATTTTACACTTGAATGGATAAATTGATTTGTATACCTAATATATTAATAATAATTGTAGTATAATGTAAATAAAACAATATGAATGTGACGGGATATTTATGAACATTTCAAGGACTTATGTTATATTCGAAAGTAATGCTTCATTTGTTATGTAGATATGACTCACTGGCATAGCACTTGTCCGTCCTTAAGGACTTCGAAAAAGTTGTCTGGGTCGCCAGATGTGTTCAATGGCAAACCAGTAACGCTGCTCACCCACTCTAAACATTCTTGGGCTAGCTCTTCACTATACTTGCTGTTTATCTAAAATTAAATAAATAGTTTAAAGGTTATTTTGAGGCATTGGACAAGATCAATAGCATATTTTGAATGACTTTTATGATTGTTTTCATTGTTCTCACACTGTATGCAGTAGATAAACGTGTTTTTTTTTTTTAGATTTCAATAATAATTTACAAGAGTAAGACTATTACAATGTTTCAACGAACTTGGCCTTAAATTAATTACAATTAATTGATTTACATTACAAGTTTAAACTATAACTAAAAAGTTTATATATTTATCTACAGAATTTTTTAATGGGGAAGGGGACTAAAAAAAATGTCTATAAAATACATAATTATTTTAATAAGTAGTGCAAATATTATATTATATAATTTTATTGGCAATGCTGAATAGTTGATCTATTTATAGGTAAATATATTTTTGTATTTTACCGGACCCATGGAGGGGGGCTAATACCCCTTTAGCCCTCCCCTTGGATACTCTATTACCTATGTATATTTATACATAAAAGCAAACAAGTTAACATTTTAGACTGTACTATATTATATTATTCATGATTTTATTTTAATTATATTACAGATTAAAAGTAGGACTAGATAATGAAAAAAAATTGTTTATCACAAATAAGTTTAATAAACATTTATTATTTTAAATATATACATATATACTCTTTTATTATACTTATGAGTTAAGTCATTACTAAGCACATCGATATTGAATTTTTTTTTTTTGCATACGCGTTTCTTTTGACTCATAAGTAACTAATGGATAACACTTTATATTCAAGTCCTCAATACATTTCTCGAGAATGTGCTGAACGTGGAATAATTAGGCGCTGATGTCATCGCTAAAATCAGCCAATAAAACACTCGTTTCTACTGTTTATTTATTATTATTTTTTTTTTAATTTCTAGTAGTCAAGAAGCAGGCACGTAATATAGCTATGGAAATGTATATGCGGAATCATGAGTAAGTTTACAATGTAATAATAAACGTTTGAGAGATAATTCAAAACATTTGAATAATATACTATTTAATATTGCAACACTATTATAGTTTTTCATTATTATTTGTCTACACTGATATGGATTGCCAAAATCGTATGCAAATACAAAGTTGGGTACACAAACTGATAAGTGATTATAGTTTATCAGAAATATAATGGTTGGTTTAAATTCTCAATTTAATATTTCTATATATATATATATATATATTCATATTGAATAAATTTTATTAAACGGTTAAATAATACATTTAGGGTACTAGGGTAGGTAGGAGTACTTGTTTGTAGGTTAAAATTATTATCAAAAGCTACAGTATTGTAATATATATACAATATATATATATAATGTTAACAAGCATTTATTACTAAGTGTTAATTTGAATTTCATTTTTATTTTTCAAATTATTATCGAATGTTGTAATGGAAAATGGAAATATCTACACTATACAATATAGTTTAAACCAAACATTTTGGTAGGTATATTTTATTGATTTTTCGCTTCAATAAAATATATGATACATTATAATGTTTCGCAATATTATATCGATATGTTACAGTGTGTTCCGCGTAAATATGGATAACATTTTATTTAAACTTTGGAACGAGAAATAAAAATATATAATTAAAAAAAAAAATGTATAATAATAATCGCCTCCCGTGATTTTATCCTGGCGGGTGTTTGGCCCGGACAAATCGCTGACCTATATACGCGAGCACATTATACGTGGTACGTAATGGTGAGATGTCTGAGCAAACGGGCGATAGTACTGATCGACCCACATTGGCCATATACGGTATCTTATTTAATAAAGCGACACGGCCATATATAGAAAAAACAATGATGAATCATCGATTGATACACACATGAGGCCATCTGTTAATGCTACACGAGAAGGAATCAAGGATTTCGTGAAAAAAAATATATATGTATATATATATAATGATAGTAAACAAAAACCCCTTCATCACACACAATATTATTAGGTACAAACGGTTTATCACTGAACTACAATTAAACAAAATTTAGCTAAATAAGGAATTGTACATTATAGAAATCATGTGCATGTATAATAATTATTATTGCATGTGTGTTACGCACGCTATACATATAGAAATATTGTATCCCATCGCAAAATTAATTTGCCTATAAATTCTATATCGTAACTCGAGTAACTTACCAACATTAACCATATGGTTGAAACGTCGAAAATGTTACAATACTTTTTTATATAATAACCAATACCTACACTTAGTTCGAAATTAGGTAATGAAAAGTGAAAAAAAAAAATGTAGATGAATTATATATTAAAGTTAAACTTTAGCGAAATTTGATATTATATATTATGTAGTTCAGTTATTAGATAAATACATATTTTAAGATAAATTTATCCTTATTACGAGAATATTATATGTATAGTCAGCGGAATTTTTTAAAAAATGTATTAAATAATTACAATAATTAACACGACAAATAATAACAGTATAATTCTCGTTCGTTTGACCTATTGATAATGTATAATATGTATATTACACATTGTAAATTATAATAATGGCTATTTGTTAATAACGTTGAACTCCAATCAAGAACAAATATAATATATTATAGTGTTTACTATTTAGTCATTTGTACATATTATTTTGAAACTGTTCAAATACGATACATGCATATCTATATACATACATACATACATACATACATAAATATGATTTTCGTTAAAGTATACTAAGTAAAATTAATTCAAAAATGCATTCGTTAAAAAGTATAAAATAATCAGAGTGTATCCTTTTATAATAATATACAGTTATATACACTGAATAGTTTTTTGTTCTGAATTCATTTTTACAATCTACTTTGATGAATTAATAATTCATTTATTTCTAGTTTAATGTACTCCTCTTCATCTCCGCGTGATGTATCTGTCAAAATTTCGCTGTAATCCAAGGCGATAAACTGTATGATTTATTATTATAAATTCACACAAATTCGTGTACCATATATCAGACACTATTATATACAGTTATATATATTTTGTGCATACGAAATATAATACGAGTGAATAGTATTTTTATTCGAGTTCCAGTTTCTAAATAACGTTTCTCATGTCTCTAACTATATATATTAAAGATAATATATATCAGTGATGTGCAACTCAAAGTTACTAAATGGCCAATTTTCAGAACATAAAAATCTAGCGGACTAGAGCAAAGAAAGCAAAAAAAAAAGTCATTCAAATTTACAATTAGAATTTATTTTGTATAATTTTTATAACTTGTTTAATGTGAAATTTTAGTTTGTGTAGATGACAATTCAGTAAAATCAACTTTTATTTTAGAAGTGAAAACACGTAATAGATGACTTAATGTTTCATCTGTAAGGCGATTTTTTTCCTTTAATTTGATATGTTTCAACTGGTTATGTTTTCCAAACTGACGTACCAATCTCTTATGTAGATCTGATAAAAATGGATCTGTTTGCAATTCACATAATTAGAATTGAAGTGAAACATCTTGCTTTTCAATTATGACTGCTATAAGATTATTAAATAAATTTATTTGAAGACGATTTTTGAAAATGTATTTATGATCAACGTAATAGAAAACAAATAAACGCTAAAATGTTATAAAGTCATTTGAAATTGTATCACGGGCCAGATAAAAAATATAAGCCAGTTGCCCATCCTTGATATATATTATATTTTTATATTTATATATAATATATATATATATATATATATATGAATAATACAAAAACAAATTGGTACTTGAATGGGAATTTATGAACGGATTGTTTTTCCATACATATAATATGGTATATTGAGGATTTATATTATGGTTGAATAAAGTAAAGTCGTATATTCGTCAAATTATTGTAATAACTGTATTATTTATAAACTGCGAACCTCACCCATATTACAATATTATTGTATAACTATAACGACAATATTTTGAACCTAACCTAACCTACTTACGGGGTAAATTATTTATTATTAAAAGGACGTTGCACCTGCATCTATATTGTCTCCGTCTTACAATAGCGCGAAAAAACAAATGTTGTGCCAAAGTTATAAAATATTAAAGTGAATTTTTACACATCGGCTATCATATCATAATTAAAGGTGAGAACATTATCTGTGCCTCTATACGACGGTGTTTTTTCGATATTAATTTGTAATTTACGAGGAAAATGTACGAGCATAACATGTGAAACATCACAATTTAAATAAAACCAAAACCACCGGGCACTTGACTTTTTTTCGGCAATAAGTCAGTTCACTTTAATATAAAAACTAGCGGCACAACATGTGTTCTATACTGAACATAAGTTTGCTTTGCCGTGCGTTTGTAAGACGGATACGGTACAGATGGGAGTGTGGCGTCCACTTATTAAAGCGTAATTATGTTGGTGCTCGGCAACTGGAATATTTTAAGTAGAATACTGATTATAATATGTGTATCATATTAAAACGGACTAGAATGACGAAAAATGTAGGTATAAATAAAACCACGCGTGGCCAGTTGAAACCTTACCAGTTGGATTTGAATCCTTAAATAGTAACAACTGAATTAGTTTTTTTTTTTTTTACATTATAATTTAATTTTCAAAGAAACGTAATTTGTTAATACGATAAAGCGAAAAAGTGGAAAATAATATCTTTTTTCTTTTTCTTTCGCAGTTCACCGCGTATCGAGTGACGTCCAAAGGGAGTTTTGCAATTTAAAATCCTATAGAGATTATTGACGAGTTCGCTGAATTGTGAAAAAAGAAAAAATCCGTTTACTACGTAACTAAATAAATAATAAACATCAATTTGTGTTTGAAAAAAAAAAAAAAAAAATTAAAAATGCCCGTTAGAAAAAACACAATGCGCATGGTACACATTAAACGCATAACCGGAGGACCAAATTGTTGATCCCGGGCACGCCTTTGGTTAACGAATATCGTCATAATAACTCGGTTGGGATTACCCACCCCTGGCCACACTATATGCTACATTAATCGTCCAAAGCGACAAACCGACGACATTGTTATTTCTCTGCGCTAATACTGTGTAGGTATGCGCGTAAAGATAATAATCGTTTTCTACGAGTACTGCTACGCGCGGTCGTGACCATGTCTCCCAGTTACCAGGACCGGCGGCGGCGAGATTGTATAGAAAAAAACAAGAAAAAAAAAAAAGAAAAGAAAAACGACGTAAACTACGACGCCTACGCGACGACTTTTTAACTTTGGTATGCCGGAGAAGTGATTCCAAAAGGATCGCGGCCGCGTTTTCGCCGCGTCCGACGTTGGAAGGAAAAACCGGTTCGGTGTCCGTTGCGCGGCGACGAATATCATCCGAAAAGACAGAATAACAGACATTTTATACCGACCGAGCGGTATGCGGGAGTCATTCAATACTTAATGGCCGGATAATGTGTGTGCAACACGTTTATTACATTTTTACCTGTACAATTATACACAGTCGTATTATCACGCACGCGCACACACGAGCACCGAACGTACGAGAAGAATATTAAATTATTATTATTATTATTATTATTTTTGTTGTTGTTGGGCGACGGACACGTGAACAAAAAAAAAATCATACACGGACACCTACGGTGTACATTTCTCGTGCTGACATCCGTCTGTACGAGAAGAAAATCGTCCAGACGTACAATATTCAGTCGCGTTTTTTCTCCGGCCTGTCTACGGCGTCACGTGTAATGCGGCGGCGGGTGCCCGGGGGAACATTTTTCGGGGGTAATTTTACTAAAATATTTTTGACTCGTAATAATAAGCATCGACGCTATCGTAACCACTGCGGTTATAACCTATCTATGCCGCGGCTATATAGTAGGCACCATAGTTATTGCTGACGATAACAATGTCTCGCACATGTCTTAATGCGTAGCTAGCTAAGTATTTGCTTGCGAAACACACACATTTTTTCTCTCGGGGGCACGGGAAAGGTGTTGGAGTTCGTGACACTCGTTACAATTTTGATAACCTAGCGTTCACACGGCGGCACCCCACGGACTTAGGTTAGTAATTGAAATGTGAACGGAATAACGCGAAATCGAAACTGCGCACAACAAATTCGTTGATAGTAAACGGCGATTATTTCCCTTTAAAATTGGAAGCGGTTTACAAAATAAACGAAGTTCGTTTCGCCGGTCACACACTGTTGACGAATCGGTGTGACTTGTGACCTGCGACGCGGAGCCGTGATTTTTGGTCATGCCCTCCAGAAATCTTTTCTGCTCCTCGATGAAACCCATTTGGCCACCAGCATACGCGTCATCTCTTTCCGCGATCACGGTGTTATGTCAAACAATTGATGTATTTCAATTGTGGCACAAGTTAAAACTTTCGTTTTATATAGGCACGACCTGCAAGTACAAAACCTATTGGAACCCTTTCGATAGTCGATTGGAGGGAGCGAGTCGTCCGTGGGTTTAGATAGCAACGGATTTGTAGTGGTTTATCATATTATAAAATATAAAATAACCCGTCTCAAACGTTATTATTTACAACGTTACACTCAAGTCACTAATCGTGTTCACATTTCCGTCAAATAATATTGGTAATGAAAAAAAAAAGTATTTCTCTAATATGATTATAATAGGTACACCGTCCAGACGTCTCTCCGTTCGAAAAGGCGTTGTTTTCGTGATAATTGTTATTGTTTTGTTGGCGCGCCGGGTCGTTTAACTTAATATTCTCTTATCAACACGCAAGAATTTAGTCTTAATTTAGTCCAGTGTCGAGTTTAAAATATTATTGTTATATTCGCCAACGCGATATTTAGGTGTGCACTACTGTGGCGCACTGTAACTATTCGTAATATTCGTACGGATCAGTGGTTCTTAACCGAATTAAGGAACACTTAACATTTTATAAGGTTTTCGCGGAACACATCTGTAAAATAAAATGTATTTACATACATTTTTTAATATATTAAACAGTGTATGTATAGCATAAAACAGTTTGCATACCACGTTAGTCACTAAAAAAATAATAAAATAATAAAGAATGTTCAAAGAAATGTAACAGTTTGAAATGGAATACTTCGTATGAGATATTAGAACCTGATGACTTTTAGAGATATTTTCAATATCCGGCTGTATGCAGGATATTGCCACTCTCATTTCCTCTTCTATATTTTTCAGCCTTTCTCATTTTTTTTTTGTCTTGATATTCGTCAATGTTGAAAATTCAAGCTTAAACAAGTAAGATGATGAAAATTGTAATACAATTGTAATTGAAAAAGAAATGATTTTAAGTTCGGTTTGAACGGAAATTCAAAATTCTTCTATTGTTATTTCGGACAATTTTATTCCGGAGTTCGATCCGTTGTTATTTATCGATTTTTTTCACCGATTTTAAAATTTTGGCGGAACACTTATACTAAGTTCACGGAACATCTGTGTTTTGCGGAACACCGGTTAAGAACCACTGGTATAAATTAGCGCTAAGCAATACGTTGACCCATCCAGAATCCGGATCATAATTTCATAATCCGGATTTGGATTCATTCCATTTAATCCATATAAATAATTCTAGAAATAGATTTAGATTAGAAAAAAAATTATAAAAAAAATAATAATAATTTTTAAAACACTTTATAATCCGGATTAGTATTCACAATCCGAATTAAAAGTAACGGTCAGGATTAAACGGATTGTAACGTTTGTTTCAATCCGGATCGATCCGGATTTGATGCTCAGAACTAGAATAGATACTTATATATATATATTTTTTTTTGGAAACAACACGTTCGATATTTCTTTTAATTGCAAGACCGCAACAAATACTCGCTGGTACTATAGTGTTTCACTTTCGAACAGAATTTGAAAACGAGTTCGGATGCCTACGTATTCAAGGTTCACTTCCTACAGTTGTTATCCTTACTCTAATAACTGTCAATAATCATTTTTTTTTTCAAATAGGGTTTTAAGGGTGACATATTTGTAGAGAAAAATTATATTTTTATTTTCATCCCTTAATCCAGGTCTTATTATAACGGGCAATAAAACCTAAATTGGGTAGTAGGAAATATCAAAAGTGCAGTTGGCTTCACGAATGTGAGCACTTTACAAAAAATATAATTTTCCTTATCGTTGAGTAATTGAATTCCTACTAGGTATTTGTGTAATTTACAAATTTACCTTGTATATGTAAACCTGAATCGCGCATATTTAATTGTGGACCGTCCGGTAGCTAAAATTAAACATTTTTTCTCCAAAATATTTTAAAAGCATTTTGTTTATCTGCTTACACACCACGCGATTGTGCAGCGTTTTTCTGCAGTTATTTCTCTGCTAAATTTTTTTTCTCAATTTAATTTTCTTCGTGCAAATTTTTTTTTTAAGATGGAGTTTAAGTATTAAAGTTCATATGACTTATATAAAAACAAACTTTTAAATGCACTTCGGGGAGTAAATAAAAATCCTAAGACTAAGCACTGCCTTAATCACTGAAAAAAATAACTTTATTTTACCACTTTTAAAAATGTTCAAAATAATCTCGAAAAGATACTCTTCTAAAAACTTTAATGTATCGTACAATCATATTAAAAATGGTTTCACACGCAAACAATTAATACTCAATAGAAAATGTGATGAAATTGCCGCGCTGATTGTGATTGCTTATCTCGTACGTTTCATCCCTTAAATGAAGGGATGGAAATAAAATTGCAATTATTCGCTACATATTATGTGCCCCCTTCGCACAAAATCCGATTGAAAAAAAAAAATACAAAAATACAAAAATAATGAATATTGACAGAATTATTAGCATAAGGATAACACTGCAGGATAATATTATAAGAGGAGCGGTAAATGGATGCGCCACAGTTCACACGCTGTTCCGACGGCGGTTCATTATACGCGACCCCTCTCGACCAACGGTCGTTTAAAATCACCAAAACGTCGCGATCGCTCATGTAAATCACTCGCAGGCGTTAACGTTTGCATAATTACCGACCACTAGGTTTGTATTTTTTTTCTCATCCTTTACACTGGACAACGAAAATGCAAGCAAACGCAATAATATTACGGTCAACAATGACAATCGGCCGGGGACGAAACCCTGCCGCCAATTTTCTTGGCGGCGACACACGATCCCGTGCAACAGCGTGAGCAGCAGGAGGCTAGGCGGGTTACATGCTCCCCCGCCCCCATCGGTTTAAAATTACAATTATAAATAATTTGTCGCGAGATCGGCGTTTTCGAACACACACGCACACACACTCATTGGCTTCTATAACACGATCGTGTTCGGACACCACACATAACCGGTCAACCACCCACGCTAAATAATTACATCGACTTGCAAATGCTTACGGCGACGGCACAAGAGTCACAACTACCGTCCTGCGTAATTATGATATTCAATGATATTCAAATATTCAAAAAAGGTTTCACCCCCGAAAATAAAAATAACAAAAAAACCAACGGTAATGTAACATTTTTAGAGCTATTTATGAGCTGTTCGAAAAAATACTTTCCGCCATAATGAGTGCCGCCTTATGACAGATTGAAAGCCCCGTATGAATAATAATAATAATAATAATAATAAAAAACAAAAAAAAAAAAACGTTTTCTTTAAATCTACGGCACCACGTGGCTGTCGTCCGTGTAATAATAGATTTATAAGCGGGTGTACGTTTTTAATTTTTCGTAGGGCGCGTTCGGGATTTTTGTTGCGCACAAAGCGTGTCGCGGCGCCGCACACAGAAATAACCACCGAATATTTGCCGTGTATAGAAATACGGTATTTTTATAACGAGAAAATAATAGTGTGAAAAAAGAAAGAGAGACAAAAAAAAAAAAAAAAAAAACGTGTCGTAATACGAGCATATTGTTCGCGGAAAATTATTATTAACAATTGTTTTTTTTTTCGTCATCGCGTCCAATTATTATTATTAAAAGTAACGTGACGCCACGGTCGGCGATAATACCATTAATATAATATAACCGAGCGCGCGCAGTTACAAACGCGAAAAAAAAAAAAAAAACAACAACAAAAAACAAAATAATACACGCACGCGTAACGCACTCGCAAGCGAATTTCCCCGACAAAAACCGAATCAATCGGTTCGGCCCGGGAGCGGCGGTCCGACAAATATTTCAGTTGAATTGTACGGTCTACACTACGGGGCCGCGCCTCGGTGGCGGTTGGGGAGGGAGGAGGGGGTGCGCGCGCGCGAGAGAGGTGCCCACCTCGCCGGGCGCCTTTTGCAAATTGTCAACTCCGGCACGATTGAATATGTTCATGACAAACGCACGAGCGAACGTCCCCAACAGCAGACGGGGGTTGGGTGATTTTCATAGTTGCATTTTTCTGGCGCCAAGCGCGGCACTGCCTCGCCACACACGTTCTACCCCGGTGGCGTTATGCGTTTTTCTCAATCTTTTTCCGCCGTTCGCCGAATCCTCCGGCGGGACGGGCGAACGACAACGACGACATCGCGACGAGGCCGCGCGGATTGACAAACGAAACGCGCACAGGACAGTATACTTGCGTCCTTCGTCCCCCCCCCTCTCCCCTCTCTCGAAATGACGGTTCAAACCGACAGCAATATCGCAATAACGCCCCCGAAATAGTCCGGGAATCCGTACGAAATTAATCCGGAACTTGAATTTCAATCTCCATTTTAAACTTCGTTCTAAACTTCCTCTCGGCCCGATCTCCCACGTCGCATACACCGGTCGTCCCCATGCCCAATATCATTCTCGATCACATCCGACCGTCTCTTTTCCGGCCCTCCACTCCACTACCGATGTTTATTTTCATTACAGTTCGTACACTTTCATAAATATCGACAAATATCGCGTATGTTATTCTCGTGTATAGGTATATTATTTTGTTACGCACTCAATACGGTAACTTTTCCAAGCGTTTTCACGTATCGTACGTTTACTGTGGCAAACTGGAAAACGCGAAACGCCGTGACAACTATTTTAAAGGCGCTTCCGTGGGATCAACAGCAACAATAATGATATCGGTCTAAGTTACACTTATCGAAATCGATAAAAAAAAAAAAATCGCAATTCTCGTTAATTTCAAATATACCGCGGGGATAAAAATCGCTTCGGTTCCCCGACGTTTCCGGAGACGACGCGATCCCGCCGCGAGATTGTAATGATTTATTTTCGTCGATTACCCACCGCCGCGGTATCCGGAGATCCGCCGCCGGCGCGGACGTCTAAACGTTCGGTACCCGCTGTGGCGTACGCGCGCGGCTACCTACGCGCTACGGATTCGTCGGGACCTTGGAATTCGGTACAGTCAGTGCCGGTAGTTCGGGTGTCCGCGGGTCGGAAAACAACAACGGATTCGTCATGCCCGACGCCGGTTCTTTTGTCGCGCGTCCGAATCGAACTCCGGCCGGCCGCACAACCGAAACCGGCCTTGATTGCGATTTACAATAATAGATTTTCAACATGCGAAAATATCGTTGCGAGCGACCGACCGACGACGCCCGCGATCAGACGATAACGTGTTGTGTAATAACATTATCGCTTGTCCCCGCGCGATACTCACGTCAACGGCGCGGCACCCGTACGACGGGGTACGCGACATTTCGCAGCGCTTGTCGCGTCGTAGGACTGCATTATTATTACGGCGCGGCGAACCGGACGTGCGGCGGTGCCCGGCCGGTTGGGTATCGCGTCGCGCAAACCAATATAATAGTTTCCGACCGCGTCGTCGTCGTCATCATCATCATCATCACCGTCGCCACGACGGACACTCCGCGGCGCGGGTGGGACGACTTTTTGACCCCGGGCCCAGGCGCACCTATACGCACGAGAAAACATTGCGCCGGGACGCTTTCTCCAATCAACACGCTGTTAAACGGTCCGCGCGCACCGGGTAACTACGGTTAGTACCAATAAAACCGGCGAGTGGGCGGGAGGAAGGATACTGCTTCTATGGCGAATCGGCCGGTTCGATACACGATTGTTATCAACCCCATCCGGGGTCTTCATCGACATTGTATTTTTTACTCGTACGTAAACGGAAATCGACCGCGTTCATAAATACAAATTGACTTAAATCATAAACAATATTACGAAACGGTGAAATAATGTATAGATAGACCAACAGGTGCCGGCTGCGCGACCCGTCGGTCGCAAATAGCCTAGCAGCTGTACGTTGCCGACGCCGACAATAGTAATAATAATAATAATAATAATAATAATAATAATTGTACCCGCCCGAATACACGAGGCGTGCGCTGTATTATAAAAAACAAAAACGGGGAATAACAGAAACTTGTTGCGGAATAATAATATTATCGTTATACAAATACCGAAATACCACTCACTTTGCGTTGCGCTTCGGCGGCGAAACCGGACTTGGTGGCTCTGTTGTTCGCCATTTTCGCGAGACGAAAATAAAATAATAAATAAATAAATAAATACGAAACGCGCGACGCGAAACGTAACGGGGCGATAACGCGTGAAACGGCCGACCGAATTATCGGTAACGTGTTTAATTTACACGGCGGTTTTGTTGCAGCGTGATGGTGCGATGGCGAGTGATTGACGTCGGCGCGGTGCTGGTCCAAGATAACGACTGATCGGGCGGCGTCGGCGGCGGCGGGTTGTCGAGTGCGAACCGGACCGTCCCATACGGTTTTATCGCGTCCGCCGAGAGCCGAACCTTACCGACGACCCGGCGACGGTCGCGGCCGCGGCCCGCCAACGCCCGGGTTACGACCATAATAATATTTTACCTTACCGCGGCCGTACCATTAAATTGTTGTTACGAGTCCCGGGCGGCTCTCCATGGTCTCCGCCGCCGCGGCCGTAATATTCTACCAAGACGGGTGACGCGTCGCACTATAGTCACATTATCGTATTACTGTATTATGACATTATGTGTGCGCGTACGCAATACACTTGTGACTTACACACACACACACGCGCGCGCGCGCGCGCGTATTCCTAAAATAAAACATAACATTTTTTTATTAGTGCCTACTGTACCTGCATTACGACGGGGTTTATCGAATATCATGTTACGGTCGAATTTTTTTAAGAAATATTTGTTTTTTTTTTTTTTTCGACTCGTGTAAAAACGTTTTGGACACGTACATTTCGAAATGGTACATTGTCCTTATTTTTTTTTCCACCTTATTTTAGCTTCCGAGTGGAGCGACGAACCGTATGGTTTTACAAAGATGTTTATTATTTTTTTCTGTGCACGACTTTTCTACCAAGAGGACTTGCTCCGATTTTGACGTGTAGCAACTTTTCTGAAAGGAAATCGGTGTGGGGAGACACCTTAAAGAGGTCATTTTCTCAAGAGTTTTCTCATCAAATGCGAAAAGCCGACAAATAAAATGGGAAAATATACAAAATGTATTTGTATAATATTACGATTTTTTTTCTGTGGACGATTTTGCTCCAACTTTTAATGATAGCAATGTTTCTGAAAGTAAATTTTACTAGAGTGGTACTTTAAAGAGGTCGTTTTTCGATTTTCTCCAGCAAATTTGAAAAACTGGGAAAAAAATAGGAAAACCTGGAAAAACTTAGGAAAACTGGGAAAATCTGTACGACATGAAACAAATATTATTAAAAAAATATATAAAGCCTATTTAATTATTTTACTATAAAATGACATATTATATATTGTTGACAAAGCATCACTATGAACTGAACTCGGCTCAGAATCGTTTTTTCGTATGATTTATCGTTGCTTACAGGAATTAAATTACCTATAACAGAAACGACTAATTAATTTTTGGTTTTCAAATGGTCACCTGTATTCAAAATGCCGTACTAGATGATTTTTTACTTAAAATACATTTCGGTGTTGACATTTTTAATTTTCATTAGCACGTCGATCATATTTTGCACGGCGCGCGGCGTTTGAATAGTGCTACTGCACTAGTTTTCTCTAACAAAAACATAAGTATCTCATGAAAGATTTGACTGCAACATGAAATGTGATATTAAACCCTGCATATAATGTAAGTGTAGTAGTTTTATGGGGGAAGGAGTTAATAGGTGGATCGCTTCTTTTCCTTTTGAACCGTGACTACAATTTTATTTGTACGTTTTATCTAAGTAAAATAATGAAAAAAGTGAATAGGTTTATTATAAAAACGTAAACATGCAATCGTCGACATTATCAATTATAAAAAGAGCTGATACTGCTAATGAGCGCGCCATTGTTTTTTTTTTTGTGATTAAAACAAGATTTCTGGTAGAAATCATAATAATGCATTAAAATTTAAAATAATTTAATCAACAACGTTGCGGGCGCGGGTTGCCGTAAATATTTATTTATTTTACCGATAAGTTTTTCCCCGGTTTTTCCCAATTGTTATGAAAAACCTTTTGGAAAATTAAAAAATTCCGCTCCAACGCACCAATTGCACAATGCAATAAAAAAGTTATTGTGTCATTTTTTGATTGGAGCAAATTTTCTGTTCGAATATTTGTTCGGACACAAAACACAAACATCGTAGTAAAACTAGTAGATTACTCGCTATACGCTCCGAATCTAAAACACGCACCATAGTAAAACCAATGGATGCCCCGCTACGCTCAGAATCTAAAATATAAATAATGAAATAAATCAATAATGTAAAATAAAAAAAATTGGCAAGATAGAAAATATAAATGTATTTAATTTTGATCTGCACGCAACGATAAACTTGCACTGCTAACGAAAAACGTGCGACGCATACAACGTAGAGTCCATGTTGACCATATTTATACTACATGATATATGTGTATAGAGTTGACGCATCCATAATTCGTTTTATTTTATTAACGTCAATTTAGGCAATTTGTATAGTCGTACGAGTAACAATTGATCGTATACATTAAAATGCATTCAATCAAACGGTATAGAACCGTGCAAATTGATAATATACAAGATCTCTCATAGGACCAAAGACATAAACAACTATATGCGGTACATTTTGAAATTTTGTGTGTACCTACATGGTGTAACTAAGTATCAAGGATGTACCTTTTGTGGTTTCACCTATCAACCCCTCCACAACTATTTTTATGCTCAGACTTAATGTTTTCGCAGGAAATATGGTAGTGGATATAATATATATATAATGTATAAATTGTAATGAATTTTGCCAATGAATTGGCCAATGCCCAATGACGCCTACATTTAAAATTAAAAAAAAATAATTTGAATTGTTGTCGAGCATATGCTTTTAAAAGGTTTAAACGACCAACCCTAAACTCCACTACATTATAGCTGTCTGTATGTTAGTAAAGATCTCTGATAGAAATACTTTAACTGTTTTGATAAAACCTTTTTTGTTCAATTATATATCATTATATCAATCATTATTATTATTATTATTATTATTACATATATACATAAAAAAACTAAAAAAAAAAATATGAAATATTGTAACAGCAACAAGTTAGTTGGGGGAAAATTCGGTTCTGTAATATCGGAGCTCTGCTGCTCATACATATTTTTTCCTATAAACAGGTAGGAGAAAACAAACCGACATACTTCGCATAATGGATGGTCCATTGGTGTAGATGGGAAATTGATTTGTATGTAACGATTAGTCATTGCTAACGAAAAACGATTTTAAGCGGAGTTCGGTTATACATGTTTTGAAAGGCCGTAATATTTACAACTTGAAAATAATACATTTTGTACGTTTTCCCGTTTTTCAAATTTATTATGAAAACTCCTGGAAAAATCAAAAAATAACCTCTTAAAAGTACCACTCCAGTTAGATTTCTTTTCAGAAAACGTGCTACACTTGAAAATCGAAGAAAAATTCCAGTTTGAAAATTTATTCTTAGAAAAAAAAAATTAACATATTGTAAATCTAATTTACATTTCTTGTTCCACTTAGAGTCTAAAAAAAACACTGCATGTAATATATATATATAAACCTAATTTAATGGGTCGGCTACATTAACTCAGGGTCAATTCACATCAAATTAATGGTTTTATTCTCCGATTCCGTTAATTATATAGAACTGAAAATTTAATGTTGAAATTTAAATTGACCATTATGGATATGGAATATAAATGTAATATAATATAGTTTTAATAATAAATGATTATATTTTTGAACTTATTGATTATATATTGGAAAAAAAGCAAATTAATTTGTTAGAAAACGAACTATGGTTTTCAATTTTAGTATTGACTACAGCGTGCACACCTACTTACAATTTTCTAATAATTATGGATCTGCGTAATTCTATGTGTAGAGACGTAGCGATATTTCTTCAAAAATGTGAGCGTTTTCCTCTTTTAAATTTGGTGTTAGAGGAGAGTAGTGGAGTATCATTGGTGTGGCGATACGGCATGCGGTGTGTTAATAATACACTATTACTCCAACCTAAAATTAAAAGTGGAATATCTCGTCAGCGGCTTGACAGAAAAAAAAAATGTCAACACTCAAATTTATTTTTACTAATAATCCGTATATTTATGGACTTTTTAATATAGGTTGCTATTTGAAAATCAAAAGTAGGTTTTACCCCCAAAAATAAGGGTTACAAAAAATAACATAAATATAAAATTGTAGAGTTGGTTGTTTCTTAAATGTTCTAGAAAACAAAGTCCGAAAAAAATTAATACTCTCCGAGATAATGAGTGTACCCATTTAAATGGATCACCAGGTATGTATAGCTTTCACTTCAAAATTATATTATCAAATACCTATTAAAAAAGTATAAAAATCGACCAAATTTGATAACTAAAAATGTTTGTTTTAAAGTCTGTACAGAATAGAAAATCGTCAAGTATTGTATCCACCATGTACAAATGAAGTGATTGCTATCACTATAATTTTATTCCAACCATCTCTCCCGTATTATATTTTATAATATTACATATTATTTACTTTAATGCATTGTATGTTGTTTTATCACGGTATTCCAAATGCATTTAAGATATTATTCCGCGAACGTCAAGTATGAAAGCTCCCGTGAATGGATATAATATGCAATTTCGGCTATGATTCGGGATTTTACAGTTAGATCGCCTATTTTGGTATATCGCGTACGACGTCACGTAGCCCCCGATGAAGGCATCATTCTCCCAACAATTTTAATACGATTTCGCGGCCGTTTTACGTGAAACATATTCCTATAAACACTATTTTTTATACTGAATATCATAATATAGTTTGGGAATTAATTATTTAAACAGTATATATAAATATATAATGCATTATATATATATATATATATATATTATATTATACGAATTATACTCGACTGTCACACTGTTATTGTATATTCTATTGTATATAACATTATGTATATTATAATATATAGGTGACAGAAATGACGTGTATGTACAGCCGAAAGAGTAAAAACGTATACGTGCACAGGTAAGGTATACGATACACCTATTACGTGGGTTATTGTGTACAGAGTGATCATGGTGCGACGATTTTCTCGGAGGGTTTTATGCAAATTAAATTTCCGTTTTTTTTTTTATCAATCATTATGCAAATGTTTGAACTTTATTTCAATACTCTTTTCAACTGTTTAACACTCCTCGTTGAACCAATCAAACGAGAATTAAATTTTGATTTTCAAATGGCATTGTCCTTTTTTCAACACACATTCAAAGAAAAAGTAT